CTGCTATCGCTAACGCCGAGTGCGGTCCCCAAAAGCCTGGTACGGTGGTGGGTCCCGGCGGCACTTACAACCTGTCTGGACTTAACCCCTGCCCGCTTAACGCCTGCTGTGACATATGGGGCGAGTGTGGTATCACTGAGGAGTTTTGCGTTGACACGTCTCTGGGCCCCCCGGGTACGGCAAAGAAAGGCACCAACGGTTGTATTTCTAATTGTGGCACCGACGTGATTTCAGGCGACGCGCCCATTAGTCCTATTAACCTAGCCTACTTCGAAGGTTACGGTATGGACCGCCCCTGCCTGTATCAGGATATTTCGCAGTTGAGCACGGCCTATACCCACGTCCATTTTGCCTTCGCCACGCTTGATCCTTCTACTTATGCCGTCTCCGTCGGCTCCGCCGCGAGTACCTACGAGTTCGATCGTTTTACGCGTCTTGGCAAGAGCTTCCACCGTGTGTTAACCGTCGGAGGCTGGAGCTTTTCTACGGATCCTAGTACTTACAGTATTTTCCGTAACGGTGTCACGGCCGGTAACCGCGTGGCTATGGCGACAGCTATTGCCAACTTCGTCAAGGACAACGAATTAGATGGTATTGATATCGACTGGGAATATCCGGGTGCACCGGATATCCCTGGAATCCCCGCTGCTAGTACCGACGATGGCGCCAACTACTTGGCCTTTTTGGTGGTCTTGAAGAACCTACTACCGGGGAAGACCGTTAGTATCGCTGCTCCTTCGTCTTACTGGTACCTTAAGGGCTTCCCTATTAAGAAGATTAGCGAGGTCGTCGACTATATTGTTTACATGACCTATGATCTACACGGCCAGTGGGACAGTGGTAACTCTTATTCGCAAGAAGGATGTCCTACCGGCAACTGCCTCCGGTCGCACGTTAACTTGACCGAGACCATGACATCGTTGGCCATGATTACCAAGGCTGGTGTGCCGTCGGGCAAGGTTGTCGTCGGTGTCACTAGCTACGGCCGTTCGTTTGGCATGACCGACCCTGGCTGTTACACCCCTGAGTGTACTTTCGGTGGAGGTGCGGCCGGCTCCACGGCCACTCAGGGCCCTTGCACGGGCACTGGAGGCTACTTGGCTGACGCAGAGATTACGGATATTATGGAAGGCACCAATAGTACCAGCAATGAGAAGCGCCGTCGCCGCCGTGACTCTACCTCGCTGTCAAGTCGTGTTAACCAGTACTATTACGACAAAGACAGTGACAGTCAAATCCTGGTGTTTGACGACAACCAGTGGGTTTCCTTTATGACGGCCGACATCCTAGCTTCGCGCACTGCGAAATATAAGAGCCTAGGGCTGGGCGGCACTACCAATTGGGCCAGTGACCTGCAGACATTCAACGAGGTACCAGGCAATGTGCCCAACTGGGACGCATTTATACTGGCCGTCAAGACCGGTCTCGACCCGATGTCCGACCTGTCCGTTGATCCTTCGCAAATATCGGGCAACTGGACCAAGCTGAGCTGCACGGACCCGGCCGTCGTTGACGTGCGACACATGACATCCGAGGAGCGCTGGGACCGATTGGACTGCACGGACGCCTGGAACGACGTTATTAACGTATGGAAGACAACCGACATTAACAACGGCATGTACCTCAGTGCGTCAATTTCGGCGTCTATCAACGGCCCCGAAAGCTCGAACTGCGGCTCGCTCGCTGCCACAAGCAACTGCGACCGCATTCTGTTGTGCAAGGACGTTGAGAACACCCAAGGCTCAGGCCCCGCAGCGTACGAGATCTGGAACTCGCTCGTTTACGTCCACGAGATATACGAGACGTTCCACAGCACCATTATTCAGGCGGCCGCGCTGTCGCTGAATCCGTCATTGGACCAGTTTGAGAACACTTTTGCGCCCGTGACGCCGCCCGACACCGAATGGCTCGATCTTCTGCTGGCATTTGTGAACTTGGCTGGAACCGTTGTGGTGTCGAGCTTTTTCAATAGTATTCTGAAAGCACTTCCGTTCTTCAAAGCTAACGGTGTCCAATACGACAACTACAAGGACGCCGCCAAGGCCCTGGTCAGCTTCGGCGTGTCGGTTACTGGTACCTATGTGAGCGGTAGCGAGGGTTCGTGGACGCCGGCCTCGCAGACGTCCTTCTCCAACTACCTCGGCCAGGTCGTCGACATTTGGGCCAACTCCACTGAGCAGCAACTATCAAACATCTTTAGCGGCCAGCCTGACACCTTGCCGATCCTGGCTGGTCTTATCAACAAGGGCCAGATGATTGAGGGCGCCACCGGCTCCGACAGTGCGGCTGGTACAACACCTAACGTCGGTATATCGAACATCACTACCACTTCTGTGGAGGCGAGTATTGAACGATCCTTTTATGCTTTTGCCATTCCTGCCGTGTGGCGCGCCTCGGGAACAGGTGCTTTCATTCTGGACACGGGCGCCGACTGCAGCGACTTGAATGTGGCCAGCCAATACGTTCCATTGAATATCCAGAAACAGGCCATGGGTTGCATCGACAACCACCTTTACTTTTTGGTCTTCCCTGATGGTAAATCCCCTGACTCCTGTAATGCTGAGGATTGTTGGAACGATGGCTTTTCCCTGCCAGCCGGAGTCGACGTGCTCGATGGCTCGTCGTGGGGCGGCGTGACGGTAACCGATATTGTTAACGGGTCCGTCCGCACGTATATCGCAAACGGTCACAAGAACGGCGGCTACAGCGCCGACCCCACGGACACGTCCACTATGAATAGCCTGTATGACCAGGACATTACCACGCCCGGTTACATCAGCCTTCCAGTCTGCTCGGGCCAGACTGCTTTCCGGACCTGGCAACTGCACAGTGACCGCTCGCTCGATAACTGGCCCTGCTACTTAACGCCACAGAGGGGCTCCTGCGAGTCGTCGAGTTTCATCGACCAGACCTCAGACGCATCGCCCTCGGTCGACGACTGCATGCACCTTGTCAACAACATTATCGGCACAGACGGCAGTTGGTGGAAAGATACGGCTTTTTTACAGCAGCACCAGGTGGCAGGGTATGGAAGCTGCAATTTCGGAATCCAGGCCACCGATCTACACGGCAACGCCCAGTACCAGATTCAGGCGCAGGATATTGTGGATATTGTCACCGAGTCCGTGAAGCTCTTTGGCGGCAGCGGCAAGGTGGGCGCAAAGGGCTATATGGACTGCGACGGCAACGTCAACTCGCAGGATGTGCTGTGGGGCCTGTACTAAGTGGTGGCGGTAGATGGTGACTGTTGTTGAGTTTTTGATGGGGTAGGAGACGGCCTATATACGAATAAGAAGTTGAATTGTAGGCGCCGTCTAAATCTTGTCGATCTTTCCTTCATTATCCTCTAACAGGTACATATTTAGTCTGCTTGGCATACTTGTGCTTCGTTTTGCCGATGCGTCGCATGTCTTCGTGTACCCGTTTTGAAAGCAGTCATTTGAACCGATTAGTTATTCGACCCGAGAGGTTCATTTCCCTGCCTAATGTGTTTTTGTTTAAACATAATAGTTTTACCTAGCCATACGTCGTTGAACTTTTGTGGTGGCCACATATCCTAGTCCAACCTCTAGGAACAAGTACCTACCCCTTGATCATTTTGCATTATGAGCTGGAAGGCAGTGAGGATGACGTATTTAGAGGTCGACAAAGGGACCGAGAGCGTCTACCGCCAACAATTGCCTGCCAATCAAATACACAACGGCACCAGCCAGAACCTAGGTACTTTAGACCTGTGCCATGTAGTGTAGGGGGTCATGGTCCTGGATGGTAAGAGTCTTGTATTCTCTAACTACGACTGCCGCGCGTGGCGATGCTGAAAATGTATCCAGAGTCACGTGCCATCAGGGTGGCTCATGTCACGTGGTGCAGGTGCCGGCCTACATCCAGCCTTGGTGTTAGAAGAGGGCTCTCCGTTGGGAGTTAATTGATACAGCATATCTTATACCGGTGTGACTTACATTTAAGGCCAGTGTAACGTGCGCGGTAATTAAGAAGTACGTTGGAGGACGGAACATCTTACTTGTAGTTACTGTTTTTCTTTGTCATATATTTTTTTTCGGAGATATTCAACTCATATGATAAATTGATACCCGATACTAAGTCTACAGAGCACTGTGTTGCTTGTATCTTACATCTACGGAATGAGGCTTAAGACATATTTGTAAAACGAAAGCACGTGAGTAAGCACGGGGTAAAGGTGACAGAAGACAAAGAGATCGGTTTGGCTCTTCCAGCGCCTTTACTTATTCAGTGAATCCTTCGTAACGGGAGACAAGGCATCTTTGCGGAGTATTGCCCCTATTTTATTAAGTGAGACTAATCGAGCCCCATTGCAGCTCACAACTGGATTTAGTTGCTCGCCAGAATGCTTCAGCTGGAGAGCTGATTTACCATGCGCCCCGTGTCGCATGGTGATTACATCCTACGGTGGCATCTTGGCTTCTTGTTACCAAAAAAAAAGGACATAAAAGCCTCTCATTTAATTTTGTTTGTGGCGAGACTATTTAGAAGCCAGCGCAATTAAGTTGAGGAGTATTACGTCGTGTTTCTCTGTAATTACAGAATGATTACACAACAGAGCATACGGCTGCCTTCAGCCGTACATGCACTGCCTCCACGAGGCTTGTTATGTGCGTCCAAGCTCGGAAACAGCTCCTTGACTGTGCTCCGCAACTTCGCGCACACTTCGTCTCGTTCGCCATCGCAGAGATTGCGCGACAATTTTTGTACTCTGTAGTATTTGTCTCTCTTAACTCTTCCCTATCATTTTCTTCTTGTTCTCCTTTTTACCTAGGCCCCCGTAACTTTTTCCCTTACTCTGTCAATCCTCCTCCTCTGGCACTGTTTTGCCTCTCCTTGCATTCCGACACTCTGTCCTCGCTACGTATACATAGAAGACACACCGCGACCATCTTCGAGCCTCCCTTTACCGTCCGCACCTTTCTACGCCGCGCATGCACTTATTGGCTGGTGCTAGGCCGTCATAGGAAAGGGTCGTCATGTCCAGTAATCAGGCCGGCGGCAGCGGCGCCGACTCCAGCAGTAGCACAAATGGAAACGGCAATAGCAATGGTGGCTCAGACACGATCATCGCCATCGTGGCCCTGGTAGTGTCTGTTATCGCCCTGATCGGGACAGGATTACAGGTCGTTCAACAATACATGGCCTCGGCGGCTGGCTACTCCAACTGCGATGCCGCCGTGATCGGGCCCTGGCACACAACGAAGAAGCGGCGTTTTCGCTTAAGCGAAATGCGCTTCCAGGTTCTATTCGAGACGCCTGTATTCTTCGTCTGCCCGGCCGACAACAAGAGAGGGCCTATTAACGGAGCGCCGGTGTGGTTTGTTAAAGGCGACCCTGAAAGCATTGTCGTCACACGCTCTTTGCCGTTGGACGGCCCCGGCACGAACAACAGCGCAGACAAGCCGCCCCAGCAAGCAGACGGGAAGCAAAATGAAACAACTGACCACGCCAGCCAAGCAACCTCATCGATGCCCAAGATTGCACATGTGTTGCAAGACAAGCGCGGAGTCCACACAGCTGACAACGAGATGTCGACGTGGGTGCGCCTTCTGCAGGAGCTTCATCGCATGGAGCGCGACTCGCAGCACTGGCAGAAGACGCAAGTGGAACTGAATCCACCACATAGCGCGTGCTCCTTTGAGGAGCACAAACTCTGCGTGGCCCTTCAGTCAAAAAAGCGTTCCTGGGACACTATGCCGTCTAGCATAAGCAGGCCGTATGCTGCGTCGACTATTTGCCACCTCATCGAGATGGCAGCCATGCTGGGCATATACTGGAAGGAGTTCGACCGGTCTGCTGGTCGGTACCGGGCAGAAGGCAACGGCTATGTCCTCACGGGCAACCACATGGCAGATTTGGGGATTGTGTTTACCTTTCAGATATGCGGCAAGAGCCGATTCAAAGAAAATCGCATCATCCCTGCAGATGAGGCCAAGGAGCTCGCGTTTGGCCTCGTGCCGACTATTTTCCGCAGGAAAGAGGACCTTCGCCGACTTGCGTTCACGTCCGACGATACGCGCAGTCTGGAGACTCTCTTGCTCGGCAACCGCAATGAGCTTGCAGAGACACTAGCATCGATTGGCTGCAACACAAACACATCGAACAGTCTCCGCGATGAAACGAAGAAGCATGGCCACCTATTTCCTCGTAAGTCATAGTTACCCTACATATCGACAAATAGCGATATGGGTGCACCGAGCTCCCAGACAAAACCCCCAACGCTTGAGAAGTATACCTGACAGGCTTCTAGTCGCTTTCGAAATTACAGGTATGCTAGGGCGGACGCTTCATATCAAGAAAAGTCTTTTCCGTTTTTTACCAAACCCGACATTTTATCACTGGGACCGGAAATATTTTAGCATGCAGAAGCTCCTACAGGAATACCGATCCGAGATTGGCCGCCTAGGAGCGAACGAGCTGCAGATCAAGGAGCTGCAGACGCTGGCAAACTTGACTGCCGACCTGCTTCTACGCAAGCCTGAACGCGACAAGGCCGGACGGGTCAAAAGGGCCTTGGAGGACACCATCGACCGCCCGCTAATGACTGTCCTGCATGAGAACCTCGATAGATGCGATTTATATTTGAAGAGAAAGGGCCGGAAAGCTGTTGAGATTGTCCTACGCGAGCACGTCCAGGAACTCCTACACATGGTTAACAACGAGGGCGACTATGGTCCAGGCCGTGAAGAGGTAGGCACGGCAGGAACCGGGGTAGGACTCGGCACGTCCGAGGCTACCAGAACTGGGGAATCCAGTCCACCAGGTACGGGGAGTGATGCGGACAAATTTGGAACCCCTTTGCGCTTCGACGACGTAATGACGGCCTCGCCAGAATTTCGCCAAAGAACATTGATGAGGATATATTTTTCACGTTTGCAACCGCGCGTGGTGCAGTTGGCCGAAACTGCATGGCTACAGCAGGACGATGTCCACAGTGATGACAACAATCCTAACATTGTCCATGCCGATAAATTTGGCGCCGAAAACATCGATGCCGATGTAGCTGGCGACGATGTCGATGGCAACGGCAACGTATTTCGTCGACTGGAGGCGGCAAGCGTGTGGTGTACGCTGGTGTTCCGGATGCTATGCTGGCTGCTGTTGCACGACTTCAGTAAGATGGATGTGCAGATTTCTAAGAGCGAGCTTTTGGGCAGCCGTCTTCCGGTGTACATTTGGTGATGAACTGTACAGACTCGCTTAGAACCAAAGCTGCCTGCGAACACGTCCTATGCAGGGACGGGCGCTTGCGTGCGCTTGGAGGGAGAGGCGTGGTACGGTTGTCACGACATACTTATGCAGACGTGAATGGGAAGCGTATATACATATGCTGCATAGGATAAGGTTCCGTCGGCATTCCCACCTGCAGTGATGCTGTGCATCAGCAAGCGGTATGCTGTTTGGGAGAGTAGGGAGGGGAAGATGGATCTGCCATTCTGTCACTTCAGCAAGATATCTAATGAGGTGCCAAATTAAAAGATAATTATATCTCAGTTCTCCTTGCGGTTTTCCCGCTGGTGCCAGTACGTTAAATGGGCAATATGGATAAGACACGCAAAAGATGGGTGATATGTCGCCCCTGCGGCCACGTATTGATATAAACATTAACACAGCAGCACGCTGTGCTCGTAAAAGCGGACTGCGACATCCGGAGTAACCAAACAGAATACTGCGTCATCGTCGCCAGCAGAGCCACCTCTCTTCTCCAGACCGGCTTGCAGCATCGTCGGGTAGGCCTTGGCTATGATGTGGTCCTTTTTTGCCGTATTCCGTGCTACTCCGTTGACAAGGAGGCCATGTAATCCATCGTCTACTTGTCTTGCTCGAGTCAATTCCCCCAGATTGCTTCATCCAGGTAGCCGGATTCGCGAAGTTCTTGTAATTGTCGTTTGCCCTAGACTTTGGCTGGAGTGGGTGAATTGGGCGGCCTCAGCTAGCTGGAATATGGTCCTTGGTGCCCAACCAAAACTCCACCGCCCAACACATGTCGGTGAGAGTGGGGGATGGTTTGCGTATGGACCAAATGTAATATGACCTGACGCATGAATCAATACGTAATACGATCCTGCTTCCGCTAATCACGGACGGACTGACCTCTTCTCCTGTGCATCGACCACTACTATGTTACCGAGCTTCTGCATACACATACTTTCTTCAAATTCACGACCTCGTGCAACGGTGAATGAAGTCGCGTTCCTTCCTAGAGCACCCGCCCGACCGTGCCTTTACGCTTTTCCATCTGTTCTCCGTAGTATTGCACACTACCTTCATAATGCCGTTTGAACAGACGATAACGATCATCAACAATTCCGGAAAAATCATCAGCACTGTAAGTCCCCGTTTCGCGCCTTTTTGTCCCGGCGCTTCCTATGTCTCCAGCAGCCTCCCTTGTACCTGTGTCGGGTTGCTCAGTACGTGCGACTATAGGGCAAACATCTAGTTGGCATTTTCAAGGAAGCACGGTCGGCCTACAAGGAAAAGAAAGAGACCCTTCGACAAGAACGACATTCTGGTATCCGCCGCGCGCGGACGTTTGACCTTTCCCGCAGCGGAGGCTACCACGGCCCTCCCTGCGAGGTTGAGGAATATGACGATGCACACCACTATGATCAACGCGAAGGCTATTATCACAACCATCGTTCTCTGGGACAAGCTGCATCGCCGCTTTATCTTGAGGACGGAGGCCATAGCCGCCGCCTTTCCCTGGATGGTGGTGACCGCCGCTCACATTATTCATTGAACAATCGCCAGCCGCGCCGATCGCAGCGTAGTTCTACTGGTAGTGGCACTTCGGTGAATGGAACGAGGAGCAGCTTTCGGCCCCACCAACCGCCATTGAATGCACACAACCTGCGTGATCTCTCTGAAGCTTGCGACGGACATTCGCAAGCACCAGATTCCCGTCGCAATAGCTATGGCTTAAACGCCAAGACGAGCGGTCACAATCTGGTGCCCTTGCGCTCTGCTCTAAACGATATACCTCCAAGGAGCGTAACCCATACGGCTGCGCTGCCACAAGGAAGTAGTAACTCCCCGGCTGTAGCTCTCTCGTCACCGCGCGCCTCGATATTGGTTCACCGACCACGATCGTTCTCCGCACTGAGCCGTCAACTCAAGGACAGTGGAAACGTGCCGCCGCCGAAACTTATTGATACGAACCTAGCATACGGCAATATACCGCCTGATTTGGAGTCGCGCATCGACTTGGACCCTGAAGCATTTGTTGTGGATGCGGCTGACGAGTTTAAAGAATCTTATGCCACGACACTGGTCGACCGCATTGAGACGCTCTTGAATGAGGCACAATGCATTCACCACACAGCTGCGTCCATCATCCGCCATCTACAAGACAAGCCCGAGGCCGCTGCCGCTGTCGCTGTAACTCTGGCAGAACTTTCAGCGCTGCTAACGAAACTGAGCCCCGCCTATCTAGGAGTGGTCAAGGGCGGAAGCCCGGCCGTCTTCGCTCTTTTGGCTAGCCCCCAGTTCCTCATTGGTACCAGCATTGTTGTGGGGGCCACGGTTATTCTGTTTGGCGGCTGGAAAATTGTCAAGCGCATTTCCGAAGTGCGAGCTGCGCCTGAGGAGGGAAAGCAAGCTTTTGCGACGGGCGATCAAAGTGGCGGGTTTTCGCAGCAGCATGCTGCGGGGATCGATTCAGAAATACAGCTTGACACCGCCGAAGAGCCGCTTTCAGCCTTACGATCGTCCTCTCGCGGCTACGAAGAAGCACTCGTGCTGGAGGAAGAACTGTGCACTATTGAGACATGGCGCCGTGGAATCGAGCCAGTACTTGATGGAGGACCCGGTATCAAGCCGTGGGAAGCCAGTGAGGTTGACCTTGAGCTAATCAGTCCGAAGGCGATGCGCTCGTGTATTGGCGATGATGACCAACGTACTCTGAAGAGCGCTCGAACCGCCAAATCTCTCGGACACATGTCGACACGAAATACACGCTACTACCACCGCCACCGCCAATCACATCACCAGAACAGTATTCGAAGCAGCGAACAGGTGACAAGAACTGATGACTCTCCGGACAAGCGGCAAAGCCGTAGTAACGACCGTCGGCGTGATGAAATTCGTAAACCTGCCCGCAGTTCTCGCACTCGCCACGGTGATGCAGAAAGCAGTGAGTCGGCAAGATCTACGACAAGCCGCAGCAACCGGCACGGTGGGCGCTCACGCACGGGTGATGGCCGAATATTAGACAATAGTCCGAGTGGCCCGGCATCTGGTACCAGCACCGTGCAGAGCAGGGAGAGGGGAAATCAAAATACAGGGAGCAGCATGCTCAAACAGCTTTTTAAAAGGAAGAAGGAAAAGGACAACAAATAATGCTAGGAGTCTATCAAGTCCATTCTGGCGTGATGCTCGGCATATCTGGTGAAAGCACGTTAACTGTTGCCTTCGCCAGGGCTTTTGCTGGCCGCTTCCAAACTGATAGAATTTGTCAGTGGTGATGGCGATGCTATGTAACTCCACATGAATGATGAGGCGTTTGCAGAAGTAGTCCAGAAAAGAAAAAATTCTAAACGTATAACAATTAAGTTGTTCTTTTTGAGTAGTGTATTGGTACAGTTAGATCAGCTAGCAGCGTGTCCATGGGTTTCACTGTCCCGTTTTTTGCGGACTTATTCCTTTCCTGAGTCCTCCGACTCCTCGATAACAATAGGTGGTGCCTGACGTACTTCCTCATAGAGGCTGTCAGGTAAGATGTCCTGCGTTACATCGTTTGCATACATGCCAGCAGTTTGCATCGACATCTGCTTCCGCTGTTTATTTGACAACTTTTCCAACTTGCTAACTGGTCTCGGTAGTGTGCTCCCCGTAAAGAAGGAATCAGGGCCCGATGCGGTAGTGGCAGTTGTTGCTTGAGAGGACCATGCTGAGCTTGGGGTGTTTGGTGGCATTGCACGGTTCTTGGCCGGAGACCCGTCTCGGATCATAGCAATCTGACAGCCACGTGTCGTTCGACGCCTGTAGGTTTGAAAGGCGTCGGGTGCTTTAGGCTGGCTCCGGTCGCTCGGGAGACAGCCTTCGTGAGTTTCAGCTCTATCACTTGAAAGCTGCGCTTCAATTTTCTGGGATATGGGCATCTCACCACAGTTGCCACGGGCCTCGTTGCTTTCACAACTATTCTCTCCACTCTCAAGGCCTGGCCTGGCAGTCTCCTCGAAAATAGCACAACGCAGGTTGCTCAGAAGAGATCCAACTATGGCTGGAGACAAGTAGTCATACCGTCGAGGGGGTCCTGCCCATCCATTTTTTCGCATCACGTCCAGGGACACAGGGTTGTTCAATTGGTACACCTGGACTAATTTGTATGCAAATTTGGCCACTAGCTTCCCGGCATTGAACTCGGCATTGCCAACACCGCCATCGCTGTTGATACCGCCGGGTTGCTTGAATCCAGCTGCAACTACAGCCATGTATTGTAGCTCGCAAACTGGTCGCGTGGCATACATCCAAAAGCGACTGACTGTGTGAGGGAGTTTGAAATTTCGAAACTCGTGATCTTTGTCCCCCATGACGATCTTCCGGATTTGTTCAGGGTGAATGGAGATGATGATGTCGGTCCGGTCAGTTTGGGGGCCCAAGGAGCGAATTGTCTCTAGCGGAATCCGTTGACTCTCCAAAGCCTGGCTATATTGCTGGTCATCTACTGGCAGGTTCGAATCTTGGCCGCTGGTGGATGACATTGTGGGTCGGTCCGTGGCCGTGAGCGAGCTCGACGTCTCACAGTTTGGCCAAGCTTGAGTCACTTCCGTTTCGACGCCTCTTCGAAATAATGTGGCAGCACCAGCAGCGCGCCTTAATTTTAGGACAGATATGGGCTTGGCTGCTACCGTATCTGGCGGTGGCGGGTGAGCGACCAGCGGCGAGCCCAAATGCCGTATAGTGTTACCACAATGGTCACCAAACTTGCTACCGAGCCGGGCGTTGGGCCGCGGTCTTGGCACCGACCGTTTTATTGGGATGCAGGGGCCAGACAAACGGCATCCTTCTTCGTCGCTATCAGAAATCTCTCCTGAAGTACTTGCGACTGTTCTGCCTCCCTCTATTGACTGTCGATTTGGAGCGAAAATCAAAGAGGGTGCAGTTACAGGCAGAGATTGGAAGACATCCTCGATACCCATGGACGTACAGCTTTTGTCGGGTTGTAGCCGTCCAGATTTTTCTGTCGTTTCCATAAAGGTAATAGCCTGTTGCGCCACTCCGTTGTAATTGCGAAGATCTGACACGAAGAGCGAGTTTGGCAATGCCCTCCTACGTCGTTTAGAAACGTTACTTGCTTTTATATCGTTAGACACCAAATCCCGTTTTGGTCCTGATGGAGTAGGACTAGTCGAGTTTTGCCGGATTCGAGAAATGGGAGAGGAGGCTTGGGAGGCCATGTGGCGCCCAGGAGGCCACACTGGAGTAAACGGGCTGGGCTGGGACGATGGAATCTCTGTTCGTGTTGCCTTGGGTGTGAATAGCAACGAATTTGAGATTGCGTTTGTAACATTTGCGTTTGGCTTAGAGGGCGTCATCTCGACGACTTCCAATTGCTGCCGTGGAGATAGCAATGCCTGTCTTGACGTTGTGCCGGATGGAAGCAGAGGGCAAATATTATCGTCGTCAGAATCTTGGATCGTAGTATGGAGTTCGCAATTGTAGACGTCGTCATCAACATCAGAGGCTAGGAGTGTATTTTTAGAGATGAGTTGGGTTAATGTCTGAGTGTGGTAAGAAGTGTTCGCCAGTGTCCTGTCGATAGATTTTTGCAGTATCTGTCGTCGTTTATTCTGCTTGCGGCCGGAGCTATCTCGACTTGTGTTCTCCTCCTCTGCACTGCTCGCTGGGAAACTGCTTGCGTGGTCATCACGACAGGCAGTCAATTTCAGCTCTTTCCCGAATAGTTTCGTTTTGCGCAGACTTGGTGAAGACGGTACGACACATTCGATTTGCGTTAGCATCTGCTGCTTTTGTGTGAGTGAAGACTCGTGCCGGCCATATTTCCTCACAACTTTCCGTCGGAAGGAGAAACGGAGCTGGTGTGGCGATCGGTTCGAGCGGTAGACGCAGGAAACTCTCTTGTCCTGCGTTGGCGCAGGCCCTAAGACTTTGGAGCTCATCGTTGACGGCAGTATACACAGGATGGTCGTTGATCAAGTCGACGCCGGAAATTTTAAGAGCCCGACCTCACACATTGTCGTCGCTCGCTCCAATTACGTAGAGACAACAGACGAGTGCTTTATTGTGTTCCGTGGGAAATTAAACTATTCATCCTTTTTTGGTGGGGCCAATACACGCTTTTATCATAGACGCGTCGCGTCAAAAGGCCCCTCCAGAGCTGTCTGACTTAACACTAAAACAGGGGGTCTCGTCATCCTGCACAGAGTAAGGCTAGCTCAGAGTCATTACGGCGTACGTACTAATAACATAGGTCTTAAAACTTTTCCACTTCGTCACGAGTTTAACCTTTGCTTTTTATTCACGTGAATGGTAAATATTTTACCAGAGTCCCTCATCCCTTGGAAACAAAAGATACTATATCCTCCTATTTTGACAAGATGATGACGGTGACAGGTCACCCCACCGCCACAGACACCAATGACCTGTTTCCAAGCAAACAGCTAGATCCTGCGTCTTTGTCGGCCTGTAGTATCACGAGAGGTGGAAAGCACCCTGTCCCTCCTTGATGGCTGTGAAAAGTTGCTTTCGGAGAACATCGATGCTGGTATAGTCAGGAAGCTTGAGATAATTAACACAGGTCATCACACTTGGGAGATAATCGTCCGACGAGTATGGCGCCTCACTGGGCTTGCAAACCACTGTGAACATAGGCGTCAAGCTGCGGAATCCTGTTATACGTAAACTTCCATGTCAGTGATGCATTGTACCACAGTTATCTAAAAACACCTTGCGTAAAGAAATTGTAGAAACACCCACCACCAATGGGGAGCCTCGGACTCCCTGTTGCGAATTGCAGGAATTCGCGCCTTTCGACTAGCGACATTTCGCTCATGACTTGGAGAAGATTTTTGACGTTCCGGCTATCCATGTTGAAGCCGTGGTCGGCTTTAATAGAATCCGAAAGTGCTATTTTTTTGAGAAAAATACGGTTAGCTGCAAGGTCTGTGTTGATGGCAGCGTTGGCCAACTGCATCGAGTAATTAACTTACTTTCAAGGGACCAATCTTCGTCCACGTGACCGAAAAGTGACACAAGCTCGTCAGGTGTGAATGCACTCAGGGCAGAATACGGAAACACTTCCGAAAAGCCTTTGCGAAAAGCGTCCACTTGCAATCGCACGCCTCCTTCTAAGGTCATCGCCACAACCTTGTCAACATATGTATCAACATTACTCATGGTAACGCTGATATGGCAGCCTCCCGGAATCAGCTCAATATCTGGGTAGCCGGGCAAGGTGAAATCAAGGGAAAGGTCGTCGATGCTGGTGTCGTCAATAGTGATGGCCTGAATGCCAGCCGCCTTTTCAGTAGCTGACAGATCAACACCCTCTTCGATAACCTTCTTAGCATTCGCAAACTTCTTGATGAGTAAAAGCGATCGAGCCAACGTCGGGTCAACAACTTTTACAGCACCAAGAGATGGCCGCATCCCCTGGGATTCGTTTCCTATGCGGAAGAAGATAGGGTTGAAGTTGATATCAATGATGCGTGAATCAAGCATAGACCTGGCCACAAACCTGCCCAGTGCTTTGAAAAGGCTCATCAAGCGCTCGCCGTTCGTACCCTCTGCATCTTCTGCAGAAATAGGACGTGGGAACAGTCCGTTCGGTCCCGACACAAACTCAGAGTCCCCAAGATCATTGTCCCGCCAAAGCCTAAGTTTCTTCTTAGAAAATTCCCTCGAAACAGTAGAATAAAATTCGAGAGTTGGCCCCAGCCCAGTACCCACTTCTTCGAAATATTCAACTTCAAGTATGCTCTGCGAGGTCCCATAAAGCTCCATGACTTTCACTGCCGATTCGAGTATCTTCGACCTGGAAATCCTAACCTTTTGCCTTTGGAGGCGTCCCAGAAAAGGGCGATCGTCACGGCGAACGCCGCGTGACTCGTCTTGCACCTGTGCATTCTGCCATCGTGCCATAGAACGGGCGTATCCAAACGAGGTAGACTGCAAAAAGAGGTGACGAGTCTCAAAGGGAAACAAGAACGGGTACATCCTTGCTAGATCCTCACTCCAGTTAGGCAGGCAGTTGCTGGCTACAATGAGTGGTTCTTCCAGTTGGCGGTTCAGCTTTGCTGTAAGTTTCGTGTTGACGAACTGCAGCAATGGCTCAGCGTTTGGCTTGGAGGGCTCTTTGCTTGAAACCAATATATCATCAATATTGGCGTTCAAATCATGCAGGTTTTTAAGAAGTCGGAGAATCGACGTGGTGATGGCAACGTTTTTGAGAGCGCCCACTGACACACTGTTGCCGAAGCCGTCTTGAGCAGCTGAACCAGTTGATTCACTAAGGCTGCTTCCAAAACTTCTGTTATCAACGCCCGGGAAACCAAATGCAGAAGGTTCCTGGGATTGGGGACCTGGTATGCGACGATAGCGCACCGTATGGATCGTGGACCAAACAGACCGACTCGGTTGTTCGTCACTAACAGCAGTAGAATTGAGAACCGCCCTATACACCGTGCTGTCCGAAGACACAGTTCTCCCGTCCAGACTGAACTCAAAGTGCCAGTCTTGGGAAGTGGACTGCAATGCCGATTTATGTGAGGATGATGGCAAGGTACTTGACTTTGCAGGTTCAGGAGACATACCGTGCAAGGCGGTTGTCAAAACACTGGAACTGGTGCTCGCGTCCTTCGCTGAGCCTTGCGATGGTTTAAGTAAGCGAGTACCAACTGCCTGCCTTGTGATTTTCCCACCAGTCTCAAACTCCAGGTTCACCGCAGACGAACTGCGGTCATCGCTGCTTTTCATATCCTCGTCAAGTCCACTGTCTATGGTCTCCATGGCATTTGTCACCGGGAGATCCAGTTCTCCATGCTCTGAAATTCGCCTCTCACCATTACACTCCAAAGCCTTGGCAAGTGCATTGCCCTCGATTTGTGGATGTACTGGCTCTCTGAAGTTGGATGAGTTGGTATGGTGGCGAGATGATCGACGGAGGCCGGGTTTGCTTTCGGCATCAAACCCTACACCAGATGGAACTGATAGAGGGTTAGAATTTGGGCGAGTGCTGGACTTCGTTTTGCCAACGTCGCGTTGTGACTGGGAGCGTGTCATTGGAGAGGTCTGGTGATCATTTTGAGCATGGCGTGAGACATGCAAAGTTGAGCTCTCTTGAGTCTCAGACCCATCAGTGAGAACTTCGGGCATTATAGGGGTCTTGGAACCTAAATTTGAATCTCGCTTCACGAGGCGCGCTGCCAAGGCAGTCTCCGTATGTTCAACGCTCGCATCAGCCATGGCAGCAAGAGCTCTAGAAAGTCCGTCCCGTCTTAAGAAGCGAGATCGGTCCGTCAAGCTAATTCTGGGCCGCAAGTAGTCTTCCAGAATTTTGAAAGTCGCGATAGCATGAATCGAAACCATGATGCTTCGGAAAGCACGCGGTACCCCGGCGTCATCGTCTGCCACCAAGCGCAGCCGGATTTGCTTTGCTAACATTGATGCAGCACTAGTATGATTTCCATCGAATGCGTTGTCGTGTACCGTGATAACTTCAAAATGTTCAGATCTGCTGAGAAGGTCTTGTAATTTATGGACAAGAATGCTGAACGGTGTAATCGGCATCTCCGTTACATGCGTTCTGGTGCGAGACCTAACAGGGCGGCTAGTAAAGCAATCGAGGAATGCTGCTTGGGCTGCATTGGCGAGGTGCTCGTCTCGATTTCCAAAAACTTTGTCAAGAACATTGACCAATCCGGACCCTAGCAGTTCTGCGCTCGTCGCACTGTCAAAGACGTTTGAGTCAAAGTAAGTTGCCAGCCTTGTAAAAAGTTTGCAACCTTCGTCGGCGGAGACTGCAGATTTTCGTTCCAAGTATAATGTTGATATGTCGTCCGCCAATGACGAGAGACTTGTTAATGTCTGCGTCGCTTTTGTTCGCATGGAATCTTCATTCCTTTCGATTTCATGCCTGGCAAGGAAATCCCTAGCAAAATCACGTATTTGGGCTTGCGAAGGAGTGTTCTCCAAACGTCGCTGTCGTGCGGGAGCTTCATCAGACACCATGGAATTTCCAGAGCTTGCCGATGAGCCTTCCACTTCGTCATCGTGACCTCCATCGCGACTGCCACGTCCTCTAGGCTGGGCATCCATGCCTTCCTCACTATTCCGGAGTTCTTCCTCTTCGTCGCCCATTTCATCGTCAACTCGGTCGACATCAGCACCATCAACGTTGGCATAGTGCTGGGACAAGACTTGTCCAACAACGGCTTCATCAATGTCCTCGTTGCTGTCTTCGTCCTCTAACTCTAAGCCTGTGTAGCTAGAAAGTCCATTGAAATTGTCGCTGTCATAAGCGTAGTTCCGCCCTTGATAAGTTCGCTCCTCATGGTCTGGATTTGAAATGAGGTCGACATTGTCTCCTTGTTTGTGATTGTAAATCCCTGTGGGCGACTGGTGGCCAGTATTGTGAACGGTGGAATGAATGGCATCCAGAGCTGGGTAACCATGCGCGAGCAGCGATAACTCGTGGTCACCATTTGCCGGGAGACCCGCAATCTTTTCGATCTCGCTTATTACACCCTCGCGATATAGCTGATATCTGTATATATCGCCAAGCCGGCTTAAGAGCAATTCAGTAGCCTGCAATGCGTAGCTAACTAAAGAGGTGTGGTCTTGTTGAGACAGAATAGAGGCCAGAAATGAGGCAAAGGGAACGGCTTCAAGCGCTTCCAAAATGATAACCTTGTCGAAATTGGAAAGGATTCTTATCTGCGCCGCCAAGACCCTCATTCGAATCTCCAAATTCACAGTGCTCGAGTAGGCATCTATCAAAGTAGGCAAAAGAATGAGGGTAAATCGCCGGACCTCTGCTTGGCAATCTCTCAAGAATCTGAGCCTCAGCCTGTTTGATTCGGGAATTGAAGAGGAAAAGTTCACCTCGTTTGTTCCTAAGCTGCTCTGAGTCTGCGTATGCCCGCTCCTCATGCTGGCAATTACAGAGTCAACTGGAACAGCAGCGGATTCCTTCGGTAGTAGGTTGCAGACAACATTGAGAGTCTCGATAATTTGTTCTTTTGGCCGATGGATCAAAGCTTGCATAACAAGAACACTGTCCAATTTGGCAGCAATGTCGTCGACTCCTGCAGGGGGCGACACGCCGGTTAGGCTCTGGTAAAGCGTTTCGACAACGTTCATTTTGAAGAGTTCGGCTGCAAGGAGCGGGCTGTCGTCGGCGGTAATTGCCAGGACACGTAAAAACTGTGTGTGGAGGCTTGGTCCAATAAAGTGGTTGGTCGAGCTAGGTAAGAGTAACCTTAAAATGGCCTTCAGCAGGTCAACACCCACCAGCTCTTCAAGTTTAGGTGGATATTGTTTGAAACACTCAACAATGCGAGACACACACAGTGCCGCTTGCTCGACAACTCGCTGGTCGTTGCTGTAGAGAACATTCAACAAGATAGGCATAACATCGCGAACCTCCGGAAACGAGTCCTCAGGGATATTTCGACAGCAGTTCGCAGCCGTCGTCACGGCAGTCCGTTGCGTGCTGGTAGCAAAAAATTCCAAGTAAGAAAGACATGCAGTTAGGCCGCCTTCTCGAACAATCTGGGAAGGGTATTCGACAGAGATTTTCTCAAGGGTGCTAAGAGCCTGTTCAGCGACGTCGATGAAAGATATCTCAAGAAGCTTTTGGCACAGAACAGGGACGGCCCCGCCATACACCACGTTGGCTGCGCTTGCGGGTATCGCTTCCATTAGGTTCGCAAGACACCGACACGCTAGCAGCATCATTTCAGGGTTTTCTTCCCCCGTGATTTCGTTTGGCTGCATGAGAGCGACAAGGTCTCGCACGTAGGGGTCGGGTGAGAAGTTGCCGATCAAGTTATCTTCGTTGGATACAAGCAAGATCTCTGATAAATCTTGCAAGGCAATCAATTGAACAGACGGATCCGCTTCCCGCCGAAGATTGTTCAAAATCTCCCTCAAACGGCCACTGATACCCGACATTGACAACATGCCGCCCAACATAGACAAAGCAACAGGTAAACCGGAACCTCGATGCGGCGTAGCAAACCTGGTTTGGAAAGATTCATCCAGTTCTCCATCAGAATATCGGTGCGCTTCATCGTCACCGTGGTCTTCGTCGTCGTCATCGATGTCATCATTGTCACCCTCGCTAATGTCTTGGCCAGTGTTTTCCCGGTCTTCGCCCTCGTTGATGTCTCGGTCTCTGTCTTCGTCAATTTCGGTCTGACTATACGGCGTGTGGGCTGCGTCGATACTCGGGTCATCAGCGCCGGACATAGCGACGTCGGATTCATCGGCCTCTCCTGTAAGTCTCGTGGGGTGAAAATGCGAGTTGGATGGTTGTATTTCGGCCATTCTCACATCTTATTTTTGAGGTCAGCCACTAATACATCTGATTGCGCAAAACTCATGTCAAATAATGGAAGTTCGTCTTGGGCCTACTTGCACCGGTCTTTTGTAAACCGGTAACAGTTCACATACCTGTAGGATTCGCACCACTGTGGACAGACGACACGCCAAGCCCATCGTGGGCATCTGAATGGTCCGTGGCCGATCTACATCAAGGGTGGGATAAGTTTATGAAAAATCAAGGGAGGGCCAAAAGGTTCAGGCTTTTACCTAGAAGAAGGCATCCTCGATGTCATGTTTCCCTTCTGACTTCGTGTTGAAGCGGCCGAAGGAAGCAAATGTTCCGAGAAAGAATTTTGAGGTCGTGGTTGTGTCTTCCTTTGCCGTTTGGGTCTGTGCGAAGACAATGTTCCGCCGATGTAGTCTCCAAAGTCCGGTCGGGCAACAGCTATTTCCTGAAAATTTCTTTTTCCGTGAGCTTGCTGAAAAGATTCCAGCGTCAGTTGTGCGGATGAATGTCGAGAATGAAATGGAGCAAGTGTCGATTGATCTGCTGTAGAGGAAACTGTATCCGTCAATGGGCGTACGGGGTCAAGAGATTGTGCGAGTGGTGGATCGATCTGGCGAGCAGAAGCGCGGGTTATTCTAGGTATTACGCGTGGATTAGATACTAGAGTTGGATACTGAAATTACTGTGAAGTGATCAAACAAACGAAGCGTCCTTCAATAAAGAGCGATATTAAGTAAAATCGGGCAGACTTGCATACCTCAAAGGTGGCGTTTTTGTTCCACGGAGTAAAATCGATCGCTCAAGTGCATGCGGCGTCACCGTCGATGCGGTGGAGCGGATGGGCACAGAAGACTGTGTGCTATTGTCGAGCGTTCCCAAGATGGCCGCAGCTTGGGGGATCGGTGTGCGGGTGGTGATTGAATATGGAGCTGGGGACAAAGAACCTTCGGTAGGGTCGTTACCGAGAACCGATCTAGAGCGCGGCTTTGCTGAAGAACTTAGGTCTGCCATGGGTTACGCCATGGGGCTCTTCGTACTTAAGTCGATATTTGTTTGTCGGCACTGAGGGGCTGGAGTGTTCGCCAGCTGTCACAGCACAGCTACGAGCTCAGAATGCCAGCCTTACTCTCCGTGGCGATGATTCAATTCAGTTACCGCACCACGAGCGCGCATGCAAGCATGATTCGGTTTGTCCGATGAACGTAGGCGGTTGCCGCGGATACGGTTTGGGCATTTGCGAGAACACTTCGCGAACGTTTGAACAACCGTCACCCAACGAATATTCGAAATTGCAAAGCGCCTCTCTGAAAGGAAGCAAAGGTGGAAATGAGGGTGGAGATGCGATGATGGATTACTATGGATGAAAAAGTAAAGCGTCATGTAATGTTAACGCAGTGGATGTTGTCGTGGCAAACGAGTGAAAAATTGAGCAAAGAGTTGCAATGCACTCGTTGCGTTGTCGGCATTTAGAAGCCTAAGGTTCTCATGGGATGGTAAGGCGACAGGCGGTTAATGCATCTAACGAGGTCTTGATGGTGGGGATAGCGGGACCTCAGTGTTTGTTGGTAAAACAACTTGCTTATGTCATGGAAAGTGCAGAGTATCCTTTGCTTGGCTCCCAATAGGTGCACACATGGTGGAAATAAAAACATCTAACATAATCGTTTTCATAGCCAGAAGCATCGCGAAAAAAACATTAAAATAAGACATAAAAACACTGCAAAATCGCTGTATAAATTATGTGCCCACGTAATACCCTACTACAACAGCTGCCACTTCTCCTACATACTCTGTAGCCTTGCACCTACTCGCTCTGCACTTGCTGTTACAACATGCAGCTCCGCGCGAGCCGTTGTTTCGAGGGCCCGGGAAGCTCGTACAAAACGAGACGTTCGAGCACGCGGTGCACGGGCCGCCGACGTACGTGAGATCCGTGTACGCGCCGGCACCGTGCTGCACCGCTCTCCGCTTCCGCCCATGTAATGTTCGCGATGTTTTAAAAAGATTGAAAAGAGGTACTAAAACGATTACGTTAGACGTTTTATTTGCACATATGTGTGCAAACCAATCAAAAGCCATTGTTCATATTACGTAAGTTTTTTTTTATTCGCATACCCCATTGGGAGTATGTCACATGGTGGAGCAATGGTCGCGCGTCTTACACCGACTGGTTACAGCCAGTCAAGACGTTAACCCAACTTCCGGTTTGTACGATGTAGTCTTGCTTCTAGGGAGTGACGATAGTACGGAGTAATGGTGGAAAGAATACCCATGCCAACCAAAAAGTCCACTCCAATTTAGAGCTACTCCGGCTTCCCCGCCATTGGTATGCCGCTAAATGCTTCTAATATCCCCTACGTGACTGCAAAAATGGTTCAGGTATAGCTTTTGGTGTAATTGCTCCATAGGCACCGAATTTATGTAGACAATTAGGAGGTGCTTTTTTGGCAACGCTAAACTGGCAAAGAGGCTGGGCGGTTTTCATCGGCTCAGTCGTCGGTATTACGGCCAAATCATCATGCCGCACTTGGGAAAGCCGACCTCCCATAAAAATAACGACTTCACCAAACTTATCCCAACAATTCCTCGTTTTGAGCCCTTTTCGCGACCTTACGGTTTTGCTATTAACGTCACTGTGTCTTCCTTTTCTCTTCTGTCGCTTCTATCCTTGTCATTCGCACAATTCTGGTGCTGGAACATCATTCCAAGACTCAACATGAAAAGAGCACTTTCATCCAGGGGACTGTGTTTGGTTTCCCTTAAGCAATGGGGTCCTTTCGCACCCATCGTCACCCAATCGACCCTCTTTTCGAGACCGCGCTGCGTTCTTCAGCATAGAAAAATACCTCACGTTGCATACGTAGCTAGAAGAAATTCTGGCAACCTCTCTCAGACACCTGACTCGAACTTTGTCTCCTTTCCCGGAGCCGTCAAAAGTGTGTTCACCAATACCTTGAAATTCGAAATTCCATCCGAATACCCAGCGATGCCGACGTACCGTGTCCTTGATCAGCACGGCGTTGTTGTTGATCCGACGTTCGAACCCGACTTGAGCGATGAAGAGGTTGTGAAGCTATATCGTGATATGCTGACGATCTCCATCATGGACGTTATCATGTTCGACGCCCAGAGGCAAGGTCGCATCAGCTTTTACATTGTGTCCTCTGGTGAAGAAGCTACTTGTGTGGGATCCGCATCTGCCCTGTCTCCCGAGGATGTGATATTCTGCCAGTATCGAGAACAAGGTGTTTTCCAACAACGAGGATTCACCATGAAGGAATTCATGAGTCAATTATTCGCAAACAGGCACGATTCGGGGAAGGGCAGAAACATGCCCGTGCACTATGGCAGCAGTCGTCTGAACATTGTAAGCAGTGGTCAACAAGCCCATCCGTCCATCTTTCATCTTATTAATCGTGTACAGCATTCCATATCGTCCCCACTTGGTACGCAACTGCCGCATGCTTCGGGTGCAGCCTACGCATTAAAAATCCAACGGCTGCAAAATCCTACGGCTGATCCTCGGATCGTAGCCGTCTACTTTGGCGAGGGAGCCGCCAGTGAAGGTGACTTCCACGCCGCACTCAATATCGCCGCCACTCGCTCGTGCCCCGTTGTCTTTATATGCCGCAATAATGGATACTCGATATCCACTCCAGCTCTTGAGCAATATCGCGGAGATGGTATCTCCAGTCGCGGCCTCGGATATGGCATCGACACCGTGCGGGTGGACGGAAATGACCTTTGGGCTGTGCGTTCAGCCATGGCGCAAGCCCGCAAGATGGCACTCCAGGACGGTGGAAAACCGGTGTTGCTAGAATGCCTATCATACCGAGTCGGTCACCACAGCACGTCGGATGACTCGTTTGCGTATCGAGCCAAGGTGGAGGTTGAGGACTGGAAACGCAGAGACAACCCGATATCGCGTCTCCGAAAGTGGATGGAAGCCAGAGGGTGCTGGGATGATAGCAAGGAGAAGGATGCTCGCGAGACAATTCGGAAAGACATACTGAAGACGTTCAATGAGGCAGAGCGTGAGAAAAAACCACCCATCCGCGCTCTGTTCGAGGATGTGTACGAGGAACTGACCCCCGACCTCCATGCTCAAATGAAGCAGCTAAAGAACCACCTTGACAAATATCCAGAAGAATATGATGTCGGAGAATACGAGGGTGGCAAGAGCAGTCTGGAATCTTAAGCCTTTCAGACCGTATACTACCACCCTCAGAGCGGTGCATCAACCACTCGAGTATGAAAAGACACCACTTGGTCAAGCTTGTCTCTCCTTCGTGTTTAATGGCATTTCCAAGCTTCCTGCACCATTGTTCATATAGCCCTCACTGGCCTGCCAGTGTTAACAACAATGAGGCCTTAAATGTGTGGACTTTTGCCGCGCCCCGGGCCAAAGCAATAGCATTTTGATACCGAATGAAAGGAAATCGCAGAACAGTATCCAATTGGTACGAGGCAATCAATGATGCTCTGCAAAATCGCCCATGACTGTGAGCAGCGTGTAAGATAATAGCCCATAGTATGCCAACGTTAAAGCACATGCCCTTTGGTGAAACAGGCAATTTTAGTTGTTAGCAACACTACCATGGCCGGCCTGAAGCTGATACTCATACAAATATGGAAGTAATTGCGACGCATATCCATCCAATTCATTCAAAAAGTGCAGCTCGACACTCTAAAAGATATTCATGTGCGGAAATATAAAAAGGTCTGTGGCGGAAACGCTTTCCTTTCTTAAAGTTTATTTTCTTGGGCGGGTAATAAAGCATAAAGAAGAAACAGGTTGGCTAATGGAGGGCGCGGTACCAGCGGGTGTTAGAACTACAAATCAAATCTGTACACTATTCGTAGCAACATGTGGCTGTGACTGCACAGCCACAGCGAAAGTATTCGACCTAATGGAAAGCGAACGTGGTTTTCGAATGTTTCAACTCCACGAATCCTCCAAGCGCTGAAACTGCAACGAGAGTAAAAACAGCACGATGACATTTCGACGGTCACACCTTCTGCAAGCCTTCCGCGCGCCACTCTCCAGGGATCCGTGTCGTCCTGCCGCTCTACCTCGGGATCGGTTGTCTTGGATCGTCCCTGCAAAGTCTCCGATCACAACCTTGCAAAACAGTTTCTCGCCAACACGACGCCTCCATGGCAATATCCACAGCAGAGCCTCCCAAGGATCTGCGCCCACAAAACAAAAAAAAACACACTTTGGTTTCGAGACGGTAACGGAGCTAGAGAAAACAGAACGGGTTGCATCGGTCTTCACAAGCGTGGCCGAGTCGTATGATCGCATGAATGACTTGATGTCTTTTGGTTGGCACCGTGTTTGGAAGTTCGTTTTGCAAGATCAATTCACCTTCCCATGACATGGCCTTGCCTACTAACATGGGGGCACGCAGAGACCACTTCGTTACGTCACTTAATCCTGGCTTTGTAGCTAAACCGGATACACCTCCTCAGCGAATTCTCGATGTTGCTGGTGGTACCGGCGATATCGCCTTTCGAATGCTCAAGCAGGCACATGTCATCAATGAGAATCCAGAAACGCGCGTCACAATCTCAGACATCAACCCATCCATGTTAGCTGTTGGTCGCCAACGTGCTGAATCCCAGCTACCGGTAGGCCAGCTCGCGTCGCTAAATTTTCTTGAGGCCGATGCAACCAGTTTCCGGCAGCCAGACGGCACCATTACCGTGGAGTCGTCAACTATTGATCTTTACACGGTCGCATTCGGCATTCGAAACTTTACCGATATACCAGCCGCGCTTCGCGAGGCGTACCGTGTGCTTCGCCCAGGTGGTGTATTTGCCTGTCTCGAATTTAGCAAAATTGCTTCCACCAACAGAAACCCGGCGGCATCCTTGTTTGACGCTGCGTATAAACGCTGGTCATTTAGTGCCATACCTATGATTGGCCAAATTGTTGCTAATGATCGTGACTCATACCAATACCTGGTAGAGAGCATCGAGCGTTTCCCGAGCCAAGACGAGTTCAGAGATATGATTATCGATGCCGGCTTTCTTGTCGGTGGCTGCGGTTATGAAAATCTCACCGGAGGTATAGCCGCGATACATAAAGGGATGAAACCTCTAGATACTTGAGGACAGGCCATTTTTCCTTTTCACCCACCGTTTTTGTGTGGACTGAGTAGCGAGGCTATCTCTGTACGATATTTTTTAATAATTTTATATCATGTAAGGCGCATATATTACTCCTCTATTTCGTTGTTTCAACGCCCTTGGCAGTCACTTCTCACCGTCGAACGGGCCCGAGACTGAGAGTGGTTTCGCCTACCTGGTTCAGTTAACTTATTAATGTTCAATGTGTAAGGAAACAAAGAAGGGAACACCTTAGGTCACCTGAGGCTTGGCAGGCATTCATCTACTGACCTCTAACCTGTCGACCACGAAATATTATGTATTAGATAGTAATACGTTTTACTTTGTTTATCTTGAATAATCCATACGTATGGCGATTTTTGCTGGAGTAGGCACTGTCGTACTCCGTAGAGTAAATATCCCACTCTGCGCCCACGTTTTCCTAACCCCGCCATCAGTCAAGTCTTTTCTTTAAGTCTTTCCTGATAACAACCTTTCCTGACGTCGCCATGTCCCGACTAGAGATCGCCGCCAAAAGCGAACTGGCGCTTGTGCTACCAAGCCTGGTACTAGCAAACCACCTTCACATCACTGGCGTCTTGCCGGACCTTATCCGCTGGTTCCAAGCCGGTAAGACCTTGAACGATGGTGCGTCAGTCGTCCGGCTTGGTTTTGCCTCTGACAAGGTAGTGTCGGACGGTGATATTTGCATTGCTTTTGTTGGTTGCCGCTGCGGATGAGAAGAACACACGGGTATAATTGAAACCTCACCTTTTCTTTCTTACGTATGAAACCCTTCCTTTTCCTGTTTTGCGTGTGCTATATTAACGTCTGGCTAGGTTGGAGAGTGGGTAGTCAAGTCCGCGAATTTTGCTGGCATGGACCGCAAAGAATCCACGGCCATCCGATTGGTCTTGAGTCGCGCCTCATACTGCATACGCTTGTCGTCGGCAATATGCTATCCCTCGCCGGCCTGGCGATATGGTCCGCTCTTCGATCCAACCTTGCGGGCCAATCCCTCATACCACAAAACGGGCCGTCATGTCCACCGCTGGTACAACGTTGTTCTGGCTTCCACTCCATAGCTAGCACCACTCATCGAGAAACTTACCGCCCCGGCCTTTGAAGAGGGTGCAGGGGAACGTGCTGCCACATTGGATGCCGGGGCCGGCTATAACATTGACCTACCGTGTCATACAGCCGTTGTTCTGCAGGATGCGGTATGTTGCGCTGTGACTGGTATAGACAACGCAGGTCTCGAGCCCTTGACACTCCCCAAGTACATCAAGAAGCCCGAGCTTGGCTCCAGGACTGTGCTTCTGAGCCCCACAGTTCTTCTCGAGCAAGTCGACGCGCAGTCCTTTGCCGTGGGCGAAGAGACTACGCTGATGAACGGGGGCAGCGCGATTATCCAAGAGATCGAAAATGGCCCTGGCGACCAAACCATCAAGACGCTCAAACTGCAGTTTACCCCTAGAGGCGACGTGAAGAAAACCGAGGTCACTTGGCTGGCAGACACGAACGAGAATTTGGTTCCCGTTGACTTGGTCTTGTTTGATTACTTCATTACAAAAGACAAGCTGGAGAAGTCTGACGACCTCCGGGATTGCCTCACCGATGGCACCGAGTTCAGACAGCAGGCATTTGCTGATTTCAATGGTTACAACGTCAAGCCCCTGAAGAGAAGTGCCCTTATTCAGTTCTAGCACAAGGGCTACTACAGACTGGAAAACTGGATGCTGTTCTTCGAGATGGGCAAGAACGGATAGTGTAACTGGAAAGCAATTTAATGTTGTTTTTTTGGTGGTTGGGGGGGGGGGGTTAGACAACTACATTACAGGGTAGCGTCGCGGGTATTGTAGTATCTATGGCCGTCTATGACAGAAGTACTCTACCCCAGTCCATATAAAGGGAGTTCCACATGGATCCTTACTATTCACATTTAGTCAACCACAACACAACGTGTTTTTGTCGCGGACGGGAATATACTTGGTGCCTTACTTTGATACTCCAAGCCACACTACTTGCCTCGCTTTCCCTTACTCAAAAAGGATGTGTGAGATGCAGCAGGTAAAAGTTGGCAGACGTGATGGAAAACTGCTTCTAGCAGGCGGTTAATGCTCCCTGTAGCCGCAAACCTGGCTACCACCGGCGTGTGTTATGGCAAGGAACGCCGTGGTGCTTATCAGTAGGCATGTCAGAAAGCAAATTCAGGTGTGACCGAGAGAGGCAATATCTGAAACCATAAACTCGATAACCGCCAACACTTTAATATATGTTTCGGATCCTGCCAGGCCTGCTTGTCCGTGCCGATTAAGCTCTACCGGACGTTCTCTGTCAAATTTGTGTGGGATTTAAAGGAATGAGTGTCGTTTCAGAGTCCCATTTCGAGAGAGACCGTATGGAGGCTGCGTTTATCCCGGGACACGGTGGTTATGGGGTATTGGTCACCACGACCCAGCCCGTGTGTACAATTTATATGGTACTGACGATGAATTGGAGCGACAATCCCCCCAACTTAACAGACGAGGCAAGGAGAAAAACGCAGGACTGCAACTGACATAACCAACCCTCTCCTCCGAGGGATATGCGCCAGCTTGCGCATCATGGGATTGGTGTCGAGCCTCGGTCACAAGGAGAAGTTATTAAATAACCCGACGGTAAGAAAAAGAAAGGGATAAAATTAAATGAGAGACGCGAAAAGTAGAAAAAAAAAAAAAATCAACATGAAAACAATAAAAGCCAAGGCCTGGGCCAGACAAAAACGGGCCAAAGTATCTTAATTGTGGCGACAAAATGAATACGGTAACAGAAAAAAGAGAGAAACATATAACGTAATGTGAGCAAAAAAATTACTAGCACCAAGGAATAGTGCTGTGGTAAGCCAGGGGTTTCGTCAGCTTCCACGTAAATATATTCTACCACGATGTTTCTTTTCACTGAAGACCATCTAGCAGGGGCAGGAGTCCCGGTCGTTTTCAATGTGAATGTTGATCGGATCCTGGTATTCACCAGGAAACTCTTCGGACTCTTGCTGCAATGCGTTTTTGGCAATCACTGCAAGATACGAGGTCAGTGTTTTGCATCCCTATTACTTTACTCTCCAATAAAGTAAATCATCGGCGTGTCTACTTACCCTCAAACGCCTGCTCGACATTGATGGCTTCTTTGGCACTTGTCTCAAAATACGGGATATCGTGTGCCTGACAGAATGTCATTGCACGCTTAGTCGAAATCTGGTACAGACCAACAGTTAGTATAACCCTGCCTGAGAGGTCCTAATCGACACAAAAGAGGATTGTGCGTACCACTCGCTTGCTCTCTTCAACATCAATCTTGTTTCCAAGCACAACCTAAAGGCACTTTGTTAGCTGTGTCCGATAAAATAAAGAGACACTAGCACAGTCAGGAGGTGCGCTTCTTATATCCACGTACAAATGGAAAGTTATCGGGGTCGCGGGGTGATGCCTGAACTAAGAACTCATCCCGCCAGCCTTCAATGGCCTCGAAGCTTTTGGCATTGTTCACGTCAAAAACGAGAACGCAACAGTCGGCGCCGCGGTAGAAAGCCACGCCCAAAGACTGGAACCGTTCTTGCCCAGCAGTATCCCAAAGCTAATAGAGATTAAGAGGCAAAAAAAATCAGTATTAAAGCCAAAAATTGCAGCGAAATTTGCTTTCCAGTGGTGGCAGGCTTAGAAGCATGAGTCTCACCTGCATTGTCACTTGCTGGTCATTGACAGGAACTTCGCGCGTGAGAAAATCAGCGCCAATAGTCGCCTTGTAGCTTGCACTAAACTTCTTGTTGACCTGAAGATCGACCGAGCAGTTAGTCTCTCGTTTTCTCATGTCATGTCCGGTCCCACCTCCTCCGGTACGAAAAAGCTCGCCCTTGTCCAGAGTAGCTTGCCCAGTCTCGATACCTAGATCTTGTAGCTAGATATCGTCTCTTTTTCATACTGTTGAGATGGGGCCCGTTGCTCACATATTGGTTCATCAAGCTGGTTTTGCCAACACCGCTGTCACCGAGAATTATGATCTAGAAATAAACAAGAATGTCAACCACAAATACAATCAGCGCATTGTATCTATGTGTATATGAGAATGATGTAGGGGCTCGAGGAGAAGGGTGTTGTCCCGATAAAATAAAATAAGGAGTGACGGAGGTTCGCGTGCATACCTTGAGGAGAACCTTCTTTCTCGAGGCCATAGTTTCGTTGGGTGCGTAGGGTGTAGGGACATGCACAGACAAGCAAAAAAGTTTATCGAAAAGACACCAAAGCTTCCTATAAAGTAGGCGAGAAAGTTGCGTAAGCGGTCGGGTTCAAGAGCGCAAATATGTTGAAGGCTCCTTAGAGATAACCAAGGCGGGTTGGCGAAAGGTAGCGGTTTCGGCGGGGTTAAGTTCGGAATGGAGTTGGTGGCTTGATTTCTCGGTCGACTGCAAGTCGAATATTTGTTGTTATTGGGAATCGTTGCCTATAGGGGCTGTACTAAGTGGGAGATGGCTGCCTGGAGGAGGCGATGTGAGGCTTTGTGGCGGAGGTGTGGTCTTGACACGACAATGTTGTGGGTTGATGCCGGTGACAATCGGCATGCTTAGTCGGCAACAGAACCCATCAGTTCATGGAGAGCTCTCCAGCCAATCAGAATCTCGTGTGCTTGTCTCATGTCAGGAAACCCAAACTCCAATTTCACTTAACCTTATCAATATCTGATACATGCATAATATACTAGCAATATGTAGCAAACCGGTTGGGAAACGGTGCAATCATTTTTCCCATTCTCGGCTACGTTGTACAACGCAATTGCAGAGTAATACATCAATTTTTTACCGTATGGAATACTGGACCTCAACAAACACAGGGTCAGATATCCGGCTATCCATGTGCATTATTTATCACGTCACCATGCCTCTCTGGAAACAGTTTTGGCTTCCATTCCAGTAAAAAAGGACAGAAAATGGAAGAAGGTCATGACATCGTTGACCGGGTGCAACGTCTGAGCGACCTCGAGCTTGCTATGCTACTGTCGCTTATCAGCCACGAGCACTGTGTCATTGGCACACCGGAAACTGCTATGGATAGCCTTGTGGATGAACTTCGTTTAGTACGTGAAAACCAGAGGCTTTGGTTGGCAACAACGGATTTAACTGACCGATTCACTCTGTAGATATCCAGAAGCATTTTTGGACTGCACTGTACTGTGGTTGACTGCCAAAGTGGCACAACACTGGAAGATTTTATCACGCCCCTACTTTTATCGACCACGTCGTCTTCCTTCAAAAATTACAGCGACATTGGCAACACCGGTCGTACCAGCCATATCAATGGCACATCAGCCCACCAGCATAACGGAGATAGCTCGGCCGATTTCTCCCGTTTGTTTCCGATGGCACCACGGCTTCCTGAACCATCTAGTCGGCGGGCATCACAGCCAGTTACCAGCAACCTGGCTGCACCAGACATAAGCACTTCTGCAAGTGCCACAACCGCGACTACTCCAGCTGGTACCTCATCTATAGCTGATGTTCTGATTGCCAAGAACTTAAATATGGCACCCGAGGCCGTCCAGATTCAAACACTGGAGCTGTTGCGTACTCGTCGCATTTTCGCAGCCACAGCTATGCAAGCAGCACCTCGCCCATTTCTGCTTGTCGCCGTTGTTGCAGCAAATCGCGGGTTCCGTTGGGGTGGGGCTGACGACGTTGCCAAAAAACACACCAGTAAAAAAGACACGGCACCTAAAGTTGCACCTTATATGACAGCCCATTTAAACGACTTCTTCTCCATGGGCCACTGGCATGACCCAGATCATGGATATCCTAATCTCGAAGAGCAGGGGGCAGATGCGAACAGCAAACCGCGCGGCGAGGAAAATTCGGATAGTGAGAGTCTTGTCAAACAAAGCGTTTCTAGCAGGGCGCAGCGCGGAAGGGGCAACACTGCTATTCTCTCGAGCCTTGGCCCGACCCCTGGGATGTCCGACGCGCCAATGACTTACACAGCCTTTTCCGATGCCGATATTGACCACCTTACCACCTTGAGTAAACACGTCCGTGTTGACACTGAAGTGCTCCGCTACCAGTTAAACGTGGTGGCCTTTTTGCGTATGCACCGTGCGGTAGCTGTCATGGGCCCAAGTATAAGTGGACTTAGTTGCGTTTCGCCTCGTGCCACAAAACAGTTTGAAAATCTGGCCCGGTGCCTTGCGCCGCTCCACCGGCTTGATTATATATCCCCTGCCCTTGTTTCTTTGGCGGCCCGGAAGACATATCTTCACCGGATTCGGACCATTAGCGTCGGTCACAGCAGTTCACGCCACCCAATGCATGAACGGAGCATGCAGTGGGGCAGCGAGAAGGCAGTCGTCAAAGCAATATTGGAAGAGATGAGCCCTGAAGATGTGATTGACGATGTTCTTGGTTCAGTCGTTCCGCCATTATAACCTTAGAATTTGCACTTGTGCGCAACTTTGTTCATGTTAACAAATTTCAATACAATCGCATCAGTTAGTGGGTGCTTTCCATAAATGTAAACCACACAAGAACGTTCCTATTACCGACAGAGACAGACAGAGAGATAGAAAGAGAGAGACAGTGAGAGAGAGAAAGAAAACGTTTAATTAACACGCAAATCCAAACCCAACGCCGTATGTTACGTATCGTGATGCACGGTAATGAAAGGCACCAACAAACGGTGTCCATTGCACCAACCTGTGGCCCCAGTCGTCTTGTTTACAAAGAATAACGTAAACATTGATGAAGTTTTCTAAGTCGTTGATCACGTTCCCGTGGAAACCGAAATATCTTCAGTTAGCGATGAACTTCGGTGACCTTGCATGACCAGCCGGAGCCCTTTGACAGCAATGGAAGACTAATAGCAAAAAGTTAGCATTGTGATTCACGACGAGCAAAGGACCTGGTAGAACAGAAATGAAAAGCCAGGGAAACTGAAATAAGGGCCTGGTACTGACCTGGCGCCCAAACACCAGCCAAGTTCATTGTCCTTAATCTTCTTGGCGATGCGAACCTCACGGTCAATAGGCATCTCGTATCCTGTATGAACTAGAGCCAACATGAAGTTGAGGTCCATGCAATGCTCGGGGCGGTCACGGAGTTCGTCAACAGCGCCCGGGACCGATGAGAATACACCCCAGGCATCACTCCCTGAGCAAACAGTGTTTGTCAAGTCGTGCATTTCGCGAATAGTGAACGACTCTGGCATGCCCAACGGTTGTGTACGGTCGAAAAAGTACGACAGAAAGTATACAGCCTCCTTTGCAAAAGTTTTGCCAATGGGGGGCTGGTGGACACCGTTGAAGGAGCACGGTTGAAGTCCACACTCGGCATCCTTGCGTAGGATACGTTCGGCCAGGCTGCGACATTGTGCAGGCGCAGCCTTTATGGGGCCGGTCATGTTCAACTCAGCTACCTCGCCCAGTGGGTGTCCTTCACCCAACTTGATCTTGACAGTCTTCTCCATGCCCACAGAGAAACACGGGTTAACGACAGTGGCCTTTACCCAAGCAGCGGCAGAGGCATCTTTATTCACTTCTTGAAGGTCGTCCACGAGCGCCTTGTAAATGGCGTCCCGTGCACTCATCAAACCGTAGCCTAGGTGCGAGTGTTGATAGAGGGTGAAATGACGGCCGCCAAAGTCCAAGTCGTATTTGTGGTCGCCTTCAGCCATCTTCGTAGGGATACCGCCTTGTGTTAGGCCGTTGTAATTGGGCTCAAACACAATTTGGGTGGAACCACCACCTAGGTCAAAAACGGCAGCCGTCTCTTCATGTTCCGGCATACCGATATTCCCGAGAAGGTAGTTAGTTGTGATCCACGCATAAACACCTTCGTCAGATCCATCCATGATGGCAACGCCACCGTCCTCATCGGACTGAACAGGGAATGGGTAATTTTGCTCCAGGTGGAGACGAACGGCGTCCAGTATACGTTGGCTCTTTTCGGGGCCCAAAAGACGCAGGCCGGCGGTGGCCTTGACGGCAATTGGAGTGCAGGCCTTGAGTTTGTCAGGTACCTCTCGCATGGCTTCTTCTAGGAGCGGATCTAGGCTATGGGCCGCTCCTTCTGGGTCATCATGGTAGGCACTGAGTCCACTGCTGCGGCCTTCAATTTTCTTCGTCTGCTTGAAAACCTCGCTCTCAAGTTCGGGTGTGGCACCGCAATTGTTGAATTTGTAGACATGGATACGGGAGCCCGTGCTCCCGGCATCGATCATCAGAACGTACTGGACGATGGGTTTGTCGCGCGAGCTGGAACGGTTACAGCGTTCGGTACCATATGACGCGTCAACGGGGACCTGGCCATCACGAGAAGAGGACGAAACTGACGCTTATTAGCCAGATATAAGTAAACACGCGAGCAACGCAGGATACGTTGCAGGAGACAACTTACCTCCACGATATAGATCGACGCCTTGGGGCGAGAAGTAGTAGAACAGGAAGAGCACGGTGGACAAGACGGCAACAGCCTTAATCCACCGCGTTTGTTTGGCTTGCGCCATCCAGGCGGTAGTGCGCTCCAGCGTGGATAGCTGATGCGGATGAGTCCCGTAGCGAGCGGGTTTCTCGTACGGGTCGTGGGCTCGTTTGTTGGTCGGCAGCGAAACGGACGTTCGGCGCATGTCACCAAGACGCGAGAGCCGGCCAAAAAGTAGGCGGTAGGGAGGTGGATAACAAGCACGACGGACGTGGGGGAAGATGGAAAACGAGTGAAAGGAAGAAAGTACAAAGTGTGATGCGAGAGATGAAAGGAGGGACAGAGATGAAAGTTGGTGATGCTGGGATAGGAAAAAAATACAGCAGTACAAAAATGTTAACAACAGAATGCGAAAGTCACTGGGCTGTGGAGAAAGAACGGAGGAACAACTCACCCAGGGATAGAGGGAAACCTAGAACCGAAAAGGGGCAATGCTGAGTGTATGTCAATGTTGCGCTGGGCGTGGCGTGTATTAACTCTGCTGGGCCCCCAGTAGGCGGCTTGCGCTGTACTTTCACACAGCCAATCACAGCGCCTTACATGTGGAGTAGTATCAGGAAAGTAAAGCTGTTCGGAGTACTTCGTATGTAACATGAATATCCGCTAGCTATGAGAACGTTTATACGTCTGCTTTTATTAAAGCAAAATTCGTTACTGAGGTGCCAAAGTTAACCGCAAAACATTGTACCCAGCCAACTCTATATGGCATCAACTAATAAACTACAGTCTCACCTACGAGAATTTCAAATCCTCACAACGGCCTGGTTCGCGGCTTCCGCCGTGATTATGTCATCTCTCCGATGCGCCCATCCTGCCACCGAATCGTGATTTCCCACTTAGGCAACTTTTGTCGAACGTCGCTTCCCGAACAACTGTTGGCTTTCCCGAGCATGTCGGCGCCACTGGGAAGGGCGCAATTCCCCCACTGTTTTCTACACGACACTGAAAATACACTTTTCCTTGCCGTCTTGTTTTCCGGTCTTTTTATATAAAGTACACCGTGGCAGCCCTGCTCTGATGACGGGCATGCAAGATACCTTTGCTTATTACGACTGGTATCTACAATTGCACTGACAGATTCCTTTTTACAGCACAGCCTAATTCACTTTTAAGCCTGGCTCACCTCCTTCGTCTGATACAAATCAATCAACATGGCTACAATCCAAGAGCACTCCATCCAATGGCATGAAGGCGAGATTGCTATGCAACGTCTCCTCAACGGACCACACTACAACAGACCGAACCCGACATCCACCGGACTGTCCCAGGCACACGCATATCGCATCGCTGTGTCTCCCCTCGCTGCATTTGGCGCTTTAGACCGCAAGGGTCGTCCTTGGACCACCGTTCTGGGTGGAAGCCCGCAGTTTGCACAAGCTGTCGCACCTGGTGTGTTAGGTGTGCAGAGCATCGTGGATCTGGACTATGATCCTGTTGTCGATGCTCTGTTTGGTGGCGACGAAGATAACGGAGGGGCCAAGGGCAACGGGGAATTGCAACGTCCTGGCCCTGAATACGGGCCTATAATGGCAGGCTTAAGCATTAACCTCATTACTCGGGATCGAGTGAAACTTGCCGGAAGGATGATTGCCGGTGCAGTGTCCATGAGACCGGATGGACCAGTGGGAGAGGAAGGGGCACACCTTGGCCGTATCGGTAAGATGCAGCTATCCCTGCTCGTGCAGGAGGCCCTTGGCAACTGTCCAAAGTACCTAAACCAAAAGAGAATCATGGTTCACAAACCACGTCCCCAGCTGGTCTATGACTCGGACAAGTCACCTGGGCCACTTCCCCGAGCCGGTTTTGAACTCATCGAAGGTGCCGACTTGTTTTTTCTCTCGTCTACTGACGGGAAAACCATGGACACGAACCACCGTGGCGGATCACCGGGGTTTCTGCGAGTAGCTGATGAGGGTGGTCAATCCCCAAACCACACCGCTCTGACTCTTGTCTACCCCGAGTTTTCCGGCAACCGCCTTTACCAGACACTGGGCAACCTGAAGGTTAACCCACTCGTCGGCGTAGTCATTCCAGACTTTGAGACCGGGAATGTGGTATATCTCACGGGCCGAACAAAAATCCTCGTTGGCCCAGAGGCGAGAGCATACCTACCACATACGAAGTTGGCAGTCCGTATTGAGGTAGAACGAACCATATTTGTCACAGACGGCCTTCCCTTCCGTGGCGAGACCATCGACTTCTCTCCTTACAACCCCCCTGTTCAACCCCTCCTGTGTAAAGCTCTTGTTGCAGATGAACACGGAACTGTTGAAAAACAGGAGCCTATTGCCATGGCCATCATTTCGGGCCGTCAAGTGCTTTCACCATCTATTGCTCGGTTTACTTTTATTCTCAAAGCGACTTCTAAAATCAATGCTACCCAGCTACAGTGGCAGGCTGGTCAGTACATCACACTCGATTTTGGCACCGAGCTTGACCTTGGTTGGTCACATATGCGCGACGACGACCCGCAATCACTCAATGACGATTTTGTACGCACATTCACGATTTCCAGCCCACCTCCGTCGCCGCCATCGCCACATACCACTGGCCCGTTGAAAAAATCGCCGCCTGTCGTTTCGATCGAGCTAACATTGCGTCGCCATGGTCCAGTCACCAAACTTTTATGGCGCCGCGATCTTCGTGTTCCTTTGGAAACACCTGTACTTGCTTTTGGTGGCGATAGAAATTTTCACATCACCTCACCTCGACATGTGACTGAGAAGGCAGAGTCTCAGGAGGCTATTTTCATCGCTTCTGGTATAGGAATCACTCCCATACTAGCACAGGCTCCTCGTCTTTTGTCGTGCCAGGGGCTTGGTGCGGGTGTACAACTGCGGGTATTGTGGAGTCTGCGCACCAGTGATCTTTCTGTGGCTGCGGACAGTTTTGATCGGATAAGCGGATTGGCAAAGCGTACAACTGTTTTTGCGACAGATGCATCTGTGTCTGGAGAGCCAAAAGCAGCTTTCAAGGGATTGGAAGAGATGGGAGCCGTTGTTGTTACAGGGCGCCGCATACAGAAGGTTGACATCATTCCTAGCCACGGTGGGGATCAAAAAATGGTCCGTAGGAGGTTATACATTTGCACGGGGCCAAAGATGCTTGCAGACATACAGAGATGGTTGCCGAATGAGGATATGGTCTGGGAAAACTTTGGATTCTGAAAATCACTCAGGTACTTTAGTCCTGTGCATTTGCTTCTGTGTTGTTAATCAAAACGCTCGCTATCTGGCTGGTGATTCTGTGTAACGAATACATTTGCTAAATGAAGGAGGCTTTATGGCCGCCAGTGCCTAAAGCCGGGACAGGAGCCAGGGTATGGCTAGGCGAAAGTCGTTGAGCCTTCTTCAGACCATAATTCTGGTCTCTCAAGAATAACTGCCTCTCTACTGTTCTCGGACTGGAGACGTAGAATGCATTTTGCAACGTGCAGGCGGGTCGTCGCCTCGAAGTTGACAATGAGTAATACTGGCCTCCAAACAATCTCCTGGAGACGAGATTAACCATCGTCTTACCTTGGCTGGTGGTTGTCAAGGAAAACTTGTAATTCCGATGGGCCTGCTAGCATGACAATGGATGCTAACCTACTCATATACATATTAGGGTCCGCCGCCGTACAAGTTCGGCAACACGTAGCACGGTGGTTCGGATGGATTCACAAATCAAAAATACTAGAGGAGGAGGTGGGAGTGGTTGTTGAGGAGAATTGCAAAAGCCTCGCCTGCCTTATTATCGTATCTATCTGCCAAAAAAAAAGGTCGCTGGGAGGAGTCATGTTACATACAAAACAAACAACAGGAATAATCATGCCACTGAAGGTGTAACCCCCCACTGTCACAAAGCAGTTACCCAGATTTCAAACCGTAGTTCAGAAGTACGGTACCGCAATGCCCTCCGAAAGATAACGCCGTTCCCCCCCTTCCAAGACAAGCCAGAAAGGAGGAGAGAAAATATCAGCTATTGTTTCTCATAATACGTGTCAACGATGCGACGAACGTGAAAAAAGTAAAAATAAAACAGCAAAATTTGAAAATTTGAAAATGCGAAAATGCGTGTTTGAACGCGCTTGAAACTTCGTCTCTCATATGCTCACGCGTTCGAATAGGCGAAAATACTCTGCGTAGTCCTAGAATGAGGAAGACGACGACGAGTCTGCAGTTGAGAACAGGTGATGTCTCGCTGAAGTGTTGCCGAAGGGGCAATATGTTGCAGACGAGTCGACCAACCAAGAACTTTAGTTGCATGGTGTTGCTCGAAGGTACCGTACTGTAGTCGGCGAGTCATCTCATGGGTATGAGAGCGAATGTAAAGACGATGGGTACATCATGACCCTGAGCTCCCACTACCCGTGCTGCTCGTGATGCTGACGCTACGCCTGGCAATAACCACGAGGCGATAAATACCGAATGCAATAGCTGCAAGAAACACGAAGAGAAGAATAATGATGAGGGCAATGACGTCGTTTTCCTTCATAGCGGCGGTTGACCTGGAGGGGTGAAGAAGCCAAGTAGTAGTTGCGATAAGAGAGGAATGCGGCACGGATTCAACAATCTGCGACAGGGGACTGTTAGGACGTAGTTGTGTGGCGATGTCTTGGTGTTGGAATGCGGTAAGGAAAACAGCCGAGACTCACAAATCGTTTCTGTGGACTGAGAGGCAACAGGATTCTCTGACTCGTTTGCAAATGGTCTCGCGATGTCTATTCCTGGTACGCGGCAGAACCCCAAAATTCTGTCTCTTCGCGACAATGTGGCGGCGAGGTTTGGCGTGAAATGACGCTGTGTTAAAAGGAGGTGCGAGAGGTCCAAAACTGGCCAAAAAGGTTGTTTGTCGATAAAATGATGGATGAGTGACTACTGTACGTAAACAGCTTGCAGGGAGAAAATGGCAAAGAAAGAAGAAAAACCAGAAAACACTGACAAAACGGATTGAGTGCACAACGACTGGGTGCGTCCTCAAATAGGCAGTATTGCTGGTTGCCCCGCCACCCATTTTAGAGAAAGTCAATAAACGGCAAGGCTGGAAGAAAAGAAGTGCTGGAAAATAATTTTCGCCATGTTGCACTACGCCAATACTGAGTAGGCTGCTGACAGCGCCAAAGCGCTACCCCATTACTAGTGTGGGGCAACTTTTGGTATCTTATCCTAGCACAGACGATGGCCCATAACTGTGTTTACACCGCACGACATATTACTCCCTGTTACTACATCGTATATGTGGACGTCGGACGGAAATCAAATGTCGAGGTAGTATTTCGTTTGGACGACCAGTTTTCACCCTTTGTTGTGGCGATTGTGATTAGTTTGTAAAACTCTCTAGGTCTTCGTATGCAACTTTTAACCTTGTGTTGCCTGGAGCTCGTCTATTGCTACAGTGAGACGTTGGTGCGTCCAGCGGGACATCTGCCCAGCCACCTGACAATTAGTCCTCGTATTTCTCTCCCATTGGGTCTGCTAGGTGCTTAATGAATGACCACGCCCAACTCTCCCAGCTATCCAAGCATGGCATCCGTCTGAGCCTTTCTGTGATGGGCATAGCATGATGTGCTGCACACACGTTGTTAATACGGTTATACAAGCATTCTCCGATGTGTGTCTTCACCGTGGAGACCACATCAAAGGCTCGAAATGACGCCTCCTCAGTTCAAACAAACGTGGTAACCCGCATCGGAGAGAAGTTTTGATTGAAGAGCGGACAGAGCCAAAGAGAAGCACACACGTCTAGGGCGGACGCACGCCACGGCCGTGAACGTCCTACGTATGCAGCTACCGTACTCCCATAAGCGTTGTAGACATACATAGAATTAACAAAGACAAACATTGGCGATAAAATATACTTTCACTAACGACGATTAACGCCCATCGCGTTGGCTACCTCAAGAGCCGAATACCTTGCCAAGCCTCTTCCTCCAAATTCTCCGTCTGCAGTTCATTCCGTTGGTGTCTTGAAGCTGATACGCGATTCGTAGAAACGAAGGATCTGGAGAGCACAATTGTTAGCAGGCCGGGTTGCTTGTACGAGGGAAGGCGATATGAGCTATAAGCTCGTCTTACTCTCTGCGGGCATCTCACGTAAGCGTGCTGTGCTGCGTGATGCGATTTACTACCGTTCCGCCATGTCAAGAACACGCGCAGCTCGCCGTCGTCTCCCCGGAACATCTCCACGTCCACTACCTCATCCTCCCAACTACCTGCTGGAGGTTTGAACACCTTTTGTACTTCTGCAGGCGATTCACGATCTGCTGGGTGGTCTTCGCTCTTTTTGGGCCGTTTCGAAGCGGTCGTGGGACTTGCGCTCGCGGGCTGCCGTCCGCGTTTCTTGCCCTTAGAAGGCTTCTCAAATAGTTTTGGTCGGCCGCCGATTTTCGTAATATATTCACTTAGGATTTCAGACGCATTTTCCCTGGTCGTAGCCACCCACGAGAGTGTTAGTTGCAAGATGATCCTTAAGGGGTACATGTAGCGGATAACCTTGTACGTACGCCAAGTTATCTTCTGGCTCCCACGTGTGATCGCTGGGGCTCTCATATCCTTTCCAGACGACACGAAAACGGGGTTCTTCGTTCTCCTATGCGTGGACTAGTTAGCTGTATCTCTTTTTTGTCATACGCGAACGTGGCCTGTGCATATTGCGCACTCGCGAAGAGGCTTTTGTATATACACTCACGTCCAGCATATGGTCGATGATTTGTTGAACTTCGTATCTGTGTGGTAAGTTTATAATGTCAATAGCTGTAAGCTAATAATCAAAAAAACATTGAGGGAGGTCAGTGGCAGCTTAAATGTATCGCGAAGTAGCCAACATACTCGTCTCCGTCTTCGTCGTCTTCGTCTTCGTCGACATCGTCGTCGTCACCACTAGTGCCCTTCTCATTCTGATCCTTAGAATCTACGTCCTTCTTCCTACTCGCGGGTAAGGCTGAACCGTTGCTTTGTGAGACACCCTTGGCACGTCCACCGTCACGTTTATTCGGCTTGTTGTTGCCGGACGAGTTAATGCTGTCCTCGTCTTCTTCAGCGGCGTCGGCATATGCGCCAGTCTTTCTTCCCCGTTTCGAAGGAGGCGGCGTGGTAACGGCACCGACGCCGCTTCCGTCAGACATTTCGTCGTCACTCAAGGCTGTGTAGACCAAGTTAGAAAATACCCCGTTCACATACGCGCGCAAAGCTCAGGGCCCATGCCACCGTTGCAGATTCACCCTCCTATACCGAAATATGGAGCGCCCAAAGGCAAGTGAAGACAGCGAAGAAGGGCAAGGGAGGGAATATCGAGGATAGCACAGGGAGTTGCGAAAGCATACCTGGAGGCATATTCGTGATCTCAATGTGAAGTTGGCCAGCGTAAACCGGCTGCGGGCCCAAAAAACATATCCAATTGCTCAAGGATGTGCTGTCAACCTGATTGAACTGCCATGATATCAAAGTGTCCTGGTAGGTGAGCAGTTTGCGGTTCGATGGCGAAGTGTAAAAGTGAAAAGCCAGAGACTAGCACTGGTGCGGATTTGCGTCGCGTTTTCTTTTCTAGCACGGTACGCGTGTGCTGCGATCAGGTATTATTACCGCTCAATTAAATTGTAAAGAGCGGATAAATTTTGTCATGTGATAGATCACACTCTGTCAATGCCAGCATACTGTTGGGGAAACCTAATCTCTCTCTATTGGCTGGATGGAATACTTAGCTGTGCGGCGGATGAGACTTTAGGGTCTCCAAGGCCCAATGATGATTTACATCCCAACTTTTGAACAGTTTCTCCCGACGTTTCTTTTCTCAGACAACTCATTTCGTATGTATGTTGTAAAGCCCAGTCTATGTCGTATAACAACATTCGATACATCTGGTAGGCGAACCCTGAAGTCAGTACATACCGGAGAGCACGGATTTTTTACGAGAAAGTATGGTATTCTTAGTTTTCACAATGAGCGATTTTTTTTATAGTAGCGTTAAGGGAAACATTACCAAACAAATAATTATTTGATTACCGACAAGTAAATTAATGCGAGAAATAACAAAGAAGGAAAGACGAGAATAAAAGGGCCATTAGAAAGGAAGATAAGAAGTCAAGAAAGGGAGAGGGTCACTCAAAAAGGACCAGGGGTCAGAAAGAGAGATAGGCGAGAACTGAGACAAGAGCTTACTTAACGATTAAGCTTTTGCATTTGAGAACAATTCGCATATCGTCGAAATGATGTTTTGTATTTACATAGTACTGGCAGCACCGCGAAGTTAACTTACCTCACCAACCTTTCATATAATTTTCCACGACCAAGGACTACTACATCCACTCCACAGCCCCACGTCGATCCAACCGATGTGACAAGGTCGCCAGTTGTGCATAAAGCTGGTCTCATGTTGTACCCATACACGAGCGGAAGCCCAATGTGCCACTGACACGAAGTAATAGGTGACAAGGAAATACACAACAATGTAAGGAGACGACTGAGGAGCAAGTAGGCTAGTATGGAGACACGCAGCACGAGACTAACAAGGAGGTACGGCTGTTCAAAAAAAATATGGCGAAAGGGTACTCGGCAACTTGAGTCACGGGCGTGTGATATTTTTGAGTGAAATGAACAGAAAGCCTGCTGCGAAGGTGTGAGCTTCTGGCCTAGAATGACGTTACCCCGAGAGCAGTTTTTTCTTTGTCCGTAGTCAAAACAAATGTAGGAAGAACCAGGAGGCAAACTGGGAGGCAAGAACAAAGGCGAGAATACATGTTATAGATGACACGTTTTCGAATAATGTGTCGGGCACATATTCGTATGAGGTAGAGTTGGGATACAGCAACATCGGTTTTCTTACGACTCAGAGCCGCGACCCTTACCTGACTTCGGACACGCGAGTTTATTGGTTATTCGTCGAGAAGCAAAACATGCTGCTTTGGTGGCGGCCAAGCCACTAAACAAATAAGATTAAGACCCCCGAAAGCTCCTGCACGAGGAAGGGGCCGGAACAATAAACAACGGGCGCGTGCACTGTGCAAATAGAGGAGTGTACGTAGACAACAAGAATTGTTTGACGGCAATTACGAGTGAGGAGTATGTTTGCACGAGTTAAGTTTCTTTGCTGTAGGGCATTTGTGTCCGATGCTTTACCAGTCTCTGTCATCACTAACGTATGGCTCGCCGGCCAATTCAAGGCTCCAAGTCGGTTTGTTCTCGACAACCTATGAATGTAATGAGTGGATTGGATACTCGGTAATCATCTACACGAACAGAGCCAGTGCCTGGCACTCGAGCAACCTTTTGAGAAGCCGGCATATGAAGACTGTAGCTATAACTGCTTTTTGGTAAGAAAGAGCTTCATGAGTGACAGTCCTTCAAAGAAAAAATTAAAATGAAAGAGGTTTTACGATACCCATGCTCCGTGCGGCGTATAAACTAGGCCGCCTTGAAATGGGTAACTGCGAATATACACGACTAGTACTAGCCGATTGTCTCTTTTATTGTGACGATTTATTTCGTACATATTATTCCGTCATGTTCCAGGTCTCGACATACGGAATGCATTTTGCCCTACTCCAGCGGACCGTAAACGGCGGCTACAGGGGTGTGGTGATCTGCGCTCCCAGTCCACAGAGCTGGGCTGGCGAACGTGTATATATATTACACATTTACGACATACGACGTCCGTCGGAAATGCGTTTCGGTAGGGTGTGAATTGTCATCTTGGGCTTGAAAAGCGTGCCTGTAAGCTCCATACGTCAGATACAATTAATAATACCCCGTACCTTTGACGTACTCCATACTCTGTACAATTTATATCCGGCTTATCTTGCCAGAACGCAGTTGCCGAAAATTCGTGCAACTTTAAGGTTGGATCGTCCTGAAATGCTACTTTTTGTAGACACTCGTAGATTCGCCGGACTCTCGCCTTCTCGAAGGGATAAATAATTTCTCTTTCGGGTCTGACTTACTGTATTTCATCCTAACAAAAGGGAATTACCACCTAGGCGATCAGCAGCTAAAGAAGAGGGTGTGAGGAGGGTTGAGTATTTCATGTGCCCGCTACACCGTGGAGACGTCAAGCAGAGCATGTTCATTAAGCACAGCCTGTAGCCGCATCGTAAGATTACCTTGCTCGGGGAGATGTAAGCGCACGACTGTGAACGTCATAGGCATCCAACTCACAGATACGTCCCACGCCGAGCGTTTAACTGCAACTATACGGAGTAGGGGTGATTAATACATTGTACTGCACAACCAACAGCGCAGAACTAGGCACTCGGACGCGTGGAGCGCGGCTTGCGCTTGCAGGAGGAAAGATAACTAGTGCTGCTTGCCGAATAAACAAAAACAGTTATCAAAGGCTCCTTTTCCGAATCCCAGCACAGACATCGTATGCTGCACACCATGTCAACCTTTGTCGGGGTCGGGAGTCTTTGCTGGGAGCGAAGGCAAGCGGACCTGTGCTTTGGAGATGAGTCATGAGATGCAACGAAAATCGTCCGTTGATATGGAGTATGTCTTTGTATCATCTGTATAATAGAGTACGACGTACGGAGTAATACAACATACTTTGAGTATGTTTTTTGTGTTTCGTTCCCCCAGGAAAAGCCGCGCCCACTCAAGCAACTGTTTTTTATGTAAGGTGAACCCGTTGGGATTTGTGCCCCACTGTTGACCTCAAGTGCTGGATCGAGGCCCAGACATGTTACCCACTCGCCCTTTCCTCGGTCCGCCTTGATCCATGATTACCGTACTCTGTACTCGAGAAGCACACTTATCCGCTCGAGATGCAAAGTACGGGTACTACTGCTACCACCTTTCTCCACTTATGGCCAATGAGACACTTATTAGCGCTCGACTAATTCTGCGCGGCTGGTAAGGTAATGAAAGTGCTTCGCCCCTGCCTGCTAATTCAACTCGCGGCGCCCCTGTCCACCAAGGATTACCGGGGATTTTGGTCGTCCGTTTCGCCCCATCCCGACTTGAGCTTGAATTTTTAATCGACAAAGGTCCCAGCAGACTGTCAAGAGTGTCCTTTTGAAAGACGAGCGACCTTCCAACAAAACCTCGCGCTTTGCGTCTTCCGCCAACCACGGCCTAGCACACCCATTGCAAGCCAACGTATGCCAGTGTAAGTACAGCTGTCCCAACCAGCGGGAGCTCCAATACACAGTACCGGAACCAACTGCTAATTCGTATCGAAAAACGTTGTGCGTGCCTCTCAAGACCAAGAACGAAGCAGGAGACAAAGTTGACAGCTACAGGCAAACACCAGATGGGGAGCTGCAAACTTGCCAACACGCCCCCAGACTTAGCAATCTAACGCACCTGCAGCCGACCAGAAATTAGACCTGCAGCAACCTGCAGACAGAGACTCTTAACCGACAGTGCTCTTGCTGTTGGCCCCCCTTGTTATTTTCTCTGTCTCTCTCTTGTCTCTTTTTTTTTTTTTTTTTTTTTTTTTTGGTTTCAAGCTTCATTTTCCCCCTCGACCCCGGCGCCTTGTCGATCAGGAAAGGACCCAATGAAGCGCTCCTAAATAAAAATACATAACGGCTGGCTACCCTCTTCAAACCCCTCGTCGAAAGTATCAAGGTTGTGACAGCATTTTAGTGCATTTGTCGGGTAAACGATGGCCGCAACGAAGAACATATCACGAGAGGGACGTTAAGAACGGAATAAAAGCACACCATATGTTACTATATCCTCATCCCTCATCAGCTCTTTTACTTGGCAGTCCCATTTCTGTTTACTGTGCTGTCCGCAGGCCGACAGGTGCAATACGCGGGGCAAGCAATTCGGTTTCGTCGGACACAGCATATTGATACTACACCAGTGTGCACATTCATATTTCTTTGCTAGGAGGACGACATCCGCCAGCGGTGGTTAGCTGGAACCAGTGAAGCCATGTCTGAGGTTTTTCCAAGAGCCAAGGCTGAGGACAACACTCCAAAGGCCATCAAGGACAAAAATTGTCCCTATTGTGGCCAGGCGTTCACGTCTTCGTCTCTCGGCCGTCATCTCGACCTGTACATCAAGGAGCGCAACCCTAAGAAACGGGACGGCATTCACAATGTCGATGAGATTCGCCGAATGCGTGGGGGTATTACACGGCGCCACCCGAAAGGATCCTCGAGACGCCGTAATACGACAACACCGGCTGAGACACCGTCTGCCATTCCGCACAGGGCCGATGTCTCGGGCGATGAGACTTCGAACGCACCCTCACCGGCTGCTGGGAACGTCACACACGCGTCCATGGGCACGTCGGCCGCTGACATCGCCTCCATGTTTCCATTAGGAGGCGTGCGCTGGGAGGCTACCGGCGTTATGAACGAGGTTTTGGTCACTTCCCCAGATGGAACCGGCGGTGCCGACGGCGGTCACGGTGGGGAAGTATCCGGGTCTATAACCGACTCTGGCACCAGAGGCTTCGACCCTAATCGTCGTCCGATAGCCTCACGGGTCATGGGCAAGCAAACTGCCGAAGCTCAACTAGTTTCGAAACAGAAGATGCAAGACGCCTTAGACGATGCGCGAGCCGCAGAGCTCGCACTGAGAGAATTCACAAATGCTTGGCGGGCGGCAAAGTAAGCTTGATAATCCTTTAACCTCCTTTCCTCACCCAATTTTCTGTTTATATTCCACGCGCACGAACCCATCCATGCTCTCACCCCCTTTGTCCGTTGCAGACAGCCGACTGAATGTTAGAAAGACAGCAAATCGAAATGGGGTCAATGCCTTTTGACTTTGATCCTCTGACCATGAACTTTCCGGCACTCACGCTGCAATGCCTCCGTGCTCAGCCCACTCTATTCGCCTCAACTCAGATTCCTACCCCCATGTCCTGGTCAACCACTCCGCCAGGAGAAAGCCAGTTCGAAGCATTGAAAAGCTTCTTCAGGGAAGAGTTTCGCAAATGGAGAGTCAAGTGTGCTGCCGCCACCACAGCACAATACGATGATTTGAAATACCCACCATCGCCACAATTCCGACACCTCGACCGGCGTGAAGCCGTCGAACGCGCTGAGAGGTCAGCGGATGCGCTCGAACAAGAGGCCAGCAAACACCTGGAAGTGGCATTTCGTTCATGGGAAGAACTCTCCAACGAACGGCAGAGCGAGCTCTGGACCCTGGAGCTGGCACGAGGTATCGCGAACAAACAGATTGAAATTGACAAACTCAAAGAGGCTCAGAGCGGCCTTCGGCAAGAGGCATCAAGCCTCAAAATCCAAATAGAACAGCTTAACCGCCTGCAGCAACCGCGGGAGTTCAAGCTCGTGCCTCCCACTCACATACCGATGGACGAGAAAATTCTTTTCGAGTTGCAGGACGCGGCTGTCTCGCAGAGAAGCAGGGGCGTTGGCCTCAATATAAACGACCGCCATTCGGACTTGAGCACAATCGTCGCTACTGCTATTGGCCGCTGGAAAAAAGTTGTTGTGTCGACCCGAACTTCTGGCCCTGGAATGGGAGCGCAGCGGTCGCTAGGCACGCCGACCACTACCATCTCAGTAGCTTCATCAGCCCTTGGTAATGCCAACCAGGTAGTCCTCGCGCCACCGGCAACAGCACCGAGTACCCCGTCACTTTGCTCACCTGTGCAGACACGGACAAATATCCACACTTTGTCGCAGCCATCTGCACGCAACCCAGAACCTTCTACCAAGCAATCAGCAGCTGGTGCACCTTCGTCGGCTCTAGGAAGGCGTGTGACAAAACCACACACCCGGGCCCGACCCGAAGTCTTGTCCCCCAACCGTCCGGGCGCAGGAAATTGTGGCGTTGATGACCGGAGACAAAACGCAACTTGCGGTCAAGATGAAGTGGACGAGGACGACGGTGAAGAAGAAGACGAGGTTGAAGATGATGGCCACGAAGGTGAAGAGGGTACCAGTGATAATAGGAGAACTCCAAAGTCTACGAAACTGGCTGTGCAGGTCTCGACAACTCAAGCACCTGTCGATGCGTTAACCGACAAGAACAGCGAAGTGGAAGAGCGCGATGATGAAAACGAAGGAGCAAGCGATAAGGATGCAGACGCCGAAATGGAAGACGGTGACGAGTTTGCCCACATGCATACACCAATATCAAGGGGAGTTTCAGCAAACGGAGAGGCGTCTGCTACTCAGGCGCCGACGACGGTTAGTCAATTCAAAATCTCCACAGCGCGGACGGCGGCGCAACGCATTCCACGAACGACTGGGGTCAGCGGTGCCGGACTGATCAACGCCAGTCGGTCCATGCCCAACATTAATGTTCCGATCCACGGACATCACAAGGACCAGAACACAGCCGCAGACATGCTTTCGATGAACACGCTTGGTGGTGATGCTATGTATATGGACTGAACGAGACGCTTTTACACTTTTTTTGTTCTTCTTGATGCCTTACACGGGTCATATTTGACGTTAATAGAATAATCCCTACCATGTTCCTCGACCCACTCTTTTTTAATTTGTTTTTTAATATTTTTCTTTTAATGTCTTCTCGTTTATTTCCTTCGATTTTCCCCATTCAAACAAAAACCCGCCTTTAGCAGCATTTACAGAGGAGCCTTGCCATGATCATATGGCTTTGCCGTTGTCCTTTTTGTTCCCCTTTCTATTCTTTTTTTGGGGGGGGGGGGTTTTTTCTTTACAGCTTTTGTTCTTTAACCTCTGACTAGGGGCGGTTTAATAGCACAATACCTTTGTATATATATAGGTCTTTTGAGTACATGTGTTGGTCGAAACCGTGTTGTTCTCAACAGAGATGACAATTGCATAAAAAGTCCCTCGCACAATGGGATAATCCTTTCCCAACCCGGCAATTAAGCAAGCCTTGTGGTCTTCAATATCGGCCCACATTTAGTGTTCAAAATTTGGCTCATTGTGCCATTCCCGAATTAATTACAGTAGTGGGCAGTGAGTCAATCATCAATTGCCCCAGTCGAAGCAACCCCGCCATAAATATTTTTAGAGGTTTTTGATCTTTTGCGCCCCTCTGCAAACACTGTTCACAAACACAAATTACCTCCATTCCCAGAGAACCAATTTGGGACCAGCACGCTGCAATTTTTTTTGTCTATTTTGACACCACGAGAATTCAATTGACGATGGCCGACTCAAAGACTCTCGCGCAGGCTGCTGCACCTGCTCCCGTCGCCGAAACGCCCTCCACTCAAGCCGCTGAAGGTCCGGATCTTCACCTCGACGATGTAACCGGAGAGCGTGTATGTTTACCGAATTCGTAGGGCGTCAATCCTTGAATCCTAGCCGGCTAGGGCGCCCTCGATAGAACTCGAGCACCACGGTCGACTTGAAGAGAAACTAACACCAACTCCCTTTAGGTTTCCAAGACCGAGCTCAAGCGCAGGCAGAAGCAACGCCAGAGGGATGAGAAGAAGCAGCAAAAAGCCGCCGAAGTTGCGGCTACGGCTCCTAAGAAGACTGTCGGTCCTGTGCCCGTTGTCGAGAAGGACCTCGACCCTCGCGAGTACTACAAAATCCGCTGCCGGCAAATCGAAGGACTTCTCAAGACGAATGACCCGAACCCGTACCCGCACAAGTTCCTCGTGGATTACGACGCACACAACTTTGCCAACGAGTACAGCCATCTCAAGTCGGGTGAAGTTGATAAGTCGCGTGAAATTCGTCTAGCCGGCCGCATATTCACAACGCGCCGTGCAGGCAACAAGCTGATCTTTTATGATATTCGCACCGGTGCCGACACCAAGACAGTTGGAACACGGATCCAGGTTATGTGCCAGGCACAGTACGTCAAGGAGGGCGGCGTTCCCTTTGACAAGCAACACGTCAACTTGGCTCGCGGCGATGTTATTGGCATTGTCGGCTGGCCTGGTCGAACCTCCCCCAAGAGCCGCCTCGACAAGGGCGAGGAGGGCGAGTTGTCCGTTTTTGCCTCCGAGGTAGTGCTCCTGTCGCCTTCTTTGCACATGCTTCCCACCGAATACTATGGTTTCAAGGATTATGAGCAACGTTTCCGGTCTCGCTACCTGGACCTACTGTTCAACGACTCATCGCGCCAAATTCTCTGGACGCGCAGCAAGATGATCAAGTACATCCGTGACTTTTTTGACTCACGCGAGTTCATCGAGGTGGAAACTCCAACACTTGCCAGTATCGCAGGTGGTGCTACTGCACTTCCTTTTACTACGCACCACAACTCGCTGAACCGTGAACTGTTTATGCGTGTTGCACCAGAGCTGTACCTCAAGATGCTCATTGTCGGCGGCTTCAACAAGGTCTTTGAGCTTGGCAAGAACTTCAGGAATGAGGGAGTTGACTTGACCCACAATCCAGAGTTTACCAGCGTTGAGTTCTATGCTGCTTACTTTGATGTCTACGATGTGATGGCCATTACGGAAGAGCTTGTGTCTGGCCTCGTGAAACACCTGACTGGCTCATTCATTACCAAGTTTGTCACACAGCATGGCGAGGAATACGAGGTCAACTGGGAGGCACCATGGAAGCGTATTGACATGATTCCCGAGCTTGAGCGCATGTACGTCATGTCCGTTGGCATATCACCTGCCGTGTTTATGCCGCCATATTTTTGTTTTCAGTGAGGAGTGTCCCGAGAACTAACAGCAGCACAGTACTGGCAAGACGTTCCCGCCTGGTGACGAGCTTCACACGGACGGGACCAACCAGTTCCTCAAGGACCTTCTCAAGGAGAAGAACTTGGAATGCCCACCGGTATGTGTCACTTTTCTTTGAGGGCCTCCCCCCGCGGCAGATTAAGGCACAGCTCTTGCTAATGTTCCACTTGCGCAGCCTCTGACCAACGCTCGTATGCTCGACACTCTCTGCGGTGAATATCTCGAGACCCAGTGCATTTCTCGTACGTCTGACCAACACGTGTTTTCATAAACTTAACTTGTGCTATACCATTTTAACACTATGTGCTTTTAGCGGGCTTTATCTTGAACCACCCCCAGATGGTAAGTCATCCTGTGGAAGCTCCTGTTACTTGGTGTGCATGACTAACTGACTAACGCATAAAATTTCAGATGTCCCCCTTGGCCAAGTACCATAGAGACCGTAAGGGTCTGTGTGAGCGTTTCGAGGCATTTGTATGTTTACGGTCCCTTTCCTATGAAGTGATGCATGTGAGCCCAGACTGATTGTTGTTCGTAAATAGGTTTGCAGGAAGGAAATTGCCAACGCCTACACTGAGGTATGTACTGAATCTGACAGGCGGGATTTTATGCACCTTATGCTGACGCTGTCGCCTAGTTGAACAACCCTTTTGACCAGCGCATGCGTTTCGAAGAGCAGGCTCGCCAGAAGGCGCAGGGCGATGATGAGGCCCAGCTTGTGGATGAGAATTTCTTGCGCTCCCTGGAGTATGGTCTGCCTCCGACCGGTGGCTGGGGTCTTGGTATTGACCGTCTTGCCATGTTCATGACAAACAACTACGCTATCCGGGAGGTAATCTCGTTCCCGATGCTCAAGGAGGATAAGGTTGTGTCGACGGAGAAGTTTGCCGCCGAGGAGGTCAATGTGCATCCCATGCCCGAGGAAGGCATTGCTCACAAGTAGATATGACGGACAAAGGGACCGTTGTAAGTCACATAATTATTTTGAATTTTCTCCATCTGTCTTTTTTGACTTAGTTTTGTTCTTTCCTTTCTTTTTTTTTCCTGGAGGATGCTGGGATAGGGTGGGTTCATATGTATCCCGAGTGTCAGAACTGCGGTACGACGCAAGAGATAAACAATAGAGAAGTTAAACGCAATCGAGTAGGGGATATCAATTACTTTCTCATATATTCTCACATCAAGCACCAGCCTCACATTTTACGCCATAGTAATTGACTGTAGCGTAAAGGGACATCCTCCTTTCCCACCATAGAAATATCAGAACAGGTCTCCTTGCGTGTATGGACCAAAAAACTTGTAATTAGGTGGAGATTCTATAATTCTACAATACACACCAATTACTGGCATGTGATGGATAAGAGCGGATGCGTTACAGCCTGGGCGTGACCCGCGAGCCCATGCTTGGCTGATGCGGACCTTTTGTGGCATATTTCTGAATCAAACGCAACGTTGACTTGGGCATACGCAAGCGTTGGCCAAGAACAAGTACACCTGTCAGCAGTGCCAAGCTGCCAGCCTGGTGCGTGGCTGCGAGGTGTGTCGGCACCATGTAAATCAGCGTACAGATGCCTAGCGTAGCTTGCATCAGAACCAAGTGCACGACGCCGGTGGTACCACGTTTGGCGTTTCGGGGCAGCACGGAGGCAATGCGGCCGCTGCGCGAGAAGGCGAACAGGGCCAGGATGTAACAGAACGTTGTGGTGGCCAAGATGCGGTGGTCAAGCTGGACCAGCGAGGGGTTTTCGAGCATATTGCGCCACCACAGGTCACTGTGGTCAGGCTTGCGGCTGTAGTGAGCATCCCACAGTTCCTCGCGTGGAGGCGTGATGCCGTTGCCCATTTTGGGGAACTCGTTGTAGATGAGGCCTGCGTCCAGGCCGGCCACCACAGCACCCGACATGGCGGTGGTGAAAACAAGAGCTGTCAGTGCCGCGACGGCGAGGCGGAAGGGCCGCAGAGCCGGTAGTGCCAGTGTATTTGCCAGCTTCGCGGCAGCAGCGGGGTCGGCACGGACTCGAAGATCACGCAGGATAGACAAACCAGTCATGAGCATCCACGAGTAGCACACAAAGGCTGTAGCCAGGTGGGCCGTCAAACGGTACTGTGATACACGAGGCGGCTGCGCGCCCGGAGAAAACAGCTCATCACGCAGGCCCGAGGTCACCATCCACCAGCCAATGATTCCCTGGAAGCCAATCAGGACAGCAATGCCGAGGAGATTCCAAGCGATGCGTTTTGTGACACGGCGGCGGGCGACAAAGTAGATGGCCGGGAGGACAAACGACATGCCAATAACGCGGCCCCAGAGGCGGTGCGACCATTCCATGAAGTAGATCTTCTTGAACTCCTCAAGGGTCATGTTAGGGTTGAGGCGGGCGTATTCGGGGCTGGCGCGGTACTTGTTGAACTCTGCCTCCCAGTCCTCCTCGTTGCGGGGGATGAGGGTGCCGGTGACAGGCTTCCACTCCGTGATACTGAGACTACACAGTCTGTTAGCTGTTCTCCGTCGTTCTTCAGCCAGCACTTCAAGCAGGAGATACAAACACGTACCCGGACTCTGTTAGACGGGTCAGGCCGCCCCAGACCACAATGCCAAAGACACTGACGGCGCTGGCAATCAGCCAGATGGCAACGGACTTTGATGACGTATCTGGGAAGCTAATGGCCCCGGAAGGCGAGGTGTTGTCCTCGGTCCCCGCAGCTGGGGCGGCAATGGCGGTCTTCACTCTGGACATAGTAGAGGGATCTCGCGATGCAGGTGGGGTTTTTGGTCCGGACCGTCTTGTGGAGATTGAAAGAGGCCGCAACGAGGTCGGTATATGGCACACTCTACGAGGCGGTGCAGCGAGAGGCCGCACCGTGGCGGCGCCGCCCAGCTGGGAATGGGTTCGGATGACTGTGCTGAAGGCATTGCAGATTTTGGAGAGACGCCACGCCGGAGGCACGGTTTGCAGGGGCTTGTACCAGAATTGGCGGCAGGAGAATGCCACTCCGGGCACCTGGTAGAGCATCCTTCGCATGCCAGCCTGATAGAAAGCCATTGTGGTCGCAAAAGGCACGGGAAACGGCGTTGAAGCGACGTTGTGCCGTCTAGGAATGATGGGTACAGCGGCTTTTATCATAAGATGCGGTCGAACCCCCCCCCACAATAAAAACCCTCGGCAACACCACCTGTCGTCAATGGCACCATCTAAGACGGCTTATTTTAATCAGCGACGATTACGCGCTAATGCGGAGGATAAGCCCGGGCAGTAAGGGAAGATTCTCGTAAACTCCTACGTATTATAGTAGCAATGGTTTCGAATGGATTTTTTTTAATAGTAAAAAAAGGACTATATTAAAGTCTCTCCCTTTTTGTTGTTTGTTGTCCTTTCTGCTTTGAAAAGCCTGTCAACCCCCAAGCAATATAGTCCCGTTTTCAAGCTGCCAATTGTTATTTGGCTGCTAAGCCACATGCATGCTTCGGTTTTTGTTACTTGACTTAACAGAATATCGATATGCTTTAACGCCTACCTCGCACGTGACCTCCTCTGTAATCTTCCACTGTACGAATTATTCCAAGAATACAACTCTGTTGAGTACTGTTTTTCACAGCTTCTGGAGCGATGGACAGCTAGAGCCCATTTTACGAGGGATTATGCAAACGAGATTCTTCTTAGGACGTGGGATTTAGTCCAGTGTAAACGTGCGGATAGCAGACGTCTGAAAATTATTCCATTGTCTTTAACAGGCTTGTTTTCGTTAAGAGACTTGTGCCTTTTTTGGCTGAAAGCGGCATTGATTGGGCTACAGGCGCTAAAACTGCCACCAAAGAAGCACTGCAGCCCTGCGGGTAGGCCTGGACCAGACCAGATTGGTAGCTTATTACTTGCTTTGTCTCCCACCAGTTAATTACTTCTTGGACAAGTATATTGCGTGTGCTACTGTGGGATCCCGGACGTATCAGATTGCCGCCCTCTTTTCTACTCAATACCATCACAATCACAACCACCATCACCTTAGCACCATCGCGGTTCCCACGTCGCATCCACTGTACACGCACCCTGGACTGCCATTCTCAAACGACAGCCTCCCGATTTCTTGGCGTGCCCGGCCCGATTCGTTTGCAAAACCGGCTGACCGGTCATTTGGCGCTCGGCGACATAACCCTGACAGCACTCCGTCCTGCCTCTTCGCGTTGAACTTCTCCTCCAACCCCACACCAGTGCTATGGCTTATCCGACAGCGCCGCCTTTGTTGCTCACACGTCGCCTCTCCTCCTTCCTGCATGCGAGTCTCGAATCCCTCCAAGAACACAAGGACCAGCAGACAGCAAGCGCCACACTGCAAACTGCCCTCTTAGTCACGCCGTCTGGCAACCTGCTCGCATACGAATCGCCTCTGCCGGTGCGCACATTGCGTACACACTGCTCCGTTGCGGCATCTCTTTGGACAATTCATGCGTCGTCGTCTCCCTCTGTTGCCGTGGCCCTCGGACAGACAGCGCCCGTGACCAAACCGCCACCCGCACCTCTGTCGTCGCTTTCCCTTCTACCCTCAAGTTCCACCGGAGACATTGCCAGCCCGGTTGGAGAGGATCATGAGGAGGATCGATATCATGATGGCAGTTCTCCTGTAAGCATAGCGGCTAGCTTCAATGGCGGCGCTGTCTTCGTTGTCCAACGACTGCGCTGCGGGCTTTTGTTCGCCTGTTCGACACCGTCCCCCAGCGGTCACGGATCTCGTCCCTCGACAGCAGTCGATCCAGCGGGTACACTATCCGTGATCGATCCCACACGACCCTCACCTACGCCAAGTCACTCTACATCCACCACAGCACAGTCATCTCTGCTGCCACAGTCCACGCTTCCAAGATCGGCCCCACCACTATTGCGTGTGGCAACAGCAACATCTCAGAGCCACGCTTCAGTTTCGTCGGCATTTTCACCGTCAGACTCGCCTACGCCTATCAGCATGCCACTACAGCAGATACCCGATGGAGCTGGAAGCTTAGTTCCTGGTTCTTCCGCCCGGACCGCCGCTGCTGCCGATACTTATGAAGCTGATCCCTCCAGCAGCCATGGTCGTGACGTGGTCCAGAGCAGAGACACAGACCGCGCCGCAAATGCCGACGTGGCATCCATGACGACCACGGGGACGACGACCACAACAGTTGGTGGTGGCAGCAAAAAGGGGTCTGTCGCGGTAACCCTGGCGATTGCACGACGGCAAGTGGACGAGCTGGCGCGCCTACTGGACGAAAAGCTCGGCTCACTGTCCGTGCCGGAAGATAATATAGGCATTAACGGATTCTGCTGATGTCTGATGTTGAACTCCATGTATTTACTTGTTTTTTGTTAGCGTAAAGTTTCCCCCAGGTGAGAGAAACCAGTGGCACTGCTATAATAGATCATATTCATCGTGTAGTGAGTTTCTTTCAATTCCCATTCCTTTTCTTTTTTGTTCGGTGATTTTGCATTACAGAACAATGCGGGCCTTGCCATCTTCAGCTCTTAATTGCCTTTTAGGGAATTACCTGACCTATGAACATGCTGAATCAAAGACAACGGCAACTTACGTGAAAAGTGGTAAGTATTGAATGACTATAATGCACCGGATTCGAATTTGATTTGTTTATCTAGTTAATAATTTGCTTATTCTTGGAATTTATGATCTCGTTATATGATTGTTTGATCCGCGTATGCTGTGCATCGGAAATTTTATACGAGGAGTTGCTCTATGTCAACCGGGGCGGCATGACTACGCACCTTGGCTATGAATGTAAGCAGACTGTTTACTCAATACTAAGTCGCGTGATGCTGTCGTTGGCATCTGCCATAGCTTGGTATCCGATGCGGGTTTTCGTGTTAGAAGCGACTCGCCGGCCGCTATTCGAGCTGTTTGTGTTCACGGTACTGCCGTTGTTGCTGTTACTGTTGGGACTGCTGCTGTCGCCGCTGTTGTTGTTCCGTACCTCAAACAGCCCTATGCTTCCGATCCCACCCCCGGGACCGCTACCGCTGTCCGGGCGCAACGCATTCGATGGTGTACCTATGCTAGTCCCGCCCCAGGGAAGTGAGTCTCGTTGTAGCGGGCTTTGCATGACAGGACTGTTATGCACGCTCATGCCCGGACTCACAGCGCGACGCTTTAAGCTAACCAAGTCGAGGTCATCATCTCGGCGCCGTTTGCTGTTGATACGCCGCGTAATCTCTGCTGCACTAGGTAGCACAGGTTGTTGAAGCTGCTGCTGCTGTAATGTTTGCTGCGGTTGCATCTGCTGGTTGTCTCCGCCACCGATCGAAGATGCTGCGATCTGCCCTTGTAGCGGTGTGTCGCGCCCCGAAGAGCTGGTCGTGGTCATGGGAAATATACCACCACTGGGGAAGATGGCATTGCCACTGGCACTGTTTCCACTTGCGGACGGTGAGTCCATGGACGTGTCGTCAGGCACGCTGGACGCCGAATAGCTTCTGAGTTGGTGGGGTGGCGGAGTAGTTGCTTTCCGGCCGTGGTCAAGATTGCCAGTAGAGTGTTGCCCAATGCGGGACCAAAATGGGCGGCTGCCTCCAGCAGCGTTCTTATCGGCCTGTTGCTTTGCAATTCCAACCGAAAGGCCCAGCCCCGCTGAAGCATCCATGGACATCACATCATCTGCTAGATCATCCATGCTGTCAAACATGCTGGGGCTGGAGTTGGCAGTAGTTGTTGTCGAGCGAAGCGGCAATGGAATGGGAAGACGATGTTCCGTTTGTTCCATGTCGCTCTCAAGCAGGCGTACAACTTCCGCTTCGCGGCGAAAGTCGGCCTCTGCTGGGGCGCTTTCTTCCGCAAGGGCTGCTCGAATGCGTGCAAAGCCCTTTGTTTTCGGCTGCCTTTTGTCAGTCCATGAAATCGCACATAATCGGGCGAAATACGTAAAATAGAAAGGCATGCTCACAAGAAGGTTTCCTCGCCGGGTCACTGCACGACGGACAACACCACGGTGAGGCCCCAAAATTTCGCCCGAGTCCATATTTGCTTTGTGGTTGTCGTCACTTTCGCTGCCCGAGATGTTCAGCTGGTTAGCTGCCCAACTAATACTCTCGCGCCGTGGGTGTTGCTGATGCAGCGCCTGGCTGTCGCGTCCCAAGACAAAGCCAGACGGTGGTGATTTCGACATGGTGCTTGCCCCAGCACCAGACGTTGTAGGCGCGGATGGGACGGCATTGGAGCTGAACCCCATCCCAAGCGGCCCGCGCGCTTTACGCTTGGGCTGTTTTCGAGGACGCTGGCGGTGTGTAAAAGAGAGAAGACTGTTCATGGCAGGGGAGCTGGGCATCCACGGCATGGAAATTTGTGGGCCACCTATGTGCGTACTGCTGGTCTTGCTAACCTGTGGTGTTGTGATAAAAGGCTCGTCTGTGTCTTCGTCCATATCCTCGTCTTCGTCAGAACTCGACGAGGACTCCGAGCATGCTGCGACGTTGACGCTTCCTATTGAACTGGAGGGGTATACCTTGTCTTGGCTTCGTCCCATCATTGACCATAGTGATGTTGATGATTCAGTCGCACCGACATAGTCGTTGGGTTTACGTCCAGGAATATTCATGGCGACATAACCACCTCCAATGCCGCCAGAAACAGGCGACGAACCTGACGACTGTTCAGCAAGAGTAGAATGGTGCAGGCTCGTAGCCGCCCTCGAAAAGTCGAGGCCCCGGGACCGGCGGGGTAAAATATTGTTTGGCGATGCATATATCTGTGATGGGTCGAGTTTGGGTGAAAGGGGTATGGGTTTGGACATGTATGTCGGTTGGTTGTGGTAAGGGTGGTGTTGGTGAAGCTGCTGGTGCAGCAGGTATGCACCACTGGCAGCCGAAACAGGGGTGGATGGGGGCTGAGGGTCCACGTCTTTGGAATGGGGGAGAGTTGCATCTGGTTCTTGTTGTTCTTGTTGTTCTTGTTGTTGTTGTTGTTGTTGTCGTTGCTGCTGCTGCTGCTGCTGTTGTTCCTGGAGATGCTGCGGGTGTGACAAGAGCGTGTTGTCGGCTGGCATATGAACAGCCATGCTTCGGCCTTGGAAAGAAGCCGCTTGTCGTCGCGGTGTCACGGGGAAGGCATCGTTGCTAGAACTGCCTATCGAGCTGTCATCTTTGCACGTCGGACGATCGGAGGTGCCGAGCAGCAGCGGCGACGGGGACAATCGGCTGCGGCATGGTGTGCTGCTGCCACCATCAGACAATGCCCTTGTTTTCATCAAGGGCGACGGGGGAAACGCCGCACCTAATGTGCGAGCGGCTACCACACCGGTTCGAAACTGGTCGGCGTCTTTAGTATCATCCAGCACGGCTAAGTCATCGCATTCCATGGCAGGCGCGGGCGTGTCAACGCCTCAGGCTGAAAGCTGAAAGGTCGGCCAGCGGTCGAAGGAGAGGCACCTTAGGGGACCAATGGTATGACCCGGCTGCAAGGTCGAATCATTGGAGAAGAACGAGAAAGGAGATGCGGAATGGTAACGATGGTGATGCGAGAAGGGTGCAGAAAGGCTGTCGGCGTATTGTCGGGTGGGGGGCGAGGGAGAAGACGTGAGGCGGTGTCGTTGATGTTGTTTGTTGATTCGCCTTACGACCGGAAGGAAGGAGGAAGAGAGAGTTTCAAAAGACTGGATGAGGGCGGCGGGTGTGTTGGATCGGAAAGAGGATCTGTTCGGGGTCAGCTGCCTATGTAAAGGCAATAAGTCGTGGGAGCGGACGTAGTGGAAGTGGGATACAAGATAATAAAGAGCTGGATGGTTGGGTTTGATGGAGACCAATAGACGGACGCAGCCGCTGGCTTAACTGCTTCCTGGAGCAGCAACGCTGCAAGTCTGCAACATACACTGCTTGCTGACCACCCGATATGGAGGCGCTCCGCTAACCAGACTTAGCGTTATCACCTTGACGCAATATCCACGTGATAAAACTGCCAGCGGTCTACTTTATGGGGGAGGCTACGCCGTTTGTCCAGCTAAGAGTAGTGACGTCGTATTAATTGGCCAGAGACGGATCTCGCGGATTTCGTCGCCTTTGTGTGATAGGAATACAGCGAACCACCTCCGCTATTTGATACCGCCTGAGAGTGCCGAATGGCTCTTCATGATCAGCGGGCCCTTCTATCGTTTTATGTCTTAATCATACCAGATGGCGTTCATGCCGAACCCCGGCTCAGGGATCCGCACGCGCACCACACGCGCAAGATGTTCATCCTTCCAACGGTACATTTCCACCCAGCCCTCCTGGTCGTCCGTTAGTGCAAGCCACTCGTCGGAGAAGTCGCACGGCGCCACGGCATTGGAGTGGCCACCGCTCGTCGGCGTCGGGTTGAGGCAGAGTTGCGTTTCGATGCTGCCGCAGTCGCGCAAGCGAAAGGCCGCAATGTACCCTGTTAGGTCAAAACTATTGGCCCGTGCAGTTGCGAAAAGGTAACGGCCTGTGCGATCGAGCGCACACACGTCGCTCCGGTACAAGCCCTTGCCCGTGGCACGGTCGTACTTCTCGATGCCTGGGGGGATCAGGGGGAACGAGTGATGCGTGTACACGGGCATGTGCGACTGCGGGTCAATGACGTACTCGCACAGTCGGTTGCCCGCCTCCATGAGCGCGTATAGGTACTGGCCCGAGGGATGCATGGCCACCCAGCGGGGATGATCGCCAGGCGCAGGGGCATCGACACTGCCCACGAGCTCGACTTGGCCGTCGTCGCCGGCCTGGGTCGACTGAGCTGCGCCAGCCTTTTTGCGATGCACCCACAACTTGTTGGCGGACAAGTCGGCCGAGTACAGGTACGTCTCAGTCGGGTCAAAGACCATCCCGTGAATACCCGTGCCCGGTTGGTACTCGTAGTTCTGTATGTTCTCGGCAAGACTGCCGGATGGCCCCACGGTGAAGACATTTCCAAAGCCTGCATGTTTGTAGAATGGATTGCAGTACACGGCGTATGGCGGCTTCTTGGCGGGCAGCAGGAAGATGGCACGGGTGTTGGTCGCAGCGGAGTTTGCCTCAGCTTTGTGTGTCAGTGGGAAAGTTGCATGAATATGCGCATTGGGAGCGATGTCTCAGGGACGACTCACGGTCGCCTCCTATGGGGTGAGATGCTTCGTGCAAAATCTCTGTCGGGCTCTTGACGGCGAAGCTGGACCACTTCTTCATGGCCGAACCGTACAAATTCTTCTTCGAATGCTGGAACGGGTAGACGGGAGCCGTCAACAAGGGGACTCGAGTAGGACACCATGGGTTGACAGCCGCCAGCTACTTACATCAAATGCCATCCACGATATTGGCTCATCATGAGGGATCTCGGTTCTCTTCACCAGCTTTAGCTCCAGCGCCTCATCGTCGAACTGGACCGTGAATATGGCACCAGGAGGTGTCCAGGTTCCGATCATCAAGTGGTGCAGAGGCATGTTGGGGGCAGAGAGGCAACAGTTGTTTCGTAATGGGGGTTTGTATTTGATGGTCGCCTGGGCGATTTCGAATGCACGAGTTCTTAATCGGACTGGCCAGTGTACATAAAAAGAGACGTCGTTCGCGTTCAATATTCTCCTCACAACGTGGGTGAAACGGCCGTGGAACCGACAGCCATCATATTGCCTTGCACATCCGCTTTCGCTTCCGATGGCGGTCGTTGGTTCGCAGTGCGCTCAAGTCCCTCGGACCTAGTGCTGTTTGGTACCTTGCGGTGGGGTGTGAAATTGCGTCCGATCCGGTTCTGGAACTTATATAGTAGACATAGGTTGGCTCACTGGGCTTAACGATTAACCCCGAGTTGTGATGATATCCGTTACCACAATTTATAACTCGCCAAATATTAGCTTTCACGCCATTAAGGGGTGGAGACTGGTGGGCAATTGGCGGCAGTCGTCTCGGCAGGGAAATTTTGTGACAGACCAATTGGTGTTGTATGGCGGGCCAGCGCTGGCTGGGGTCTTCCTCTGCAACCTCCTCGAAGATTGACGTATTTCGGATGAAAACTTATCCAGTGACATAAGTTTTCCTTTTTATTTCCTTCTATTTGCAATGTTGTGCAGAAGGGATCTCGTACCGGTCAGTTGACGTAATATCCTGCGATGAGCTAACAAACAATACTGGATGGCTTTTTCCAGCCGGCAACAGGTTCTTACTCCGTAATATCTTATTCTTTTTATAGAGACGTAATGAATGACTGCTCCTTGCTTATAAGCTACGAGTGGTGCTATTCAAAATGTTTGGGCGGACCGCAGACGATACAGCCTCATGTGGCAGGTTGGCTGGGTCACCACTTTTCTCACAGCGAAAAAAGGCCAGCCAAAACAAAGAGCATCACAGGGACCTTTCTTCTCTTCCTGTCCCCACACCGCCTGAGGGCAAAGTTTATCCCGGCTAGCATTTCAACCCAGAGCCCTCAACGGCCACGCCCCCATCTTGGCCCACCCGGGGGCGTGATCAAAATATCTACATTGCCCTGTGCTAGGTCACTTTGCCCAGCCAGTCGCCATGCTTGGTGCTTGCCCGTTTGGACACCTCCAAGAGACGGACAATGCGATCAGTGCGAGAGAATGTTGGAAAGTTAGTGCTGAAGACATTTTGTATCGGCAGCCGTGCTGCGTGAGGTTCCTTTGATGGCCTTTCTCAATTTTATTAAGTGCACCTATCTTTCTCCACCCCCTTGTCCTATTCTGCCATTGCACGCCATTACTTTTCATATCATCAACAGCACCGACGATACTCATGCCAAAAAACCTCTACGCCATCCGCTCGTTGACTTAACAACGGCTTCACGTTGAATGTCTTCCAGACGAAATGTCCAACCGTCAACGCGAGCGAGCCTAATACCCCATCGTCAAGGGAATATAAAACCATCCTATATTTCCAAAATAACGCCTGAGGCAACTAACGTTGCTAATGAAATAGTGTATGGTTGGACATTGTAAATCTGTACACAGATAGCTACAGCTATCCACATATTTCCTAATATCGTGAAACCTCCGTCTTGTCGTTCCGGCTGTTCTTCCACATTTCTCTCAGCAAAGAATATCCTCCAAAGATCCAAATTCAGCGTACATTTAAAGAATTGCCATGCTTTTTTCACTTTGTGTTTTTCCTCTTCTTGCGGCGGGTCTTCTTTTTGGGACGGTCACTGGCATCGGCCGCGGCAACGGAATCGCTTTCTTGGCCTTCAGTGCCGTCAATTTGGCTGCTGCTCGGTGTTGAAATATGGGCGGAAGCTTCCGCGGACTGAGCCGCAAACAGTGCTGTTTCAAGATCCCTTTTCTTGACTGTCTTATCTTCCACCTCGGAAACATGAGTGTTGCGTGTCACGGGGCTTTGGAAACCACTTAGAGGACTGCGCCGTTGAATAACGCTGCTGGCAGTGCCAACCACGGCCTCGTCGTCGTCTTCAGCCGAACTGGTCGTTTCCAGAATGACTTTGCGGATACCCCTCGTCTCAATCACATTCTCCGTGATGCTGCCACTGCGCACAAGCGATCGTCGTGAGATAGGTGTGTTGATGTCCGCCACTACGATGCTGCGGTTTGGACTGCTCTCGGAGCTGGGGTGTGCACTCTCGCCAAAAACAGAGGTCTTGCTAGCGCCGACATCGAGGTTGATATTACCACCGCCACGGTCCAAGTTGATGATAACATTTTGCTTCCCAGAGTCTCTATTAGTAACGCTCTCACCACTGCGCGTTCCAATTTCAATGGCCGGAGTATCGATGGCATCGGTGTACAAGCCGTCATTTGTATAGTCGTCGTTTCTCTCTGTATCAGGCTTTTGGAACACAATTCGGGTAGTGCCGTAATCTTGCACGGGTGTCCGGGAGCTTGCTTGGGTATCCTTGCCGTTTGATACCTTCGGTGACAAAAGCAGAGTGGTCTCTCCTGCGTCTTCGTCGTCCGTCTCGTCGTCAATGTGCGGGCTTTCCAAATCATCTGCAACGAGAACTGGCTCAAGGAGGGCTTGGTGCCCAGCATGCGAATGGCCCTGTTTGATTTTTACCGTTGTTGACCGGGTATTCTTCGGATTGTTAGCCCGATTAGACGGGCCTAGATGACGTAGGTGCTGCCACATTTCGTCGATGTTGGCTCGGACCGGGACCGTAGACTTTGTCAGGCGGCCATCGGCACCCGCTGAACAGCGCCGCATCATGACAGTCGTGGTTTTCGGGCTTGTCGACAAGGCACGAGCAGCGGTATTTGTCTTTGATAAAGCACGCAGAACCGGAATGGTTTGCTGTTGCAACGACGGCTCAGCCTCGCCATTGTTGTCTTCGTCTTCATCGGCTACTCTCGTAGCCGCCGTCGATGCCGTCGCACCGAACTCGGAAGCTAAAGATCGGTGGCGAGTCGGCCGGGCTCTGGGCGCCGGTTGAAGACGGCGGATGGCCTTGTGGACGTCGATATAAACGTCCGATTCGTCGATGATCTCTCTTTTCCAAGGATTAGTGTGTGATGTACGACGCATAGGCAAGGCAAGGATAAAGATTAACAAGTAACGAAAACATACTCTCCAATCAACTCTTCGATAACATCCTCCAGAGTGACAACACCCAGCGCACCATGGTCTTCACCAGGATACTGAGATACGAGTACCATGTGCGATTTGCCTTCTTGGAAAAAGTTAACAATATCAAGGCAGCTTGTTTCAGGACGGGTTTCGGGGAGTGTGGCGAGAGGAAATTCGCTGACACGAATTTTGTCGTCCGGATCGTACGTAATTAGAATCTTGACAAGCAGCATGCCAACAAAATTGGTTGGGTTGAATGGCTCGTGAATCGGAATGCGGGAGTAACCAGCAGAGAGAATCATGTCCATCATTTTCTCGTCCAGGATGGTATCTTCGGACATGGTAAACACATCCTCCATGGGCGTCATGACATTAGAAACAGGCTTCTCTTTGAGGTCAAGGACAGCACTGATAATTGTCACTTCGTCTTGGTTCAGACGCTCCGACACCTCGCCTAGGGATCGATGAAGCGTCACGAGCGTTTTCAGACCGCTTTTCTTGTAAACGGTGCCGTGGTCCTCGCCAAGCGCATGATCGAGAACTTTAGCTGTGGGCCATGCAATGGGAGCCAAAAGCCACATCAAAGCAAGGACCGGCTTAGCCATGATACCGCCGATTTGCAGGCCATAACGGACACAGATCGATTGGGGTAGGACCTCGCCGAACACAACTATGTTGCAGATATGTCAGTACAAATATCGACTCTAAACGCACAGGGATGTTGGGGGACAGCAAGATTTTCCAATCAGAGCTTCTCTTACCGATCAGGAGTGTACTGCCAACCACGGCAGCTACGCCGCCGCCGAGGCAGCGATCCAGCACAACAGGGAGAGTCTCGTTGACAATGACGTTGGAGAGGAGCAATGTCACCAGCACCCAGTGCTTGCCGCGTTTTAGGAGATCGTCGACTCGCTTTGCGTTCTTTTGTTGAGGATCGGTATCATCACGGGAGAGCACTTGTAAATAGATGCTGTCTTGGCCCATCAATCTGCGAAGGCGAAATAGATGACCTGATTAGATGTTGCCCACAATAAACCATAACAAAACAAAGAAGAGCAAGCGCTTTTTCTTACGCAATTGTTAGTCCAGCGAAGGCGCCGCCAAGCAAAACAAGAACAGCCGACGCGACATAGAGCACCCATAAACTGGCACCGCTTGCATCAGGGTCGTCCTCGTCGAGGTGCTGCGAAGGCCAAAAGGCAGCACTTCGCTTGCTCACGGCATCGGAAGCAGAGAGCGGCGCGGCCGACACGGTTCCGGCAGGCAGAGACGTGAATATGATACGCGACAAGCCACGCACGAGTGTTCGTGCGGTGCCAAAACCATTGAAGGCATGGCCGCTTGCAGGACGCACGTTGTGACCGAATTGACGTCGTTGGGAAGAGGATGCCATGAGCGCGTACGAGTCTTTCGGGAAAGTTCACAGACGAGAAGAGCGCGAGGGAGGTGAGGCTCGTAGTAGTTGTGGGCAAGGCGAATCCAACTGTCGGACGAGGACGGAGGTTGTCGAGGGAGTTGAAACGGAGACCGAATCGCGAAAGGCGAGAAGCTTAAAGTCCACCGATTTGGACCCGCCTTCAAGGACAGGATTGTTTGCGAGGGAGCGCCCGCGGCACACAATTCGAGGCTTGAAATCAGGAGGGGCTGGATAATTTTAATCAACACGGGTGATTCGACCGCCGTTGTGCCGTCAGAATCGGGTCATGCTTGCGGCTTGCTTGAAGTGACAAGAGACGAAAATAATCGCTCGTTAGAAAACGAGCAAAAAGTACGCAGGCGAGAATATGCACTTACGACGATGAACTAGGAAACAGCGAGCCTTACGCTGGAATGAAGAGAGCACGCCCACACCTGCTGTTTTAGTACGATTTCATTCGCTGATCTTCTACAGAAGCATTAGCGTCAGGAAAAATGGCGCCTATAATGTTTCGTGAACCATTGCTGCAGTCAGACACTGGGACCAACTTCCGGCGTTAAAGGGCTCTCTATTTTGCCAGTAGGCCTAGTGGTCGAGTTCTATAATAAGTCAGCCAATACTCCGCATTACTTTTGTTGTCGTGCCGCCTCAATGGGAGAAGCATGTGCCAATGCCATCGAAGCATTTACAATAATATATCAACAGCTGAGAAATGTAGTATATACATCGCGACGGAAGGTGCTACAAATTATATATACATCTCGCGCCATGATGGTGTTCCGCAGAATGGAAAATCAAGCCGCGATGCAAACTGGGACGACATACGTCCCAGCTATCGAGTCTCCGCCGACTCCTTTCGCATAACGCACAATGTCTTCCCCGGAAAGGGAAGCATAGACCGTCTCGGGATCTACCGTTGCTATTCCGGGAGAAGACGTCTAACAGACTTGATCTCTACGACATATACTTTTGTATTAAGCCGGAAATGCTGATGCGGGAACAAAATATGATACGAAAGGGGAAATCTTTACATCGCTGATTTGCAGCGCTACCAGGGGCTGAATCGGCTATTGCCTTTGCCTACGGACCTTTAGAGACTGTCAGATATCCTTTCCCCCCCTCTACCGAGTGCCATTGAGCGCCTGTTGATGTCCTGCAGGGTCCCAAAGCGCTTCTCGGCGATGTAATTACACGCGCAAGCTCTAAGGTGGCCGGTGTCGGGCGTGGTTCCTTCGAGAACCTCTCGCTCTACTGCGGCTACGGGATGCATCGGTTTCATTGACCCTTGCAGATGGCTGTAAGTTGCTTAGATTTTGTGCGGTTGAAGCACAAGACCGCCGACATTTCGACTGTGGACGCGTAACGCCTATTTGCTAAGGCTGCTATGGTGTACAAAGGGCTGGTACTTGGGTTTTTGGAGTGCGCCGTGTTTAAACTACTTATGCGAAGGAGTCGAAGCATTTATATCTACTAAAATGCCGGCGGAACATTACATCTCAGCTGACGCAGAGGCCTCGCCGACGACATCACAACTGGCTGTATCACGGAGAGTGAGCAAGAGACGGAGGAACCACAAAATGGGGTTCCGATTCGTACTTGCAAAGACGTATAGTGTCTTAAGTCCTCGCGTACATCTCGGCTCACCTCTCTTTGGACACACGCAGCAGCTGAGTTTTAACTGCAGGTCCCTTAGATACAAAACGCCCGCTCTCTCACTCTCTCTGTCTGTGTCTTTGTCTCTTTTTATTTGTATCGGTCACAGCTCGGGGAGTGGCGGACCTCAAAAGCCCTTTGACGCTGAAAACCAGTGATCCCAGTCAATGTTTGGCTCAACGTCCACGTCGATCTCAAGGTCATCGTCAAACATCAGGGGTGTTTTCTTAACAAAGTTGCTTGAAGCGGTACTGTCCTGCGCAATAGAATTGCCGGTTGATTCTGTGGTACCCCAGATCTGCCAGGGATCGAAGTTGTTCCAAAGCGGGCCGGAGCTGCCAAGATCCTGTTTATTCCCAACGGGAGCAGCAAACTGTTCTCGTGGATAGTGCTGCTGTTGCTGCTGAGGCGTCTGACCAGCGGTGTTTAGTATGAATGCGTCCACACTATTGGGGGCCGGGAAGCTGACGCTCGCGTACTCGGCCTCGGATAGGTCTCCAAAGTTGCGCAGACCTCTTATAGACGATTCACTCGAGACATGACCTGACGAGGGCACGCCACTCTGAAAATCGGGTGTGTTTAAAGTGTTGCTGGATGTTATATCAGTGCCCGCAGCCGCAGCGGGCGATTTGGAAGTGGACAATGCTTGAGAAGCATCGGCCCCGCCCTCTAGCCCGACGAGGCGCCGCCAACGGACTCGAAAGGCATCCACGGCACCTGGGTTGGAAAGTGGCCGGCTGCGACCATCAGCGACGGCGATGTCATAGGCAATCTCCAACGACCGTGCTGCTCGAGTGTCGGCACGTAGTCGCGTAAGTTCCGACGCACGATGACGGCGAGCACGAGCCAATAGCCGCCGCAAGGGCAACCAAAAAAATTGTGTACTGCTGTCCGTGCTGGTGTTGCTCTTGTTGCTTTTGCTACTTTTATTCGAGTTGGTAGTGCTAGCACCCCCAGAACTAGCAGCCCCAATACTTGCGGCACGGGAATCAACAGGCCGGGCTGGTCCTTGAGGTTCCGCTAGCTGGTGTAGTTGTTGCTGTTGCTGTTGCTGTTGCTGCTTTAAAGCAGAAGATGGGGGGGCTGGAATCAGGTGGGGCCCATGCAGAGCCACCCAGGCACGCTCGACGGCAGGGTCCCATGGCCGGCGCCCTGTTTCTATTAGTAAATAGGCAATTGTATGCCACTGTGTATATGTTTCACAAAGCCAGCGCCAGCGACGGCATGCACGCTCCGACTTGAGTGCATCGTTGTACTCGGCGACTTCAATGGCCGACGAGAGCAATCGTATACGCAGATCTTCATTTTCTCTGGGGCTGGCGCCGTCCGAGTCCTTCCTCTCGTGGATCAGCCTCGGAAGGTTCAAAATAAGCGTCATCTTTGCCAAGAAGAGACGGGTGATGGTAATACTAGTCCAGTAGATGACGCTTGTTGTGTCTGGCGAGTGGCGCAGGTACACAGATTCCAGTTTCTGGTAGACTTCGTCGAGCATGCGGTTCTGCTCATCAAGCAACTCGTCGCCCCGCGGACCGTTCTCCTTGGATGCGGCGGCGGCAGACGCCATCATGCGCTGGGCAAGGCGTGTCACCTCAAAATTCAGCAGTGCATAGGTTACGTCGGTCAGCTCGTCGCGCACGGCTGGGGGGTCCGTGACGTCAGAGTCTTGACTGATGTCGTTGTCGCTAATGTTTAGAGGCAGCCGCGTATCAAAGTCGTTTGGTGAAATGGTCAAGTCAGTGCCCTGGTCCTCGGCTGAGCGAACGTCAATGGCACAGACGGTCCACCAAACGCGCCGACGGATTTCAACTTCGTAAGCAGAAAGAGACCCGCCAAAGTTGCAGCCATCACGGTGCAGACCCAAACCCTTTGCCATGCGGATGACAAGGCCTGTCATCATCCAGACGAAGCGCGGGCTATCATAGCGGCGGCACAACATCAGGAAGATAACCAGGGCTTGCACAATTTCCAAGTCGAAGCTGTCCAGGAAATTGGCCTTTGCCAGCGACAGCTCCAGACCCATCCGGTACTTGAGACTCAACTCTTTGCTCGTCATGGCGAAATTCTTAACGACCTAGAAAAGAAGACAAGATATGGCTGTTAGATTGAGGGAATGGACAACAAGTTAAATGGGCTTGTGGAAGTTGTTTCGGAAGGTCCGCTATGAAACTCACATCTTCGTCTTCCATAGACACAATGGCAGCGTAGTAGATTGCAAACATCAGAGCCTCTGTAGCAGGCGAGAGCTTTGGGTACCCAGACTGTTGCTCGATGGAGGCTGTGGTGTCACCGAGCAGACCTGCAACGATCTTGTTAATGGTGGGCACATGCACAACCTGGCCAAGCATATTGACATTAACAATATAGACCTGGAAAAGGAAGGGAATTTGCGATGGCAGCGGCCGGTAGTGTGATGCATCGCCGAGAGGCGGTTGCAGGTTGTGTCCAAAGAGAAAAGCGCCGCGGTCGGCGGCCGTCCGCAATGCCGTGTCCATTGTGGCATACATGGCATTCGCAGCGCCGGCTGGGCTGAAAGGCTGGTGGCCGTCGTGGGCACCATCCTCATCCACGTCCGAGTCGTCATCCGTGGAGTAGTAGCCGTGCTCGCCATCGGCGAGGTTGCCCGTTTCGGCACGCAGCACGTCGAGTTCGTCAGTGATTCGAGACCAAAAGCCACTGCTGACATAGCGCCTGCGGTTGGAGGCGTCTTCGTCGAGGATCAGGCGCCCGAAGCGCTCCTGGATAGGGACCGTGCCAAAAGCGGCGGCAGGCGGAGAGGAGGCGGTGGTGGCACTGGTTGTGGGAGCAGTTGGTGTGGCAGTGGTGTTTGCAGGCGGGGCGGGGCCCAGAGCGGGCATCTGTGACGATGGCGAGCCGGAAGAGCTGCTGAGATCTCGCACAAGTGCCTCAAGCTGTTTCAACCGACCCAAGACCGCACTGACATCCGCCGGGTTGGCCGGGTCCGGATTGCCAAGAGGGCTTCCAGTCGGGAGCGTAGACGGCAGGTATGCAGCATTCGGACGAGGGCTCTGCGAGGATGATTCTGCGACCGGCAGGTGCCCATGCTCCGTTTGCCGTAACTGTAGTTGCTGCTGTTGCTGTTGCTGTTGCTGTTGCCGTTGCTGCTGCTGCTTCAGGCGGCGGGCCCAGCGTGGCGGCCGCTCCATCGACGGCAAGACACATGGGATGTCTGCGCGACGACAGTTGGAGCAGGGCGACAGCTTGTCGCAGCGCACCTTGCGTTGGCGGCATGTGACACAGCTGCGTGGCTTGGCGACCGTATTTGCAGGAGCATTCGAAGCCACAGGTGGAGTCGCGTGTTTCTCGGCCTCCGAAATTGGCGCGGGTGCGCCTGTTGTGGCCGCAGACATTGTAGCGGCCGCAATCGAGCCGACTCTGTCTCGGTCAAAACCGGCTGGGGTCGTCATACATAAGGCTGAGCGGGGTTTCGTGAAGATGTGCTATCAGGGGCGTCTGGGTGAACCGAAATACCGTCGTGCTCATCGACTGCGACCGAGGACGTTCGAAGTTGTGGTTGTCGTCTCGGAAGACTGCCGTGTGGTGTCCGTAGATGTCGTCTGAGATAAGCTGGCCCTATGCGGGGCTGCTTTTGGCGGTGGGGCTATGCCGGCCTTGCGCTTTTACTTCAGGGGTGACGTCGGGGAATCGCATTCCTTGTTTTTCCTATTACATGCGAGGTTCTCAGTAGCTGTCTCGTTATGCAAATGGTCTCCCGTTGAATTCACGAGGACCTGCGCTCTCCGTTTCAGCGCCTGTCGCAAAACAGAGGGCGCTGGCGATGAACTCATTGTGACGCCTGTCCTTTCAGGATCAGGCGGGCCAATTTTGGCCCGCCCGCGTCTTTCTCGGTCACACAGAGCCGGATCAATGCGCCACGACTTCCAAGTGTGCAAAAGCTCTCTCGACAAGTTGACCCGGCTCAACCATCCTCTCAGCCTTGCACGCTCCAAGAACAAGAGCACTCGTCCGACAATTGGGTAATGTCGTCGCAATGCAAGTTTTGACAAAGTCAACAACGTCAGTCGGGTACAATATGCTGCCGACAATCCTGTCTATAAGAACCGTTTCTGGATCTTTCGTGGGAAACATCTTCTTCTACAAACTCAACATCAGCCAACTTCCTTCTGTCCCACCACCACCATAAACACCACCATGCCTGAGCCAGCTCCTTCTAGAACCGTTGCCTTTCTTGGCGCCTCAGGCGGTGTTGGACTCGCAGCCTTACGTCGCACCCTGGCGAACGGCTATCGCTGCGTTGCCCTCTGCCGCGACCCGTCCAAGCTAACAGCCATCTTTCCCGAAATGGACCTCAATTTGGAGGCCCAAACGGGCCTGGACGATACAATGGCCGCAACACGTCGCCTCACTCTGGTTCGCGGCAATGCCCATGACGTGGATGCTGTGGCACGCTGCCTTCTCGTACCCGGTACGACTGATGGTGAGCGACGCATCGTCGACTGCGTTGTCTCCACCATCGGAGGCAAATTCATCTTGTCAAAACTGACTGTGGACGACCCAAACGTCTGTGCTAATGGAATGGCCACGCTCCTGGCCGCCATCAAGCGCCTCCGCCTCGAGGGAGTGTCTTGCAGCGGCCCCAGCACGCCGCGCATCGTCGTCGTTAGCACCACGGGCATCTCCAAGTGTGGCCGCGACGTACCACTCGCCTTACTGCCGTTGTATCACGGTATGCTGCGCGTGCCTCACGCTGACAAGTGTGTCATGGAAGAGACCCTGGTGACTTCAGGCGAGATGTTTGCCATAGTGCGGCCCAGTTTGCTTGTCGACTACGAGTCCGAGGCCGAGGCCAAGGCCGCTACCGGTGCAAACGGCGGTAACGACGGCCGGGTATTTTTGAAGCAGCTGGCCGAGACCAATTTTTCTGTTATGTCCAAAGGAGAGCTCGAGGTCCTCAGGACGACCACCAAGGACGAGCTCGGACGACAAAGGCAAACGACCAAGGAAGAAGTTAAGGCCCTTGAGGACAAGTTAAAAAAGGAACACATGTACAAGAACATTCGTGTCGGCATCGAGGACCCCATTGCAAACAAGCGCATCTCGTCCACCGTGGGCTATACCATCTCGCGAGCTGATGCTGGGCGCTGGCTGGCTGAGAAACTGGTCTTTCCGGCTGAGTTGCCGGCCAACTATGCGCGTCATATTGCCACGATCACGTACTAGAGGCGTCTAACTGTACATTGTTTCATTTAGTATTTTTTTTTTCTTTTCTTTCATATCTTCAAGTATTGCGTCCCCCGATTTTGTATCTTAGATTCTTGGTTGGAGTTAATGTTCTGTACGTTTTGCAGCGCGTCAAGTTCTTTGAGAGTGAACACATGCGTGAAATGTGATTGGTCGGTTATTCTCAAGCGTTAGCCACTAGCTGCTTGCCCACGGGTTTTTTTCTGTATGTTGTCCCGCCCTCCGCCGATTTGAGATCTAACATCAACTTGACTCGTAACTCAAATAGCGAACCGACCAGCACCCTACATCGGAAACGCCACTCCAGGGGGGGAACCGCATACACACATACGGCCATGTCGAAATCATCTCCACCACCGAGCGCCGAGCTGCCGGCTGCGCCCACCGATCCTTTCACCCTCCGTCATTCCACGTCACCTCAAGCCGTCAAATACCATGGCACTCCCCCGATACAACATGCCATTACTGTTGCGGCAGCCATCCTGGCGCCCATAGGTATGGCTCTGCCACCTCGGCGCTTCGGCCCGCGCAACTTGCTGCTGGCGGCCGGTACCTTTTTTGCATCATCCCAACTAGTCTACGACTACACTGGCCAATCCATTTACCAGCGGTTTCAGCGACGGGCCAACCAGTTCTCGGCCTTCCAAACACAAGACCTTCCTCCCGCAGCGCTACAACGGCAGGCGGCTATGCGCGCCGAGCGTGAGCGGCGACGGCAAATAGTGGAGGGGCCGAGCGGGCCCGAGGCGACAGACGGTACAGCTGCGGATCCACCAAATGCCGGCAAGCTGCATAGCCTTTGGATGGGCAATGAAAAGGAGGACTGGATCAAAGAGCGAGCGCGGCGGGAGCAGGAGACGCTGGAGTCGGGCGGCGGATACTGGGACCTGATCATGAACCAAATTGGTGAGGTGGCGGCAGATCTGATGGGCAGAGGAAAGAAGACTCAAGAAAACGCAACAGCGCCGCCGAAAGCGGAGAACGCTGGGAAGTAGTGAGCTGAAAGCAAAGAAGAAAAATAAGACAAGGATGAGAGAGGCGGAGAGTGGTAGAGAGAGATAGGACGGGCAATCATTTTGAGCTGTCCTATGGTCCGAACAGCTGTTCGACGCTCTCCGTTCGAATATAGATGGCTGGTCACGTCGAAGTTGCCATTGGAACACTTAACACACCGTGTCACAAAAGTATATAACGTGTCGTCCCTAGTCGTTATCGAGACGGGGGGTGGTAGAATGAGCATGGCTTTTCTATTCCGTCTACCCAGGCAAGTTTCGTTGCCGTGTAAAGGTGACTACTGTCGTTATCTATTCCGCCCGCTTTCCCCGTTCTGTTGTATACATTTTTTTTTTTTCAATTACCACTTGCCGTTTCCCTTCCTCTCCATACTCCTGTAGTAGAACAAAACGACACACTAGTCAGCAGGGGAAGCAGGATCGTTTCAACAACGGCGCCAACAGAGTATGCATGCATGGGGCATACCTTTGTCAGCCGTCATTTCATCTTGCTTCTACTGTACGAATTAAATGTTCCGTGTTTGTATCGGACACCGAAGAAACACTGTGTCGCCTCAAAGCGTCACAAAACTGGCAGGGTCTGGGCGGAGCATCGGCAGATCGTTCGCCAAGGCTGACTTTTGACTATAAATGACCGCATATGGCAAGTTTTGTCGACTCAGTGTACATGCAGTCGTGGTGGTTTTCGTTTGTTGCATACGCATTTCCAAACGTTCCACGTCATGAACGGAGAAAAGGGTGGGATCCGCCAAAAAGTCCCTCGGCCTCCATGCCCCCCAACTAGAGTTGTTCGGCTTACGAGCTTGTTCGTCGTAATACTCTGTACGATAGCCACTGGCCAGAAAATTGCAATAACCCAGGGCGCCAAGTTACAAAACACGTCAGCTCTTTCTATCGCTATGCGTGGTAAGCTCGTAAGATACGGTGTATCCTTGTTGATCGACCATGCGCATTCCTGCTTATGTTTTCCATTTCCTGTTTGTTTCTTGGTTTGCTCCCTTGTCGACTCGGCCAGGCCATCTTACGGCCTTTTTCTGTTTCTAGAAAACAGTGGACCAATCAAACAGTTAAATACGACGAAGGTGGCAGACGACGCAAGTGGAAAACTACTCAGCCACAACGCCTGACCACGCCATCCAAACGCGACTTGCCACATACAATGGTGCTCCAGCAGTCCAGGTCCATCGACGGGAGCTGAAACAGGCCGGGTGAAGCCAAGTTTAGGGGAATGGCGGCGTGTGTGGCTAGAAATGGGAACGAAGGAAGATAAAAGGTTAGAGAGAGTAAGGGAGGCAAAGCTTCTAAAAATTGTCGACTCGGCGCCTTGCCTCAGATACGAGATGATCCCCAGGACTTTGTCGTCCCTCCTTGTCGATAGCCACCTGCAACCGGTTCATTTTTTTATTAAAATAGTAACGAGGCACTTGCAGGCCGTACGACGGTCAGCAGGAATCAAGGTTTCGTACTACCCGTGGAGCAATACGTTTATACGCCGTATCCGAGTCGGTGCCCTAACAAAGTTTGCGGAGGCGGCAAGGCACCAACTGGTAGCAAATACGAAACGCGTTCCCGAGAGAGTACCTGGGGGCCGCATCTAACTAGTTGACCATTGCACTGCCGCAAAGAGAACACCGGGCGAAGAGAAACACAGCCTGCGAGCCCAAGCGTGACCTTTATGCTCATAGCGGCAGGGAAATTTTCTGAGCGGTCTCAACTTTCCCCCCTATGTAAAATGTGTGATGTTTGTATGCTGTATGGTATATGTGGGTGTCGCTGTTTCGTACGTGAGAAGCTGAGAGCAGCCTGTTCATACTTCTAACCTGAGGCATCCTGCCGCTGCAACTTGGTTTTCCCTGCTTCTTTTTCCATCCCCATTCACGCAGCAACTGTTTCTTTCCTTTCGACACCACCAGCCCTTTCTCTCCCTTCCTCTTCTGTCTTTATTCTCCGTCCTTCTTTCTCTCACAAATCCGCAACTAGATTCCCTGCCGGCTTCATTCCCCCCCTCCGGCTCTTTCCTCTTTCGGAATCCAACCTAACCCCTGAAACGGATATTCCACTACGGAGAGAGAAAGCGTTGAAAGGACCATCGCGCGAAATTGAGACTCTGCTTTTTAACTTCGAGCATTATCGCCGAATACACATACGACATACATTGCGAAAACTGGTCGCAATACTGCAACGCTGCGAACGACGTTTTCTCCCCGTCGTTCAGTTCCTTCGTTGCCTCTTCTTCAAAGCGAAATTACCCGGAAACAAACACGCGACAGCCCAAACAAGGCGACCAGGGGAGAACTCACTCCCTTGACGAACGCTTTCTCTCGTGTCTCCCAATCGCCTTCCAAACGCAAAGAAATAAAGGGGCAGACAAAGCCTACACAGCTGCAGCGACCCGACGAAGCGGCCCATCTTCTCCTCCGTACTCCCTTCCATAACCGCCGGAACCTTTGTTCGCTCTCCATACGACACCTTTGCCGGAAAGGGGGCTATAGAAATACAGAGCCACAGCAACACGGGACCATCTTATTAACATCTGCTTCGTCCCCCAAGGCATAATAACGCCAACATTCCCAATCAAGGAGCACGGCCGCCTTCCGCACCCGTCGTTTGGGAAACGCTTTATTCTCTCGCCCCGTCACGTCTGCTTTTGGGTTTTCTTCTCCTTCTCGATTCGTCTCCCTTCTTTTCTAGCTCTTTTTCTCTTTTTCTCTCTCTCTTTGGCGACACCGTCGCTCCTTCTTGACCATGTCTCGCCAGTACTCCAACGACTACGCGTCTGGCGGTTATCCGGCGCAGGCCTACAATCCGAGCTACGACTACGCCGACGCGAGCGCCCGTCAACGGCAGTCCCCCTCGCCGTATTACAACAGCAGCCATAACACAGCGTACGACAACCCTTCGGCTGCCGCGTCGTCAACCTACATGAACTCGACACCTCCTGCCTACAGCTCACAGCAGCGCCTTGCCGACCCAGAAGCACAGGCCCGGAATACCTATGGCACGAGTAGGAATGGCCCCCGCGGTGTCAGTCCCTCTCCTTTCGAGACCGTTTTCGACGACCACATGTACCCTGCAACATCGCGCCAAAATAGTAACGCCCCTAACGGCGCTGATACGACCTACTATGGTGCGCCACACCACACACCCTCGGAAGACAATATGTTCGCTGCATCTGTGGGGCCGGATGGCATTCCCCTGCGTGACCGCTCAGGCAACAATAAGTTCGGCGGAGCTGAGTCACCAGATCATGTCTACGATGCTCCTCAGGGCGGCATGGCTAGCGAACCGCCACCCGGCGCCGGTGGCGCTGGCCGGAAGGGTGTGCGCTTCGGTGAGCTGGGCATGCTGGGCGCCAACAATCGCAAGCGTATCCCGATTGTTGTCTACATCTTCACAGTTGTGCAAATCGCGGTGTTCATTGCCGAAATTGTCAAGAACGGCATCCTGACCGGCTCGCCTATTATGATCCATCCCAGCTTCAACCCCATGATCGGGCCCTCAACCTACGTGCTCATCAACATGGGCTCTCGCTTCGTCCCCTGTATGCACAATGTCAATGGCGTCCAGTCGTCGACCGTGGCCATCGACTGGCCGTGCCCAAATAGCACGACAAGCGACTCCTCTAACCCCTCTAACCAATGCACGCTATCGCAGCTCTGCGGCTTCAACGGCGTTCCCAATCCCTTGTATGACGGTAACGCCCAGCAGACTCCCCAGCCGAACCAGTGGTTCCGGTTCATTGTACCAATGTTCTTGCATGCCGGCGTTATCCACATCGGCTTTAATCTGCTCTTACAACTAACCATGGGTCGCGATATGGAACGCTCCATTGGTTCAATTCGATTCTTTTTGGTCTACGTCTCTTCGGGTATCTTTGGTTTTGTTATGGGCGGCAACTATGCGGCTACTGGTATCTCGTCTACAGGCGCATCGGGCTCGCTGTTTGGCATTATTGCGCTGACACTTCTCGACCTTCTCTACTCGTGGCGTGACCGCCGCAATCCACTTAGGGATTTGCTTTTCATCATTCTAGACATTGTCATCTCCTTTGTGCTTGGTCTGCTCCCGGGGCTTGACAACTTCTCTCACATTGGCGGGTTTTTGATGGGCCTGGCACTTGGCATCTCAGTGCTGCATTCACCCAACGCGCTGCGGCGGCGCATTGGAGACGACACGTCCTATGCGTCCGTCAGCGGTACATACTCGGACAGCTTCAAGACGTCGAATTTCGTGCGCAACCCCGTTGGCTTCTTTAAGGGTCGCAAGCCGCTGTGGTGGGCATGGTGGTTTCTACGCGCCGGGGCCATTGTTCTGGTAATTGTTGTCTTTATCTTGCTGCTCAACAATTTCTACATCTACCACCACACCTGTGGCTGGTGCAAGTATCTTAGTTGCCTGGTGAGTTTATTTTGCTGTATGCCGTTCTCATCGGCGTAGGTCCTCTTACGCAAACATCACGCTGACATATATAGCCCGTGAACAACTGGTGTGAAATTGGCAACCTGCAGTTGACCAACACATCCACGAAGCGCGACTTGTTTTCGGGTGCTGCACCGCGCCTGGCCAACCTCTTTTAATCACTTGCTGTGGGGAATCTTGTCGACCAGACTTGTCTTGCTCTTTTGCGTCCTCGCCGAGCTTAGAGGAGCCTTCATTTTGTTTACTATTTTTGGCTATAAGTAGAATTCTGCGCACTTCTCTATCTCATCTGTTTCCCTTTGTCTTCTAATACGTTTCCGGCTCTTGTTTTTCTTGTCTTATTCTTTTGCACAGCGATGGCGTTTCTCGAGAACTTAATGCGAGGGGAACAATAGGGCTGGCTAGCTGTCAAGCTCATCACCGGTCTATTGGGGACGGTTTACACCGATCCGAAAATGGGGAAGAGCTATATTTTTATTTGCTTGTCGATCATATATCATGGTGGCCTGTACTGACAGACTATGCCTTTAGATGGCCCCTTCCATTTGTTAGGTCTTTTGTTTCTACTTGAAATTCGCACTGAAAAACAACAGCGGCGCCAGTTTTGCCTTCCACCGCCTGGCAGCGCTGTACATGTATATAAGAGGCCAGCCACAATGCGCCCCGGCTCAAAGGAACCTATAACGCAGATACTGCGTCAATCAATAGCCTCGGAGGTTTCGTCTTCCGCGGTGTCGTATTCTCATTCTCAAATCCCCATTGCACCCGGATCATGTGTCCTCTGCAAACGGCTGCCATCTGATAGCCGGCGACAAGAGATCGGTCACTTTATTTAAGAATTTATGTTATTTATCTAATTTATGATCGCGGTGAACAAAGGTAATCTACGTTGACTTGAACCTTCCGCCGTTCTCCCCATAAAAACACAATGTGTTGTCATATCGTAGCTTCTCGTCATTCATAAAGAGTGGACAATGTAAAATGTGTCTGGAGATAAGCCTCGCCTAATACATACAGGATAGTTATGCGGTTTCCTTTTTTTGCCTCCCTCCACCGGATCTCGCTGCAGCGTGCCAACGTCGTCCATCTCATTGGCAAACACCTCACCCCACTTCCTGCTACCATCAACACCATAGATATGCACCGGTCGCTTGCGCATGATGCGATTTTCGTTGCTCCGGAACCGGCGGCCCTTGGCACTCAGAGCATATAGCTTGCTCATGAAGTCACGGTTGAATGCCGACTTAGTACTCGTCTTCTTCATGTCGCCGATGCCGTCTGCCTTCGGGACCTCGCCATCCGTCTTGTCCTCACCATCCTTGCTGTCCTTTCCGTTCCTGTCCTTGCTCAGCAACGCCTTGCGGCGTGCCTTAAGCATGTTATACAGAGTACGGGCGCGCTTCGTCTGAATCTCCTCAATGGCGTATTCCACCTTCCACGAATCGGCGTTAGTGAGCTTGTCCGGCCGCACCACGTAACGTCCGTTGACCTTGTTGCGGATCGTCATAATCATGCCAATGATCTCCGGTGGCTCCGGTGCAGGCGCGTTTCCCTTCGAAGAAACCTTGCCTCCGTTTCTCTCCTTGCCTTCGTTTTCATTTTTGCCTTCCCTGTCCTCCTTGCCCTCCTTGCCTTCATTGCCTTCCTTACCATCTTTGCCCTCCTTGCCCTCGCTGCCCTCCTTGCTCTCCTTGGAGCTCGCCAACATCTCCGATAGAATGCGCTCGAACCGCTTGTTCTTGGGCGCGTCGACGAGCTCGGCAACGCTGTTGCTGTACCGGAAGGATAGAGGCGACTCTTTCGTTGTAATGCTGTCGTCGTCGCCGTCCTTAGTAACCTGCTGGGTTTCGCCATTCATACGGTTACTGTTGTAGTCGATGCTGCCTACAGAGTCACGGGCCTGTGATGTCTCAACCTTTGCGGCAAGTTTGATAATAAGGTCCTTGAGAGATAGTGTGCCCGAGACTGGCGAGGCAGGAGGGGCTTCATCTACGCCGCTGCCAGAAGTCTCGCATTTGCGGCCACCGCCCTCGTCGATAACAGACTTGCTCCAGTCGTATGATAATGTCGAAGCCTTGTCGGTGGTCGCGGAAGTTGTGTTACCAACCTCCGTAAAATCAGACTCACTGCTTGTTTCGGGCTCGGTTATCTCCGCTTCCGCACTTGACCTGTTCGTCTTCGGAACTGTCTCATGGTCGGGTGCGCCTTCGACCTCGGCCTCGGTTTCGGCATCAATTTGCTCCTCTTCTGGTGTTTCCACCTCGAGTGTTGATTCGAGACCAGTCTCGGGCTCTTGGCCCTTGAGAATCGTCTCTGCCACCGCCTCTGTATCTGTCCGCGTGATCGCCTCGAGCAGCGCATCCACGTATGTGCGCGTCTCCTCAGGCGGCCGGCCCCGCAGCAGGCCGCTCTGCTCGAGAGCATCTTCGAGGGTGTCGCGCACAGACTCGATGCCTTGTGCCTCATTCTCCATCGTCTCCTCAACCTTCTGGCGCATCGTTTCCCACACATCAACACTGTAGGCGTCTTCATCGTGGTCGGGCTCCTCGTCTACCTCGTGTTCTTTGGCCGCGGTCTCGGTCTCCATCTCGCCATCGTCGGTGGCCGACTCTGTAAGGCTGCCGCCTTCGTCATTTTCGCCGCTCTCCTGCGCTGTAATACCCAAGATTCTGCGCTCAAACTCTTCAACCGACTCCTTGCCGGCATCCTGTACCTCCCCAATCTCTTTGGATGTGACAGGTGTCGCAAATATGTACATGAATGGCGCGGCCTCCGACGGGCGTGTCTCAATATGCAACCGCAACGACCGACCCGGGAATCGATCTGTGGCCTTGTCCAACACCGCATTCAGCAGGTGCAAACTTAGCTTGAACTCGCGGTCTCCGAGTGTCGTGTCGTCGGTGCCGTGCAGAGCTACATCCATTTCATTGATGCTGATATACTGGAACCCGAAGATGCGCTGTGTGTTGTGGAAGGCAACGTAAATGCCGTCCATACGACCCATCCGCACTTGCAGCGAGTACTTGAGGAAAGCCGACCGGATCATGTCGAAATACTCGCGCTCGAACGACTCCCATTGACCAAACCGTTGCCGGATCTCATAGCCTAGCCCGCGTTGGAAGTCTTGTGCGTCCATGCGGATAGACACTACGGCACGCGTTTTGAGGTCGAACATGCCGGTCCCGGGCAGTCGCGGGTCGTACGCGTCAAGCTGTGACCGCATCATAAAGTCACCAAACGTCGAGTAATGGAAAGATTCCGGGTCGTTCCGCTCTTCCTCTGTCAGCTCGTGCGACCGGGTAACCCGATACTTTTCAAAGTCCTCCTTGGATAACGTCAGCAGCTTTTCCATCGATTTACCCAACATGCTCAAGATGTTGGCCGTGTCGAATTCCTTATCCGCGTCGATGGCGTATGTGCCGTCCTTCCAGTGCAGAAACGTCGCAGCAGGCCCGCGTGTGATACGCGTGAAGCTCATAGATTCAGGCGTAAATGAGCGTGTGGTGTGTGCGGTGTTGATTGGCCGCCAGCCGCTCAGAAGGAAATGGAAGTGCGATAGCATGCTTGTCATGCTTGACGTCGATCCCGAGTACTTCATATTGTACTTGGCTGCCATCGAGATCAAGGTCGGGTCTTTGGAAGACGTGACATACTGTTTTAGCGCGTTGAAGTCAAACTCTTGCAGGGGCATGATGCTCGCTAGGTACGGGTCGAAATTGAAGACACGCGACCGCGGGTCTTGCAGATGGTACACGCCTGGGTTGAAAAGAGCTCGGTCGAGGCCGTAGTGCAGTTTTGGTACCGGCCGTTTGTTTTCTTCGACGGGAGTCAGTGCAAGGTCCCGTGAGTCAACACTGCTGACGCGGTAAGGTAGCCTGTGTACAGGAGGAGGTTCGAGGAACGATCTTGAAGATGCAGCGACGGCCTTCTTTTTTGGAGAAGACGCCTTTTTGGATAAAAGATGTTGCGATGCGGTGGATGAGGTGGTGGAGACTGCCCCGGGAGAAATTTCGGGTTCAATGACAGCCGCTCCGGCAGCCGTTACATGCTGTGTTCCTAACGGCGAATTGTCCTGCCCAGTTTTCATTTTCTGAGCCTTCTTCCTCGCGTGCTTGCCGAGCTTTCCCCCAGATTGGTCACCTTTGGTTGCAGCCGTGGTTTGCTGAGACTGTTCTTGCTCTTTCTCTTCCTGCTGTTGTGGCCCTTGGGTACTAAGCACCGTCTTAAGCAGATGCAGCGCGCTCGTCAGCATTCTGATTTGGTCTTGTGTGTCTTTTGCAGCTTTGACTGCTGCCTCCCTTTCTTCCGGAGTGTGTGCCGAGGACGTCTTTTTCTTCTTGGAAACCTTGCCGGTAGTCGCCAAAGCGGAGCTAGCGTCGCCCTTTGCCGATGATGCCGTATTTGCCAGCTCTTTTGTGGCCACACCTGTTGCGATAGCTGCCTGCTCCGCCAGCCGGCCCTGGGCCGATTCTAGCTTCTTGAGCACATCGAGCGTTTCACGCCATAGCTTGAGCTGCGTCTGGCTTCCCTGATGGGAAGTGGCGCCGTTGAGTCCTGCTTTTGCCTGGTGCGCAGCCTTGGCAGCAGCCTTCGCTGGCTTCATAACCTTACGGCCACCTGAAGTGCTGCCAGTGCTCGCCCCATTGGACCCGTGAGTGGCTGGTTTTGCAGATTTCCGCGCCGGTGGCGGTGCGACTTTTGTATTGGTGCCGGGATCAGCCGAAGGTGTTTCTGGGTTTGTTCCGGCTGTAGTGCCAGCCGCGGTCGGGTCTGCGGCATGCTGTATGTATCGATGGGACGGTTGCTGCGGCTTATTACGCAATGTACCTCTTGCAGTCGGCACAAGTCTGCCAAAGGCCACAAAGCAGGTCGTGCAAACGTGCGGTTGTTGCACAAGACCTAGCCTTGTACCTCGTGCCAATTGATGCATCTGGGGCAACGCAGAGGTAGAATAGTAGGGATAAAGGGGTGGAGAGTTGGCTAATACCCAAAAGCTCTCTATTGCGGCGTTAGTGTTGAAGCAGCGAGCCAGAGAGAGGTTGGCGCGTCTGTGCGACCAAGGTGAAGCTTTTTGTCGAAACGACACATAGCGACAGGTTAGCAGGCATATGCGGTTGTTTTTTTATTTTTATTTTGGGGTTTAGCCCATACTGAACCTGCCGCGACGCGCCGTCAGTATTGCAAAATCGTCTTATAGCGCCCCGATATATGACTATCAACCGTGATGCATGTAACCAAAATTGATAAGACCTTTTTTGTTCATATATTACATGCACTCAAGGTTAACCCTTTCAATCTCACGATGTACTTCGATTTTATTAATGGGACCTCTTACTTTCACAGGCCGAATCACACTTGCTTAGGGATGTAATACGAATTAATCAAGACCAATACGTAAAGGTTCTAGGCTTATGGCGCAAATATGTGACTCAACTCGTCGTCTCACATACCCTTATTACAGGACACCAACTGTACCTTAACCGTCCATCTACCACTTGATATTATCCCCTACCCCAATGTTGTCTTCGTTCCCTTCAGATTCTCTGTCCCACCCGTTCCCTCCTACTCGGCTCCCCTTATTTCCAACTTTTATTCCTGCGATATGGTAAGCAAGCTCCTCCCGTGTGACAAATTTGCCTGTTTCTTCAAAAAACACTTGCTGCAGCGCGGACCATTGGTCGGTGAAGGGGTTGGGTTTGAGTTGCGCGTTCAGGCTGCAAGCAAGGGCTTGGTCTTTTGCTGTCCAGTTGCGAAAGCGGGCGCCATCAATATTATGTCCAGCACCACTGTCTCGCCGCTTTCTCCCATCACCGCTGCCAGGTTTCTGTAAGTCATTGTTGGCGTGCTCGAAATCATCCTTGTTGCGGCTGCTGTTGGTGTCTGGTTTATTGTAATCCCGGGCCCAATTCGAATCGTTAACATTGTTGTCGTTTCTCTGGTTGTCGTTGCCGCCAGCATCATTCGTGTCGCTGTCGAGGTCTATCCAGGGGTCCTTGTAACCACCGCCGTCATTGTTGTTAGAAGACTGGTCCCAGGTGTCATTCGTGGCACCGGTATTGCTCCAGCTATTGCTCCAGTTCTCGTTCACATCGCCGCCCCAACTGACATTGTTATTTGTCTCATTGGTTTTGTGGCCGCCATGGGTTTCTTCACACCAATCACTGCCCCCACTGTCACCCCAACAGTCGGCGTTCGTGTTGTCAGCAGCGTTGGAACAGTCACCATTGTGGTCTGTGTTGACAACGGTTTCGCTGTGTTCCCCCCAAGAAACCTTTTTCTTGCCATGCTTGCTGCTGGGATGGATCTTATTAGATCGCTGCGCGCCTCTTTTCCTGTTTCCACCCCTATGGGAAGTTTTGGCCTCGTCATTGCCCCAACCATTTCCGGTGCTGTCACCACCGCCAGTCCATGAATCTCCCGTGCTGGTATTTCCAGTGCCCCAGTTGGTCCAATGGTTGTTACCGTTGTCGATATTGCCAGTATTGGACTGCAAGGTGTCTTGGTTGTCTACACCTTTGCTGGTACTGTTTCCACCGTCATCTTCGTTGTCATTAATAGCCCAACCCCAATTGTAGTTTCCCGTCCCTTTCCCGAAAACGTCTCCCCAGGCATCATTAGCACTACTACCACCAGTCTTATTGTCGCCTCCACTCCCCTTAACGTCATCAGTAGTGGCATTCCCAATATTCCTTTCGTTACCACCACCAGTAGTTGCATTTGCTTCGTCGCCGTTGCCCCATCCGCTACTTTGGTTCCCGTTAGCATTCCACTGACTCGAACCGCACCTTTCCTTGCCATTTTGTCTGCTGTCTTGCATCATGTCTTGATCGCGAGACCGAGACTTGCCACTTGGGCGTCCGGGGCAGGTCCGTGTCCCGTACCGCTGATGATAGCTTCCTGTGAAGTAGCCGCTGGGTGCTTGGTGGGAGTCATAGTATGTATGAGGAATTTGCCAATGCGGCGGTGGGATCGGGTAAGCCGACTGACTATACGGCAAGAAGTTCTGGTGAGGCATCAGGTAAGGATGTGGCGGCATATCTTGGGAAAGTGGTATCGGAACACCGTCTGGATACCGCGCGATGTATGATTGCTGAAAGGGAGAAAATTCGTGGTGGGGCGAGAAACCGCCATGGTATGGAGTTTGACGAGGCATACACTGTCGTGTGTAGGTGAACGGTCTACCGTCAGTGTCAATATAGATTGGCTCACCGAACCGGGCTCTTCGATCGGGACTCGGGAGGGAAGCGTACACAGCAGGTCCGTCTGCATAGCCACTTGGTCCATTCTGACAGGGGATGTGACCTTGACCGGAATCCCGTGTGCCAAAGTTGATGTTGCCATTGTTTTGAGGACTTTCGACACTTGAGGGTTCTTCGCCGGGAGGGAGTGCGGGAAGTGCGGGAGGAATGCCTTGTTCGGGGCTACCACTCCCAGGGCCAGCGTCGCTCTTGTATATAAGGTGCTTATCATGTTTATGGATAGAGCTCACACGCGCTTCACAATTTCCAAGGCCGTCATCGTGTAGGTCGGAGCTGACCTGCGCTTGGTGTCCGCACGATGAGCAGCGCAAAGTGGAACTATGACTTTCATGCCTCATAGTTCGACCCCTGCGCTTTCGTTTGGACCGAGAGGAATAGCCACGGCGTGCGTCTTCGGAGTCACTTGCTTCGTTGCAGCAGTTTCCATTGCTGTCGTCTGGAACGGCGTGTGTGCTAGAGTGGTGGCAGAGCTTGCTATGGTACAGCTTTTCGGCAAGACGGCCGACCTCATTGACGACGCCGCTGTCACTGCTGCTACCACTGTTTTCATCACTGTAGGCCATCGATCTTTCTCTAGACCGTCTGCCCCAACTTCTATCTCCTCGCCTGAGTCGAGCTTTTCGCTTGATTTTTTGGTGGTCGTCCTTTTTCTTCTCCGGTTCCACTACCGGGACCGTTTCAACTTCTTTAGTTCCCATTATGTTCACAATGGCCAGAGGTTCGGTTGGGTCGTCGAAGTTCAGCTTGATGTCCGAGCAGCCCACTCCCTCCGTGGGCTTCTTGACTGTGATAACAGTGGTCGTTTCAGGTCGCTGCAGCACTTGTTCCACCTCCTGCGATGAAAGCCGGACCTCTGGAAGACTTTGAGCCAGTTGAGCTTCTGGGGCCTCTGGAGGTTCTGCAATTTCTCCAGGTATTGGAGCCTTCTGAACCTCCAAAACGTGCTGGCTTTCTGAAATCTGTTGTGTTTGCCGTGCTTGCACCATTTGTAGGACCTGCTGTGCCTGCTCTTGCAATTGATTCTCTCTTTGTTTCCGCCTTCGCTCCTCTCTTTTCCTTTGCTTTCGCTTTTTGTCCACAATCAACGGTCCACCCTAGAGAATGTTGAATGGTTCAAAGCGCAAGTCCCGCGGGTCGACCTCGCTGAGGTCATCGATATATCGAGGCATGGTTCCGAAAGGGGTGGATGGCCTGGACCTGAAACTTGGGGACGAAGGTGGTTTCGGTCTTTTCCGGATTGTGAAAGTTTTGGCGGGGGGGGAAACGGGAGTGAGGCAAATTAATTGAGAAAGCTGAAGAGCAATTGATTTGACGTACGGCAAAAGAAGCGTGCGCAAAATACTAAGATGCGTGGATGGGAGATGGAGCCAGGGCGCCTTGGTTGTTGAACAAGAAAAGGAACTGAGAGGGCACAAAAAAAAGTAGGTGAGACAGAATGGAATGACTTTGGCGGAACAAAACAAAGAAAACTGCGACTTTTGTTGTTGTTTATAGAACATCAAAAAAGGCAGGAGCACCATTTTTAGGACAATGCTCACGTGCATCCAGACCGTAGAGGGAGCATGAGAACGAAAGATTTCTGGGGACACATTTCCAGATGCACCGCAAGATTCGTGACAAGAGACGTCAATGGAGCACATTGAAAAGCGCCCAAAGACACCGTTCGCCACTTTGCGTTTTGGGGCCAATTCATTTGGTTCATCCGCTGGCCATTTGAAGTACATTCTGTGCGAGAGGCAATAAAAAACAAAGGTCCAGAAGGGCAAAAATATTAAGACCAATTGTCACCGGTACTGGGAATCGAACCCAGAGCCCGAGAATGAGAATCTCGAATGTTAACCGTTACACCATACCGGTCTGTTCTAAAGATTCGAGCATGCTGTGCCCTCTTTGTCGGTGGCAGATGTACTTGCCAATACAGGTTAAAAGGGGCCGTGTAGGCAAACTATAATGAGGGGATGAAGAGGGTATCTGAGAAGAAAGTGGCAGGAACGATTTGACGGGAAAGTGCGATGCCGAGCTTCACGATGCTTTGACGGATCGGGAAAGTGCCACAGTTGCGCAGTGGATTGGACTTTGACGCGAACTACCTGTACACGTGATGTATCACGTGGTAAGCTTACCAGAGTAGGAACGGCAAATCTTAGACATAGCGCCCCTGGCTAAATGAATTGTCACACGCTGTCAAGTAACATTGTAGTAGGATAAGTAGCGAGGCACGGTGAATGTGTAGCTTTATTATCAGTATTATGTTTAGTTATACCACCGAAAATCCCGAAATGTACATTTGGGGGAAAGGCGCTCTTATTGTCACTCTTTTATGAGCGGACACTCATTGATCGAAAGATCCAGACCGTATGGTGCAGAGCATGTATTGTACTGTAGCGAGGGTTATATTACACTACTAAAATATGTGAAACGTTCTTGGATACCTCGTTGGTCTAGTTTTCGGGCCTAGTCGAGGGTAGATCTTGGAGTCTGCCCGTAAAACAGGATAATGTCGACTTCAGACTTGTATGGCAAAAGTACTTGCACGTGCTGTAAATGCGTCCCAGTGGAGATGAGGTGAGGAGCTTAAGGCGAGTGGGAGTCAAAGAAAAAGATTAATTATGACGTCATAGTCACATTCTTGATCGATTGTGCACCATCGCCACGGCTCGACATATGTCCCCACTGCCGATGGCCTGCGTTGGCCTCATGAGTGGCCTTCTTACTATTGTTCCAGAGCTATTACGCAATAGCTACCAACAGAAATAAATAACCAAAAGACTTTTGTGATACAGAAAGGAGAGGGGTAAACGAGCTACTTCACAGTTAAGTCATTGTCGTCATGGCCCTTTTAAGACAAAGGGCGGGAGGGCTTAACCATAGGCCCCATACGAGCCAATCAATCACCGCAACGCGCTAAGCTAAACCGCTCCTTGTCTATTCTTGTCACGTTGTACAGGCCAGTTGGCCAGGTACTTATTGTCTGGCGTGTTTTGATTTCGCCAAAGAGAGTACCAGACTATCCTGTGCTCAGTCCCCTCTCGTCTGCTGCACGTCTCTGTCCTGTCACTTTGTTTCGTTCACTTTTGTAAGACGTTGGGTTCGGTGGCGTACCTTTGGGTGGCGTACCACGTACTAACCTTGTGTACTTCGTTCGAGCCTCACGAAGCTCTTTACGTCATTGCTAATGTCATCATTACCCCTCGACTTGCGTCTGTCCACTGCTCTGTGCCGGCACCTTGTTTACTAGGCAGCTTGGCATCTAAACCAGGAGACCAGATACTCATACTGCCCGGAGACTTCTCTCCCTTGGCCCCATATTAGCTCTTTGCTCATTGTTGATCATCTTCCGCTTGCTTCATCTGGAAAGCTATCTATGACGTAATGACCCACATACGTCGTAGATGTTAGTTACTTCATTCACTCGGACTGATAAGTTCGTGCTTTACGACAAATGTTGTATAAAGAGGATCTGTTGTCCCCTCTCTGAACGGCCAACCTTTTCTTTCTTTCTCTCCCATCACCAAACGAAAACGTACAATACTCACCAAATCCTAAATTCAAACCAATTTTGTTTATTTTTATTTTGCTCAACGCAACAACTTAACTATCAAAATGGATACCCTCAAGCAGGCCGGCAACTTTGTCTCTGACAAGATCAACGCTGCCACCTCGGACGCTTCCCACGAGGCCAACAAGAACATTGCCAAGGACGGCAACCAGAACATTGGCGACCGGTATGTTGCAACTTCTCCCTTTCATTAGAATCCTATAATGTAACTAACACACACATAGCATCCAGAGCGCCGGCAACGCTGTCAAGGACAAGGTCGATCAGAAGGGCTACGAGGCCTCGGCCGAAGCCAACAAGCAGCAGGCTACCCACTAAGCGCCCTTTTTGCTCGTTTCGCAATGTCCCGTTGACCGCCCGGGTGTCCACTGACCGGGGTTGGGATAACCAACTGCCGTTAAAGCCTTGGTTGTTACGCAACAATGTTGCTGCCGATTTACCATCGTTGTGCGTTGGTAATCGTCGCCCGGGCTGACAGATCTATTTTCATGGCGATTCAAGATACCAGATAGTTTAGTCAAATAAATCATTGCAAAAGCAAGAAAGAGACAATTTTGTCGTGCCAAGGTCGTAAATGGTCGGGTGTAAGTGGTTGCAAAAATAGTTGATACTATTTTTGCAGCATCTTATATGTGCTCTTTAAACTACATTGGTCGTGGATGCTTGTCAACTGCAATGGATATGGAATAATACAAGGTGACAGTAAAAAGCCGGGACGTTGGAGGTCGTGATGCGGAGGCGGCAGTCTCCCAAAACTCCGTGCCACAGCCAAAGGGGTGGCAGTGTGTGCCCCTGTTGTGTTCCCCGCACCTGTTCAACCTGTTAAAGTTAAGGGCATTGGGAATCAGTTGGCACTCCTGAACTGGCTTTTGCAGACACGGACTTCAGTCCCACAATTTAATTACAGATACTCTGTGCTTGGTACGCAGAGCAACGCGAAAACTGTAATTAAAATTGGACGCTGCATACATCATCGCCGTCGCAGTCGACGCGACGGAGAATTTAAACACAACCACGCCCGAGTTTTTCATTCACGGATTTTTGGGGTTCTAGAAGTAGTCTCAAGACACCATTCAAAGCGTATCTCAACATAGTCACGGAACTACCTTCTCGCACATCGCCGTGACCCATTAGTTGTTTGCAATCGCCTCGCTTTGGAACTGTCAATCCACCATCCCCTATTGTCACGTATTATGGCTTCTACGACTGCGTCTGCCGACTCACTGCCTCCCGATCTATTCGACACCACGACCCTTGTGTCGCTTGCCGCCTGTCTTGTGTTCCTAGCCGCCGGTTATGCCGCGTCTCGCCGGTTTCTGCCACACGATGCCAAGGGCAGCACGCGAGTGCTCTTTATCTGGCATGCTTTTGACGCGCTCATCCACCTGATCCTCGAGGCCAGCTTCCTCTACCATTGCTTCTTCAGCTGGATCCCTGTCTCATCTGTTTCGGCCGAGGACCTGGCTAGCAAGCGATTCTACATGCCCGAGCCGTCGGCGTTCCTCGGCCGCCCCGACCGCATTTACGGCCCCCAAGCCGGTGCCATCCATGATCACCCCTTAGCCAAGCTGTGGATGGTTTATGCTCGGGCCGACCGCCGCTGGGGGGGCCCCGATTTGGGTGTGATCAGCCTAGAACTTTTGACTGTACTCTTCGTCGGCCCCATGGCCGTGTGGATCTGCTACGAGATGGCCATGCGCCGCAGCCGCGTCAACGTGCTGATGATCATTGTCGCGACAGCCGAGCTGTACGGCGGTTTTATGACCTTCTGCCCTGAGTGGTTGGTGCTTAACGACAACCTGGACTGCTCCAACTTTATGTACAAGTGGGTGTACATCGTCTTCTTCAACACTCTGTGGGTTTGGCTGCCGCTGTACGCTCTGTACGTGGCCATCGTCGAGATTCAGGACGCTTTTGCTGTTCGTGACGCGGTTGCCAAGGGAAGGAAGTTGAAATAAGTTTCCACCGGCTTGGTGCTGTGTGCAAGTAATAAGTAGGGGGCGACGGAAGTCGGCATAGCGACAGTGCCTGCAGTCGGAAAGGCACTTCACGGAGGAGAGCGACAAGATGCGTTGGATCGGGAAGTGTGATACGCTAATAATGCGACTTTTAATACGGATGGTGAGTGAAGGCGTTGGATAATTGATGCTGGTGGGCTACACTATATGGCCGATTCATGAGCGTTCTGTCTCTCGGTGTTCGTCTGCGTTCCCTGTCAGATAAGACTTTTATTAATTCTATTTAGAGCCTTTGCTATCTTTCTATTGTGCGGTGGGATGCAGTTGTTTGGATGAAAGTGGCGGGCGGGACTAGGTGTTTCTCAGCTTGTATTTAACAACCCGGCGCTTTTGGTCCATGACATAACAATGCATGAAGTTTTGGCGCGCCTTTACGCCGAACCTCGACCCTGCAGTTCCAGTGCGGTGAGTAACAGCAGATGCCCACCAAAGCCTCGTTTATCGTCAATTGTCGCCAAGGCACTGACATTACACTGCTACTCTCTCGTAGACAAGCTCGGTCTACCTCCGTTAAATACTACGTCGCCTACTCCTGTTTGGTGCTTACCACTCTATCGATTCCTATTAAAGGGAGAGACCTCGAGGAGTTGAGCCATACTGCTAATTCGAAACGAGTTGCTTTTTCAATTTTGAGTTGTGAAATCTCAAGGCGGTTGGCTTTGTATGACCCAGATTCTGCAACACCAGCTCTCTACCCAACCTAGTTTGGATTGTGAATCAACAACAGTAAAATGAGTGGCATGAATATCACTCATATGACACGATAAAAAACCCGTAATAGGGTCACTTTCGTAGGGTTACTTACGTATTGTTGCCACAAGCTGTTGAAATCTACATAATCTTAGACAAGAGGTGGAAACCAACTGTTTTTTTTTCCTTTTCTCGTTTTTGGTTCATAAAATAAAGAACGACATCCAATTCATATTGGAGGCTTCTCTTTTCGACATTTCTAATTTTGATCGTCCAGTAACAGCCTGGCAGTAGTCTGTAGAGGGTGAACATCGGCCATGGCCTAGTAACGGGCCAAAGCGTTCGGGTTTTCATTCCTAGGTGTGTTCCAACGTTTACCCGCCAGGGTCTTTATTATTGGGCTATGCATTTGTTTTCCGAACAAATTGGATAGAAAATATACTTCACACTCGTGACAATTTCTTTGCTGCTCTTCTACAAAGTTGACAACCCACATTTGGCATTTTTACCCATAAGCGAAGCGCTGTATCCTAAGTTGCAACGGGGAGGAATACGAAACCGTCACCAAATCCCTAATTTGCTCTTTGACAGACGCTCATGTGGAAACACCGAAGCCCACAGCTTTATTCGGCGAGGCCATCCTTTATTATCTTGAAAGCCTTCAGGAAACAGGTTCGAGGCCCGAAACGAAAACGAACAGGGGACCTCATTTCACACCCTGCAATGCTGTCAGACTAGCACTAAACCTAGACATGTCTGCCCCCACTCAATGAGCCCAGATATGTTCACAGTGGCGCTTCTTTCTGCCTGGCCACTGTGGACTAATACGCATCCGAGTGTTAAGGAAGCATTAGTGTCAACTGCCTAGGAGCTGGAGATGAAATGGTGATGTGAGCATAAGACGTTGACCACGACCCCGGAACCGGTGTCAGGGCTATCCTGGTCGCCGTTATCCCTCATGTAGGTGTCCCTGTCAAGACAATCAGATGGGATGCAGTGTAGGAGAAGAAAGTACGGAGGAACATGCTTTGAAATCCTTCAGAGCTCCGTATGAATTCAACCATGTGACCGAACTATACATCTTGCCATAGGGTGTCAGGCTGGCGCGTGAATTTAATTATCACGTTTAGTCGCAAAAAGGGATCGCCGACAACAGCTGGAAGGGGTTTTTATTTCTAAATGGAAGTAACGAGACCGAGACATGCCAAGCATATTATCACTGTAAAGCCCTAGTCGGTAGAGCACGGGAAAAAAAGGGGGGAGATCGATTTGCTTCGTAGGAACCTTCGCGATAGAAAGGAATTTGTGGTTCCCAAGTATCGCCTTCCCCCCAGTTCTCAGACATGCGTTTGGTTTGTCGATTGCTTGTCTCACATTGCTCTGTCATTTTCTTCTTTCAGTATCTTTTTACGCTACTTCTATATTTAACTGGTCTATGATAAGAATTGTCTACGGGTAAAAGGCTTATAAGACGCGGCGAATAATAAAAGATGTCTTATTCTCGTGTACAGTGTCGATGATACTCAAGAAACTTCAGGAGCTCCGACGACCCGGAATAAGTTCTCATAAATGGCGGGCTAATGAGAGATCTCCTCAGTTTTGATCTTATGTCGATGCTCCTTACATCGTTAATGGCAATATCAAGACTAACGACAGTGACGAGAATCTGTATTGAGTTTTATTTAGCTCTATTTTGGTCATTTAGTTTTGCCATTTAAGTGATCCCCATTTGGATGAGGAAAAACCCACACCTACATCATGAGGTTAGGATACTGTCGTATATCCCGTCTCAAAATATCTGGCCCCAGCAGTTCTTAAATAAACTTGTGTCACCGCATCCAACGTTCCGTGTTAGAACTCAGTGGGCCATTTGATACAAAGCTCCTTAATTCCTAGAAAGTTATTTCGTCCACGACGTGATGTGTGCATATACTACAAGAAACAGTGGCAGAATGCCCTAGAAATGAAAATTATTCACACACACTAGAGGTTAATCTGAATAAAATGGAAAAGACACTTAGGAGCTTCCCGCGCCTCCCACCCCAAAAGAAAACACAAAGAAAATACAGATTCTGAATTTTCACTCTCTTATTTGGTCACAACCAACTTGATGCAAAAACCGGAAAGGCCTCCTGTTTGTTCGTCTTGATCCTCATACCTCCACGTTCCACGCCACACGGTCGTCCGAAAAACTACTTGAAGAAAGTAGGGAATGTAGAAGTAAAGAGACGTTCTTGGTGTGCGGTTGGTTGGGTTCAGGGTGGCACAATGTGGCTGATAGGTGTGGCTTGCCTCGTCAATAATAGCTGTCAATGATAGAGTGGAGACATGGATGGTTTGATCGACGTAGGAATCACAGCACACTAGTCTGTTAATTTACTAGCGCAGTAGCTTGTTTGACATTCGTACCTTCCCTTGCGGCTGGGACCAGCCTGTCCAGCTTCCAAAAACAACCCTTGCCATCGAACATATACCCCAGGTATTGATGCACCCTGTTCCTTCCCAACCAATGTGCAAGGGGTCGCGCTGTTCAACGTTACGAAACTCATAGTCGTTACAAAACTGCTTCACCTCGATCGTAGTCTCAATGCTTTCACGACAGCCCTTTCTGTCCTGGCCAATGATCTTCTGACCGGATGAATACGTTCCATGCCCACCTGCTCCCCATCGCTTCTTATCCTCTTACCTTGCACACTACCACCGCGGAACCACTGGTGTACCCTCCACAAAAAAAAAACAGTTACGGCTCTGCTTGTTTGTCACGTAGCAGAGCGGGGGACAATACATGGGCCAATCGAGTCCAGTTCGCCATTAAGGAGCTTAGCAGAAAGCTTCGGATGACAATTGCAGCCCGTTTTCTCCAATTTGGAAAGCTATGTGATCCTAGCAAGCATCTCGTCTTATCTTGGGATCTGACTCGATATTCACCTGCACAACAAACAAAAAGAGATTCTACAAGTATCGAGTACGACCTGACGTTTGCGCTTACAGTTCGGAACATGGCTTTTGGCTCGACCGAGGACACTAAACTAAATGGCAACAGCGGCTCGGGGTACCAAAACGGTAACAATCCTGTACCAAAGACTTTGTCATGATGCCAACCGCACACAGATTGAACATGCATGACGGGATTCTACTTTTTGGTCTGAGTTTTTGACATCCTCTCACATGTTCTCCACATTGACTCGAAGCCAACCAGGAGCGTTCAGCTTTGTATGCATCCAACCATTATGCGGCCACCCATGGTCTCCGATCAGTCCTCTTCTAGAAGACATCTCGGCCGTTTCTGCCATTTTCTTTTCCGTCTTCGACTATCTACTATCTTGCCCTCTTAATAATTGCCAGAGCCTTTTGGTTCAACAAGGATTACAGGCACTTGCTCCTGTTACCCTGGCCTTTTTATCTGACCTCTTTCTTTGTTTTGTGGTTGCAACTCGAGTCGTCCCTTGGCATTAGCTCAATATTGTTTCGTCTTTTCCGCGGTTGCGTGCAACTCCCGGGGTAGATTTGAGGTGCAGACGGGGAGGGCACCGACATCAAACCTGCTAATACTTGCAAAGGGGGGTGCCTACTGCTACCCAGGCATCTCCGGCACAAGACAGGACAAAGCATGCAGGACATCCACGGTAGCCTGCTCGTGTTGCATCAGACACATACCGAGCTGTTCCTGGCATCTCGGCCCAGCTGCAGCACCCTTAACATCCTCCTTCTTTGCTTTCCGTCATCCCTCGTCCCCCTCTCCCGGCTAGCTATTCACCTCTACCACTTTCAACAGCCCCTGTCCCTGTTCCTTCCTTGGCCACTCAACCGGCTCGCCCGCAAGAAAATGTGGGCGGTGTTCGACGTACTGCTCCTGGCTTTCTCACTTTCGATCTTTCCGTTCCTCCTCTTCTCAACACACGCATCATCTATCTGTCTCTTGGTCTTTCATATCTGTACGTCGAATACGTCTGGCTTCCTCTCCAACTTACTCCACGCACTTTCACTCTGGCCTTCTTGGTCCCTCTTCGCCCGTTTGCCGCACCATCTACCAGAAATTGCATGTCTGTTCGCCAGAGTTCTCTCTCCCGGCCCCTCCCCACTTATCCTCAGACACGACACAGTCTTTCCTTTCTTTGCCTCTCCTCCCCGCAAATTCCATCTTGTCTTTTCTCCTCCTACGTTCTTTTTGCATCCTTATGCTTCGAGATTTTCTTCCTCTCTCTTCATATTTTTGCCGTCTTCATTGCTCAACCACATCACCGAACCGACGACAAATACGCGCGGATTAAATGACTTGGCCAACAACGTAGGGAGAGAGACGGCCCAACTCGCCATCAACTCTTTGCCATCCCGTGGCTCTCCCTCCCGCCGTTCGACGCTCGGCGTCAGCCCGAGTTGTCGTCGTTATTCTCTGCCGCCCTCCTTACGACCTTTTATTGTCGTATCGCCTTTCACCTTTTTCGCAAATACACAAATACAGTTCACACAACCTCACGCATAACAAAAAGAATGGACAGCTTACGAATATTGCCAGAAGCGGCTTGGCTGGCAGTTCGCGATGCTCCTGACGGCTTCTCAAACAAATCATCAGGAGGATTTCAATTTGGCGCCAACGCAACACACCAGCAAATACAGTTTATCAGCGAACTGCGATTCGCAGCTGCGAAGTCCATTCGAACGTCAACAATAATACTGGCTGCCTTCAATGCAGTGGCTGCCTTTGCCACTGCCTGCGGCATCCTTTACGATGCATATTCAAGTAGAAGAAGAAACAAAAGGCGCTATGGTGCAGCCGTCGACCGCCCCAAGACGTCTTTCATTCAAACCGCAGAAGTTTTTCCTCTTGTTATCTCCATTGGCATCGCCGTCCAAGGAATTGGATTTTCAGTGGCCCAAGCACAGGGTCTCCAAAGCCTTCTGAGCATTGGTTGCACTCTGGTTTCGCAATTTATGTTACCTGGTAAGCTGCAACGAGAAACGCACCAACCTTTTAAATACGTCAGTAAACTAATGTGCACAGCTGTGTTCATTGTCCCTTATATCCAGCTTGTCTTCGGTGTCGAATTTGCTATTCGAGGTCTCCGCAAGAAGCCCTTTCCCGCGCGTGGAAAGTACACTACAACCGTCTGCCTCATCGTGCTGGGCATACTGCTGCTTACCAACTTTCTTGTCGCCGATTTTATTCGGTCACCTGATTTTTGCTTTGCTTCTTTATTCTGGTTTGTGGCAATCTACTCACGCGGCTGCTTTGCTGTACTGCTTGCCATCGACATCATTCTAGTGCTATGTACCGCCATTATCTTTGTGCGCTTGACACGAAGCATAAAAATCGACATCTCGGAGCGAATTTCTGCTTCACGCATGGTGTACTACCTCGCTCTTGGTATCCTCTCTAACGTCAGTACTAGAATTAGAACTCGGCTATAGCGTTCGATTTTTTGTTCCATGTCTAACATTGCCTTATAGACCCTTATTATTCCCTTCTTTTTCTCGCTTGGCTTCCAATACCAACAAGACGACGGCGGTGGGCAAGCCATTAGTTTGTCCATGGTCGCCTCTGTGGTTGCCGGAGTCTCAGGCCTGATGACCGGTGGCCTGCATCTCTTCTTGCGTTCCACCACCGTTTCGACCATTGGGCCACGTGGAAAGTCGGGGGAGTACGAGCGTCATCGTATGAAGGACAGGATTCGTCATTACGGCGGAAGCGAGCCTGATTTCCAAGGCCATATGATGGGCCCCGTTGGCAACGGTGCTGACCTTCGCCGTATGTTGAGTGATGCTAGCCTTATCAGCGGCAGCGTGCATGACGGGAAAGAAGATGAGGCCGGCATGCTGGTCAATCGTGGCCCTTCCCCTTCCTATGCCATCACCGCAAGCCGACCGAATCCATTAAGATCCAACGCGTTCTATCCTTTAAACATGACGTCAGACTCAGCCACTGCGGTCTCTATTCAAGCCCCCGAACCCGCTCAGATGTCGTCTGCATCATTAACGTCGTCATCGGCTATGTTGACGGCCTCTACACGAAAACTCTCATTCTCTCCAGCGGCAACAAAGTCGTTGGTACTTCTCCCTGCGACAACGTACATGCCTGGAACAGCGAAACTTGTCTCAGCTAGCAACAATGGCCGCTATGACATGAGCTCATTGAAGCCTCCGCCATCTATGAACAATTTGACAGCAGGGCGCCACCGGCGAGACTCATCCATGGCATCGTCTGCCACTGTGCAGATTGGTCTGCGTCTATCAAATGTCGAAGATTTTGCACCCATGGATTCCCAGATATTGGATAAAAAGGTGTACAACCTCTATATGTCTGGTGCAGGTGATGCAGAAGCCGCCGCTGCAGCAGTTCCCGGAAAAATTGAAGCTGAACAGCAGAAGGTGGCGGCTGCTGTTCTTACACAGAAACAAGAACAACAACAGCCATTACAGTCTTCACAAATGGCGCCAACGCGCCGTCCTAGCCCACTGTCCAACCTTGCGCGCCTAGCAACCAAGGACAGCAGGGATGAGCTGGCCAGTGTTGAGGATGCCTCTCCAGTGCGGGATCCTGTAAAAGATGCTCGGATGAAGACACTGCCTCCTGTCCCCCACCTGCAGGAGAACGTCGTCACCTCGGACTTTTCGCTTACTACCAGAGAGGATGCCCTGCTCCGGTCCCAGACATTAGAACCAAATGGGTACAACCCTGATGATGATATTTTTGCCAGCGGCCCAAGATCAAGTCCGTCTGTATACAGCCAACAGAGGAGTCCGACGAAAGCACTGTTGACAACAAAGCTACCAAGCCCACGCGGTGTTGGTTTTGCGCCAGTGTCACGGAGTAACAGCTCGGCAGTGCGCTCCACGGCGTCCACCCTCCGCCGGGAAGCCTCGTCCGCAAGCCACACAGGAGTACCAGGCAAGACAACAAGTGATTGGATTTAATCATGTATGCTACTCAGTCTAGCTTTTCCAGACCTTTCACTTAATCGCAAATGCATCACGACATCATTTTCTGACATTTTTGTACACCCAGTGAAGCTCCGGCGAACTTTGTTTTCTACTTTAACCCAGCATCTGTTGTTGTCTTTATTTTGCGCTTCTTTCATGCTAGTTTTGCAGCAGGAAGAATACCACCTTCTTTATAGACCAACGATGACACCGACGTCACCGTAAAGCGAACCACTTTGTATCTTTACCTTTCTCCTTTTTCTCCTATTACTGGATATCCGCCTTTTTTTCTCTTCTGTATGACCCGTGTTTCTCAGCAAGAAGCACCCTGTGGAGAGTCATGTATTTTTTGCATTGTCGTGGCGTCAAAGATTCACAACGCGCTTGTTTTCTCGCTATCGTCTCTTGTTTCTTTTTTACTTTCTCACCTTCTCTCCATTTTTTTATTTATTTCCTTTTCTTCTCCCCCATTCACGTTCTCTATTACCAGGTCTCTTTATTTACACCAGAGGCGCACGGTTCTCTATTCTCATATAATTGGACACTTGTATACAGTGGCTAGCCAATCTGACCAAATATTACATCACTCACTTGCTCAATCACGTTCTACTAACACAATATCTCAAGCTGAAGTCAATCGTGCTTAGTTCGTACGACCGTTTGTGTCCCGCGAAGTCCTGCATACTCTGTGTTCTTTAAATTGGTACATTGAACCCTGCACCTCCATTGACAGCACAAAATAACCGCAGTGAAAACGGTTAGCTTCAAAGAGGTGCTAAGGAAGCCCTACACCGTGCCGTTTCCTATCTCTAGCCCATATACCTCCGCCTTTGATTTTTTAGCTTTCATAGTCAAGTTTTCTTTTTCACCTCATTGGCAGCCTGCTGTACCTGCCACTTTTCCCAGCCAGCTTGTAGTACATCTTCGCGCAACGCCAAGTCCCGGAACCGCAGGTACTGTGCCAGCGGCAGGTTTAAACCCCAGGCCAGGAGGCCCGTCTGACGCGCAACCGCCGTGACACCAAACCACCCAGCACCGACGACGAGGCCAGCAGCAAAACCGACAAGGACCTGACGGGGAGTATGATAGTGAAGATAAACGCGGCTCCACGCGATAAAAAAAGCCATGATGAATGCGGAGACGCTGGCGGCGACGCGCTCGAAGTATGACAGTGACGAGGGCTTGTACCACACTGTAGGTGTCTGTGGCGGTGTGGCTTTTGACTTTTGAGACTGCGACTCGTACCGCACGAGTAGAAACAGGGAAATGGTGAGCGCCCAGAAGCCGGCAAACTGGGCGTGCGAGCTGGGCATGCCGTAGCCACCACGGATGGGGAGCAATTGGCCGCCGCCAAATCCCCCAGAACCGCCCCGAAGCCCATTGCCCGAGGCAATCGCGCCCGCCTCTCCGTTGCCTGCTTTGCCGCCGTCATCGCCAAGACCGCGTAGGAGCGAAGCCAGCATGGACCCGTGATAGTGGTGCTGCGGGCGCTCCTCCTTGATAATGCGTTTCAAGACAAAGTTGACGCCCTCGCAGACGAGCTGGCCAGCCAAAGCAAGACTAACCTCGGCCTCGCGGGTGCTCCAGACAAGAGTGACGTAGACTATGATAATGGCTTGCGGCACGAGAGCGAGCCAGGCGCATACGTAAGAAATAAAATCATTTGGGTCCTGGAAGAGTAGAAAGGTAAAAATACTAGTCAGCAAACATGACCGGTCGAACAACGTGAAGGGGGATTGAGAAAAAGCCGGAAGCATAGCATACATAGTAGACGTGCGTCAACGACAGCGACGCCAATGATATTGGATCGTTGCTCATCATGTGGTCTGTTTATAGAGTATAGCACGACAATTAATAAAGTTTGTGAGGAAAGGCGAGAAAGGTAGCTCTCTCTCCCCCTCTCACAGCTCGACGGCTGTTGGGAGGTTCGTTCACTTGCGATGCAAGGGTTATGGTGCCCGCCTGCGCGCTTGGTTGAAATTGGGTGAAGAGAAGAGCTACGACGTTATTCGTGGTGGAGGGCGAAGCGGAACGCGCGAAGTACTGGCGTGTAGGAGACCAAATGGACTGATATTTTGCGCGCGTCGATATTGTGACGGAGGTACGACACAGAGCGTTGAGCAGTAACTGTCGTACTTTCTGCCACATGTAATTAACGGCAGGAGCTCAGACTTTGGACCCACCCCAATGCAAGCTTGTTAAATGGCACGCCCCACTGCACAATAATCGTGGATTCTGAAGGCTTCGAGTTTGACGGATATGTGGCGGTGCAAACGTGCAAGTGTGGCTTGTGACTCAACGACGACACGCAAATTGGCAACGCAAGTTTTTTCAGAAAACGTAAGATTGTAATGAATTGACTGCCAACTTTGGTCACCTAAATTGTGACTGTACCTAGGCTCGCTACAATGTGTAAAAGCAGTATCATACTTTAAAACCCCAAAGGACAAAACTACGCTCAATTGGCGCGAAAATCGTCACTGCTGTCGTCACCGCCGCCGTCGACGCCTTCGCCACCCTTGGCTGCCCTCTTCTTCTCTCGCCGCCTCATTTTCTTGATACGATTGAGCCGCTTCTTCTTTTCCATCAGGTGGTCCTCTTTGGACAGTGCCCGAGCGACCGCCTTGGCGGCCTTCTCGCGTCGGTCCTGCTCACGCTTCCGTAGGATAATTCGTTGCCGTTTGCCGGGCCGGCGGTGTTTTGGTTTTGTTTCTGGAGTGTCGGAGGCTTGGGGCAAGAGCGGTAACGTTCCGATCGGTTCGGGTGACTGAGAAGATGCCCAGGATGGAACCGTATTGGGGGCTGATGCAAACGCCAGCGTGAGGTTCTCGGGTAACGCGGCTACCCCGTCCGGGGGCAGAGCGTTGGCCAGGAGGGCCCGCATAGCAGTCTTACTGGGCGCCTGCACGACGGTGCGTGCACGCCATGTAACCTCCCAGCCCCACGCACGAGCCTCGCGGCTGGCCTTGAGGATATCTTCGCCGGAGACCGCGATCTGACAATAGCGCGCCAATGCCTCAGACGACGGCTCGCCGGCTAGGTAGAAGCTGAGAGGCCGAGGCGGGTTGAGAAGGCCACCGGGGCCGAGAAGTTCGGACCCATCGCCGTCATCAAGCAGAACAACCGGCGTCGGCGCCACAGCTGCATTTGTAGATATAGTTTCTGTCGACGTGTCTGTACTTTGGACGGGCACTGCGGCGTTTCCACTCCCGGAGAACATCCGGAAAGCAAACTCCGTTGTGCCGCATATCGTTTTACTTGCGGCCTCGTCTTTCTTGCTTCGCTGGCGTTGTGTTTTGCGTCCCTTTCTTGACCCCCGCTGTGTACCGCCGTCATTTGAAGAATCCGTGGACTCATCGTCGCCAGCATCTTCAATATCCTTGTCGTTTGCACTGCTTACGACAGTTTTTGACGGCGTTGGCTGTGGGGGCACATCAAACTCCAGCTTTAATGAGCTTTTCACGTAGGCGTCGAGTGCAGCACGTGCGGCGGCAACCTCTTCATCACCTGCTCCATCATACTCAACACGGCGGGGTGCAGAATTGCCGTCAGCATGTTCATCTGCTTCCCTAGCAAGGTCCTCTCGCCGAACTCTGGTTGGATTGTTAGAACTGGCACTAATAACGTGTGCGGATTGGCTTGTGTGTATGTACAAACGCTCTGGTGTGATTCATGAGATAGGCCATGGTCTGCGGCCGAGGCGAATGAAATCTAACGCTCTTGGTATTAAACAAGGCCGAAAATTTCTGCCAAGAATCCTTATGCGTCGCTGAATTGTTATGGGCGGGTCCGTAAAAGGCAAATTGACGAAAGTCAAATGTCGCAGCACAAGAAAAGAAGAGACTGAAGTAGGAAAATCTCGGTGAGCTAGGACAGCTGTCAACCAGCTGGCGATACAACTTTTGCAGTGTGATCATGTGACCTCCCGTTTCTAGGTGCTTTATCGTAATTCCCAGCACAGTGCAACATACTATGTATTAAGTGGTAATACGCAATTTGCAAGTTCCCCATGCTTTTCGGTGTGTCGTACAAACACATCGAATTCTCACAATCCCATTGTTTGGCATCCAATTCTGTTGGATTGTGCCACAAGGGCAACCCGACAGGTGTCTCCAGAGGCTTCACAAGAACGCGAAACAACCAAAGACAGGAGACTGGCACAACATCAATTTTGAGCTCAGCCGGTCAAGTCAGCTGAAGGTGCGTTGGGGCCAAGGAGGCGTTTCTCAGCTGTTGTGGACGACCGCATGGGTGGCTAGGGCGTAGACTCACCAGCTGCCCATCACAACGGGTCATGGCTGGTTCGAGCCAGACTGCCCTGCATGACCCATGATGCAGATGCCGATCGGCCACGCTTGCGGAGCCCCAATATGCACGGAACAAATGTATGGCGCCCTGCCGCGGTTCCAAAACGGCCTCCTGCAGCTGCCTCTTTCTCGTTTGTGCCAAATATGGATGGACGTCCTCACCGTGAACAAGAAGCTGTTGAAACAGGCCGTAAAAAAGAGCTTCGATGCATGCCATATTCCACACTGTCTGTCATAACTGCCTGCATACAAAGTAAGACGTACCTAAGGGCCTCTCTCATCAGCTTTGGGTCTTTTTCGGCTTGTGTCAATCTCACATCAACGATACGGAGTAATGATCGGCCTTGACCATTGCCTTTTTACCCGCTCTTACCCAATTGCAGAGCCGAATTACATTCGTAGGCATCCTTTGAAAGAAAAGAAATAAGGTAAAAAGAAAGAGCAAAGAAAAAAGAGGATGTCGAAAACGTCACTTGGCTAGCTAGGTCAAAAGAGGATCAACAGAACTAACACGAGCCAACGCAACGACGAGACCGCTGTCCCACGCTTTTCCACTTCCCGATTCACGCAGCCGCCCCAAAATTCATGGACTCCCGTGCCCCCTCCTCCCTCCCTTTATCTACGTCGTGGGACCTCGTTTCTTTTTTATTTTCACCTTCCCGGACTTCCCTCGTTCACTCTCTACAAGCTCACTCCCTTTCTGCTTTACCATTATCACCAACGGGCTACGGTTCATATTGCCGCCTGCTTTCACTAGTGTATCGTCTCACCAGCCTCCCATCTGCATTATGTTTTGCCTCTTTCCTTTACCCGGCTAGCCCGACCGGGATACTACGCTCTATTATTCTGTTTGAAAGAGAGGACCTCGCCTGCATCTGGCCTTGGGTCCGTCCATCTCATATTTCAGGCATCTAGTGCCTCAATACCTCTGCGACGCCGGTTCTACTTATATAATGCCACTAACACACTTTGTTTTTTGTCAAGGAGAGATATGTGTACGCAACTAGTCCTGCTCTCAAGATAGGCACACCCTGCGTCACAAATTATTCAAACACAGCAAGAAGCCGACGGTCGCCCTGTCCAATAATAACACGTTGCTGCCGCAACTCTGGATGTTTTTCCCCCCCATCGTTCACGTCCACCTCTCACACATATGCACACAACAGGCAAAACATACCTAGGACACGACAATCAAAACAAGACGATATCGTATAACCAATATATAAGTAATCGAGTCATGGCATCCGCGGTTTCGGTTTTTTTTTTTTTGGCTCCTCATTTCACAGCGAGACTCAATTCCCATCGCACCTATCCATTTACCGACGTTTCTCACAACGACGAAACGCACAAACCCACAATATTGTTCGGATCAGGACAAGAGAATACACGTTGTCGAACTAAAAGAGAGATCCAAAGAGAAAAAGTCACGCAGTGGTATCGACGCGTGAAGGAAAAGAAAACGACAAGAGACCGCTCAAAATAGCGGCTATGAAAAAAACAACCACCGTCCCATTTTGCGCCAACCCGATTGCTGTGCCCAATGGTCCTCATGCTTGCCCCTTGATAATATATTTCATCCCAAAAGAAAGACACAAACTGACAGATATATAAAAAGCACTCAAACCACCCACCTGCCTCCCCCCCTCCTAAAAACAAAGTTCACTCAAAAAATGACAGCCAAGAAATAAAAGTATATATAACGCAGTGAGCAAGATGCGCGTACGAGCGCCCTTGTCGACTGTGAGCTACTCCTGGTTCCATCGGTATATCGCCGCATTTTGTCGACAACTAAGCCGCACTCCAAGAGTAGTGGTTCATCGTCGTCGCATCGAATGATCCCCGGGCAGCATAGCTGTGTGGTTGTGGAAGAGCTTCGCCATTTTTAACTTGGTGGCCGGCCTTGTATTGATCGGGGAAGGAATAGTGTCGAGATTCGCCGTTCGCATACGGAGTTTGGCTCGCATCACCAGGAGGCTGTGCCCATGAAGTCGCCGATGGATAATAATCGCGGGGAGGCGGGTGAGACGCTGAAGGCGGGTTGGCCGTGCTGTTGTTGCCTGAAGTATCGTGGGACGTCGGGCCGTACGCCTGCCCCTGGTGGTGCTGGGGGGCATTCTGGTGCTGGTGCTGGTGCTGCTGTGACGGCGGCGGCTGTTGCGGGTGGGGGAGAGGTAGTGGCTGTGACGGAGACTGCTGCTGTGACTGAGGCTGCGACTGTTGCTGCTGGGTACGTCCTTGCTGTTGTGGCGGAGGTGGCTGCGATGGCGAGTGCTGAGCACCATGTTGCGGGTGCTGCGAGTGTGGGCTTAGCTCGCTGGTGCCCCCGACGCCCAAGTACGGTGTCGGGGCATACCTATATTCGCCAGGTGTGTCGTTGCTCGTGCTCAAGGACGCCGCGCTGTGGACAGAGTCATTGTTTCCGTGGCGGGGGCTCTTCGCCGGGCGCGCGTTGTTGTCAACATATCTCGGGACGCTTAGGCCACTGGCATCACTAGCAGTTGGCAGAGACATTTGCGGTGGCGGGGCAGACGTTCCTTGGACATAAGCGTACTGTGTCCGAATGTTCGATTGCGGATGGTCGTTAGCGACAAGCGAGAGCTGCACTGACGGCATCGACGAGGCCTGCTGCATAGGCATCTCCTGGGGTTCCGCTGTGTAGTGCGGGGAGCCCGTTATCGGCAGCTTCTGGTAGGGCTCATTCGCCATGGAAGTTGCCGGGTATGCGCCGCCACTTGCTGGAGGCAGCGGCATCTGTTGCGTATTCCACGCTGGGTACGAGCTACAAAGAGATGTGAGATTAGTCGTTGCTTTTATACCTCCAACCCCTCTTGGCAGCGTTTGTTTACACTCCTGTATTCAAAAATGACCATCACATCTCTAAAACGTACTTGGACCGCATCGACAGCGGGCTGGGTGGCATCTTGGGCGCGGCGGTGAAGGTAAAGGACGAACGGGGCAAATCTAGCGCCATTGCTCTTGCTTTATCTTGTGTCTTCACAGTCAGAGGGCCTGCGACGATGCCCATTCCTGTCTCGACCAGAGCCTGGCCTCTCGAACCGGCACTTGAACCCAGCAAAGGGATTTCCTTTCTGGCTTGGAAGTTGCGTGGGCTGCGGCCACGAACAACGATTGGTGCGGTGGTCGACTCGGCCAAGACAACTTTTGATCCGTTGGCCAGAGTTGCAACGGCCTTTAGGTGTAGAACGAAGTGCTGCTGAAGCTCCTTGCGCCGTCCGTTATTTGCCGTCGCTCTGCGAGGCAAAAATCGCAAATTAGCAACCAATTCAGAACCCGTTCAACATATACATATCTTCGATCATTTTGGTATCCTACACGCTTTCTCCTAAACTTACATCCGGAATTGCAGACGGCGCCAGCCTATCGGATAAACTGCATACTCTCCTTCTGCCTCCGAACCATCATCCTGAAACGGAATCAGCGGCAGAGGCACCGGCTCCTGATCGGGGTTCTGAGCAACTTCGGGCGAGTTTGGCGGTGGGGTTTTCCATGGAATGACAATCAAGCGAATCGGATGGCCATCGACAGACTCGATCGCGGAAATTGTCAACTCGGTTGAGCTCACTGCTACCGTTTCGCCGCCTTCGTTCACGACGGACAGTTGCCCTCTAGGTGTTATCAGCGTGCCGCTGATCTGGAAGAGATTGCGGCGGTAGCACGTCAACTCTGGTTGCAAAACGGAACCGTCGCTCGAGCTTGTGGGCAGTTCGGACAAAAAGAACATGCCGTGCAGTTGTGCGGAAAGATCCAGTTGCTGGATGCGGCCGTGGCGGTCTACAATCGTGTGCTTGTCCGCTGCCCGTCGAAAGGAAAGAAGCTTATGGCCCTGGTTCACATTGACTTTGGAGCCGTCCTCGGTGCGCATGTCTTGCACCATGTCTCCGTATGGTGGGACTTGCGACGATGGTGGTTGCTGGTGCTGCTCTGTTTGTGAGTAGGTACGCTTCAGGTTCGGGTAGCTTTGGTGTGTCGTCAGTGACGGATGCGGCACGCCACTGGCACTTGACGTTGAATGGTGTCTGCCGTAGATGTCAGTGTCGTCTTGCGGGTACCGCGTGTACGGATAGCCAGTGGCGTCTGTTCTCGGCCGTGCCGATTGTGGGCCCGGAGGTGCCGCCGCGGCCGCATTGGCAAGAACCGGATCCAACGCTCCCGGATGCCCGAAACGCCCGTTTGCCATTTGCACTGGGCTGCCGTAGCCGGTCCAGATGCCATGTGATGGCTCCTTCAGCTCTGCCATTGTCGCTGTGTAGGTTGCGGTTGACATGGGAGCATGCCACCACCAATGTTGTGCAAGAGTCGTTCAAGCGAGATACTTGGGTGGATTGGAAAAAGAGGAATAACAAAAATAGGGGAAGATGTGAAGGGTGAAAGAGAAACAAGAAGGGAGCGGCCAGCCAGTTAGAAGAAAAAGTAAAGAAAGATAGGACAGAAAACTAAGCGCTTTTCTTGTCTCCTTTTTCTTCTTTTTCCCTGCTTTTTGATAAGTGGACAACGATATCGCGGACTGCAGACTCAGCAGTCCGGGGAACACCAAAGGCGGATGAAGAAGATGCCGCAATCCACGTCCGGGAAGCTGATGGTCGTCTCAGTAAATTGGCGGGCGATGGTCGACGAGTCCGTTGTCCCAATTTCTTCGTCTCTTGTCTCTGAAATCGTGAGTGCGGTCCAGCTAGTCGAAGATGGTCAAGGGAACAAATCGGAACAGGCGACAGAGGAAAAGACAGATACCATATCGTTGGTGCCTGTAATCCGTGTTTCGATTCAAGTAAAGGATAGGCCGGAGATCCTTTGCGGATATCCAGGTGGTCAGGGCGTCAAAACGACGATGTGTGCCGTTGTTGTCGTCCAGAGATGAAGACAATGTTCGTTTGATGCGACAGAGAAGAGAAATATCGAACCGGCAAAGGATGACGACTTTCCGTATTGAGCCAAGAGTGCAGTCCGAGCAGACAAAAACGAAAGACCGTTGATGGATGGCTATTGTCGCAGGGCGAGGTGTGCTCTTGTATAAAATGGAACGGCAGATGATGAAGGGGAGTGTTTCGTGAGAAAGTCTGTCGGCACTATCCTTACATACAAGTGGTATGGGGGCAAAGGCCTGGCCAGGCAAGGTGGGCAGCAGTGAACAGTGGAGCGAGCAGGGAGAGCAGGATGGTAGGGGGCCAAATTAGGTGGATACGGGAGGAGAGATGACAAGGATCAATCTCGGGTCGAGAATAATCTTGGTCTACTTGGACTGCTTTCCCTTTCGACAGCGTCTTCTGCAGGGCCCAGGGCCTGGTGAGGTCTGCAGGAATTGGGGAGGGGGGTATAGTTGCTTGATGGCGGCCTTGGGGGCGTCTTCAGTTCAGTGCCGCATACAAAGAGGGCCAGTGAGTTGTTGCCTGTCAGGGAAGGAGGCAAGATTGAGGCACCATGAGAAGATCTTGCTAGTCGGGCTTCTTGTGCTCTCTGTCCATGGCAGGTAATTATTGTTGGTAGCAGCAAAATAATCCCACTTTGAGGAAAGAAGATGGCGTGCCACCTCCTTTGTTGGCTTGACAGGTCTGGTTTGCAAATCAGTGCCCTGCTTCCGACTTTGTTTGCTCGTTAAATCGTCTCGGCTGCCTATTTATCTTTTGTTTCTCGGGTCTTTCTTTTCTGAAGAGCTTCGTGGTATGTGCAACACACCGTTACTTATATTATGGTCCAGGTCCAGCAGCCAGCCACGTCGTGTGATGCCCCTTTCAGGTAAAGCAAGGTGTTTGGCAGTCACCAGAGATGGTAGGAATGGAAAACAACCCAAGGAATACAAGGAGGAACAATGCAGGGGAGTTATAAAAGGCACGGAATGGTGTTCGGAGGGCGACGAGGAAGACCAGGAAGTGAAAAGAGAAGCCGATGTCAACTTATGCAACGTTCAGAGTGTTGCTGACGAAAGCACAAAATGCAGACGCAACTGAAGGCGAGACGCTGCGGGTTAGTATTTGACACAGCTAGCAAGCGTGAGGCATTGTTTGTGGTTGGCGTTCCTTGCTTTTGCTGTCTGCACCTTACTTACACTGGCATCTGCTTTTCAACTACACTTCGCAGAGAGAACGTTCAGCAACCAGGCAACTGTCAGACAAGCAGGACAGCAAACCCAAGAAGGAGAGGATCGAACAACGGTTGGTAAAGGTGAATATTCCTCGATGGGTTTAAAGAAGATGTGCGCAGGATACAGGCCGAAGATGCGGTGTGTTCATCGCATCTAATACGCACGAGTGAGTGTGGGATGGTGTTTTCTGTTCTGCCGCTGTTGGAAATAACTGGGCGCCGTTTATTTACTGTACGCCATTCATGTGGTCGAACTAAAGCGTAAAGAAGGAAATAAAGACTGGGAAGAAACAAGTCGAAAGCTCGGGATCGCTCGCTGCTTGCTGTGATCGTGGTGTGCGGTAGACAAAATACAACGGAGGAATGAACCAGCAAGGACAACGAGAGAAAAAATGCAGAACAGAGGCCCAAAGGTCGGGGGACTCTAGGAGACTGAAGTTGAAAGGCCAAATGAGCATGGTCCCCTTTCTGCATCTGGCTCTGTTTTCTTGTGCTTCGAGCCCGCAAGCCAGCCAGCCCATGCAAGACACCCCCATGTCCACCGACAGTGTCATTAACACATGCCTTCATGAATGGAGCACAGGCGGAGGACTCTCCTTGTACATAAAAAAAATAAGGAAAAGGAAAGAGAGAAGACAGGCCCTGTCAGCAGCTTGCCTCTCATCCTTCTCCCCACCCACCACACACTGTCCGGTCCACGTCAAGCCGCACACCCCCTGTCGTTGACACCTATCCACACTCCCCCCCACCACCATCTGCCATTCTTCCTCTCTTGTCATTCTTTCTTTTTTGTACAAGCCTTGTTCCACTTCCATGCCCCTTGTCACCCCAGGTAAAAAGCATGCTTCAATTAACAGTTGACATGTAGTCTAAGGCCAATGCGGCCATCTTTCGTCGATTGTTGCAAGTAAAAATTGTAACGGACTTGCCCTGTTAGGCCAAGGACAGGAAGCACAGGAACGGCACGCGCATCCGCACGCGGACGTGTGATGAAGAAACCGAGCAGGATGCATTTGCATTTAGTCCTGCGCTTCCTTGTAGGCCACAAGAGAGTCTTACACTGGACGCTTTAATAATTAACAATGACATGCGGCGGAAGGGGGGGGGGGGGTCAACAAAAAGAAATACTTGAAAATACAAGGAAAATGAAAGGAAAAGCATGCCAGGAGGGGGAGGGCAAATCCCGATCCTTGCGGCCACCGTCTTGTCATGTTCACGTTGTTTGCTCGATCTCACCGGCCGGGGTCTTGGCCAGCGTTTCCGGCGCTTCTGGCGTTTGGACCGTAGAGGAGAATATGTACCGCTGACTATTGTTCAAATGTCTTTCAAACCAGCATAGGGTCATGGCATACCGTCTGGTCCACATTCTTCCACAGTTTGGTGGAGGCGCGCTCTTTGAACGTTGAATAGTACGTATGCCGTGCCCGAGCAAGAATAGCGAGAGCGAATCCTCGGTTGCCAGCCCCATAATTTTCCAGAAAGACCGTTGAGCAGAAAAGGGAGCGACAATGGGGCGACGACTAGAAAGGGAATGGCGGGCGGGTCTAAGAGGAGTGGTATGGTGGAGGGCGTGGATAAAGAATAACGGGAGGGTGGGCTTCTGAACAAGGCGAATCCGCAACACAAATGTGAAAATGAGCGTAGAATAAACAGGTGAGAGAAGAGGTTGGTGGAGGAGAAAGGAGCAAAAGGAGAACAAAATAATGCTACAGAGCGAGCAACATAAAAAGTGCAGTATGCCCGCAAAGTTAAGAACAGAAAGAACGTGATATTCACAAGCAGGAAGGAGCAGGCCGAACAGGCTATTACAAGAAACCTTAAGATTTCCTGGGAGAAAAAAAAGAAAAGAAAAGAAAAGAAAAGAAAAAAAGAACTCTCGCCCAGTAAAAGGGAGAGAAAAAAAGAAAAGTAAAAGTAAAAAGGCACAATCGAACTCCACAGAATTACCTCAGGATACAACCGCAACGCGATCGCTTCATGATTAAATTCCAAACTCTGCTTTTTATGCTCCTGTGGAGCACCAGATTGGCAACGAGGACGAGGAAGGAAAGAGCTATCCGCTTCGACCCTGGCTGGTGGGTCCCATCGGCAGCAACCCCTCCCACGAAGAAGAATGTAAGCTCGGTTACAACGTGCATAAGGGCGGGTGAAGAGGGCTAGGGGCGTTCGAAATGAACAGGGGGCAGGCAAGGCAGTCGGAGCAGAAAAGGGAGGTCATTCCTCCGAGTTTGGAAGACGCCAGCCAGCATGGTGGCTGCCATGTGCGGCAGCATTTTCTGGCAGCGGAAAGAACGGCTGATAAAGAAGGAGAAAAGAAAAGAAACGGTCAAGCCAAGCCAAACCTGGTGGAAATGGGCTCGCCGCTTGGGGTTCGCACTTGTGTGCTGGATAACGGTCCACTTTTCGCACTTATCGTATGCATGACAACATACGAATGTACAACATACGAATGTACATTCGTGCTTCTGCTCAGTTTCCCCTCTCCTATTATGCGAACTGAGGGCGACCTGGCGTGCACATGTTGTCTTGTGCATGCAAGGATGCTCTGCGCAATGTAGCCCGTCCGCTCCCTGCATAACCACGACTGCCAAACTGGGCCATGATGCCATGATGATTGTTGCCAGTGCTAAAGGCTCTGCGCCACGACACGTCGCTCACGGAAAGGGTCCTTGACCCCCACAGAATACTGAATATTGAAGTTCTCGAGATTTCGGCAAATGGGGCAGACGGCGTTAGTGATGTTGGCGCCTTCAAATTTGGCTGTCATAGCTTCCAATGACCATGGCGTCGCTGTTAACTAAAACTGCTTCCCGCTTCCTCCATGTAAGCTGAGCGTCTTGGTTTTGCAGAGTACTAACACTAAGGAGGAAATGTAAAGCTCCTAGTTGGTGGGTTGTCCAAAGACCGGCAAACAGTTTTGTCTGATTCTTCTTCCGAGCATGTTTGATCTGCAACTACGTGGTATCTACACATTGAAATAAAAATAGATCGTACTGCAGTCTGGAAGCCCCAGGCTGACGGCTCGATTCGATCTTGCGGGGCGAAGAAACGCCTGGCAACATCATTGTTGGTGGACTGATACCAGAAAGAAGTCGACCTGCGCTTTTCTCTCCCGCAAATCTTGGTCGAGGACGCATGTTTACTTGAGTTTGCTCTGAGAGG